AATGAGAATGAGGTTCCCAGAGAGTAACCTGTAAGCTCATTTGACCAAAGGGCCCGGGCCAATCGCGTTTTGGTCTCGAAGTGTATCCGTATTCATCGCCATCGCGAGAGCCATCCCCTTCCGAAACATAATTATAAAGCTGCTTGTTTTGGGTATAATCGGTGACATAGAGGAGAAATCTCTGATAGTCTTCAGGGTACGTTTTGACTACCTCAACGACAAGGTCGACGAATGTACCGCATGAAATGTCTTTGATCAAGGAAAATTTTCGTCTGCCGCGGGAAGTAGGTGGTTTGGAGATATTAGAGCGAGATGGAGCCGCAGCCGCAGCTGCTGAGATTTTAAAGGGCTGACCGGTAGGCATCGAACTTCCAGCACCGATCAAGGTAAAGGCATATGATTTCTCGGTAGCAGTAAGCTTTTGAGTATTGGGGTGCATAGATATCTGTGGAGAGAGCCTGGGATTCGGTGCTTTTTGGAAAATAACCCAGGGAACAAAATCATTCTGCGTGCAGAGCCCAACAGTCGCAGCTTGATATGTCCGTATCTGTAAGTCATCAGCAAGCCCACGAGTCTAACTTGATGCTGCAGGAAGATACAGACCCTAATTTGTCGTAAAAGAACGACATCCCCATGCTGAGGGGCCGGTACATGCGTCTCATTATTGTTAAAGTAGCGGATTTTGAGACCGTTCCAGGCCGCTGAGGAGAAGTCATTATCTTTGAGAGTGAAGGTGGATACATATGAAGATCCCCCGGAAGGTTTTGGCGCAAGGGCATCAACTACAACGGCGATAACATTCACCAGTCTATCCCATTTTGACTGTGCAGTTTGGATGTCGTCGAATCCGACAGGTAGAGATGGGGCCATTATAATATGTAGGCCGAGAAAAGGGTGTCCGACAGGAGGAGCCGGAAAAATGTCAATTGGGGGGTTGTGACAAGAAGCCGAGGACACCAATTGGGCAATCAAGGATATATTAAAGGGGATCTAACTATCCCAACGGTGGAACTTTGCGTATATAATTTTGGTCAAAGACTTCTCTAGACTGGTGTATACCGAAGGGGAGCACATCCCGGAGAAGCTGAAAAAGGGAAATATCCCACGCTCAATGCTGACAGCACTGTAGCAAACGTAGAAAGATTTGCAAGACGGAATTATCTCAATCAGTTTTAATTCCGCTATTCCCGAGAGTTCTCCGTCTGGGAGTATGATCTTGCGAAGTGCAGCGCTGCAGAATGTTTGTTTGTTTGGTTTGAAGAGAAGCCCGGAGATAGGTCGGCTTAAGGAGAGCCACGCTTTTCTAATCAATGACAATGCGTATTTGGATAAAAATTTCCCTCTTCATAGCTATTTCTTTCTTCCAATTGTAGCTATGCTCAGGTGTAGTTTTGTCGATGCCTCGTATCAGCAACGCGTTGCTTGGGGGGTCCTTCGCAGACTTTTCTTTTTGACGTGATCATGCTGCTTAGTCATCATCGCTGGCTGGTTCAACCCTCCCAAAGCAGAAAAGCCCCTCACTGCAATCTTTCCTTTTCTCTTCTTCCTCCCAGAACGCCCGAACCCCAAAACAATCGCCAACGTCAAAGGATATAAAAGAGAGTCCGCCTATTCCATCTCCTGGTTACTACTTCTCTAAAGCTGTTCTTGGCGCTGTGTTGCTGTGTCTTTCTTTTTTTGCTCCTGCTTTTTTCCCTCCTAATTGTAGCTCTTTGTCCACCAGTACTATCGCCATGGCGGAGCGGTATATCCCAGAACATCGTCGCACTCAGTTTAAGGCTAAGAGCTCCTTCAAGCCAGATGAGCTCCGCCGTCGTCGTGAGGAGCAGCAGGTCGAGATTCGGAAGCAGAAGCGCGAAGAGAACCTCGCAAAACGGAGAGGCATTCAGACCCGTGATGGAGGCATCGGTGTAGGCGGAGGCCCTGGTCTTGCTGCCGATGATAGTGATGAGGAGGGTGGAACCATTGAGAGTGAGGTATGTGCATGTGTTCTGTTTTGTTCTTATTTCTTGATTATTTTGGTGCATATGTTGTGTGGTTTCCCGCCATTTTCATGGCTTGTCCGTTGCCCCTGGCCCGCACCTATCTCTCAAGCTGTAATGCACAGCGGGGAGCCGTTTGGCTCCTGAGGGCCATTATTGTCTGTGATGTCATGCAAAGAATCGAGATTATTGAAAGAGCCCCGGAATGGAAAGCTAGAGTCTATTCTTGAAAGATGACCGTTGAGATAATGATTTGATGGGGAATAACTAGCTGATACCCCCCTCTGTAGCTGAACTCTGAGCTTCCGGAGATGGTCAAGGGTGTTTTCTCCGACCAAATCGAACTGCAGATACAGGCCACCACCAAATTCAGAAAACTTCTTTCCAAAGAACGGAACCCTCCTATCGAGAGAGTCATTGAAACTGGCGTTGTCAGCCGCTTCGTTGAATTCCTTCGTTCACCCCATACTCTGGTCCAGTTTGAGGCCGCTTGGGCATTGACCAACATCGCTTCCGGATCTGCACAGCAAACCCAGGTTGTCATCGAAGCTGGTGCTGTTCCTATTTTCGTTGAGCTTTTGAGCAGCCATGAGCCCGATGTGAGGGAACAGGCTGTTTGGGCGTTGGGCAATATTGCTGGTGACAGCCCTCAATGTCGCGATTTTGTTCTTGGCGCTGGAGCTCTCCGTCCTCTCCTCGCCTTGATTGGTGATGGTCGTAAGCTTAGCATGCTTCGAAATGCCACATGGACTTTGAGCAATTTCTGCCGTGGAAAAACTCCCCAGCCTGACTGGCCAACGGTATTTCTCTCTCTCCCCTGCATGGTTGATGACTTTTAGGTGTGATTCCTAACCCTAACTGTTGGCATTATAGATTCTGCCTGCTCTGCCCATCCTTGCTAAATTGGTGTACATGCTTGATGACGAGGTCCTGATCGACGCCTGCTGGGCCATCTCCTATCTCTCAGACGGATCAAATGACAAAATCCAGGCCGTGATCGAAGCCGGAATTCCTCGTCGGTTAGTTGAGCTGTTGATGCACGCCTCTACATCCGTTCAGACACCAGCTCTCCGGTCTGTTGGTAATATTGTTACTGGTGATGATGTCCAGACCCAAGTAATTATCAACTGTGGGGCTCTTCCTGCCCTACTTTCCCTCCTCAGCTCCACGAAAGACGGTATCCGAAAGGAAGCTTGCTGGACCATCTCCAATATTACTGCTGGCAATTCTACGCAAATCCAGGCAGTTATTGATGCTAACATCATTCCTCCATTGATTAACCTTTTGTCGAACGGAGATTTCAAGACTCGGAAAGAAGCCTGCTGGGCCATTTCAAACGCCACGTCTGGAGGCCTTCAGAAACCAGAACAAATCCGCTATCTCGTATCTCAAGGATGCATTAAGCCGCTTTGCGACCTTCTTGCATGCCCTGATAACAAGATTATCCAAGTTGCCCTGGATGGTCTGGAGAATATTCTGAAGGTGGGAGAGATGGACAAGGAATCTGCTCAGATGGGAGAACCTAGCGTGAATCGCTATGCCCTGTTCATCGAAGAGGCCGGCGGCATGGAGAAGATCCACGATTGCCAGAACAACGCCAACGAGGAAATCTACATGAAGGCATACAACATCATTGAACGCTACTTCTCCGATGAAGAGGAAGCTGGTGCTGATATTGACGAACTTGCACCCCAGCAAACACAGGCCGGTTTCACCTTGGGTACCAACCAACAACAAGCCGGATCCTTCAACTTTGCCAATGGTGGAGATAGCATGGACATGTAAATGTCTTTCTATTTATCCACGCATGTCCAAAATGATATCAGCAGCTAGCACAAGGCGAGAGCCGTTGTTAAGTTCAAGGTGTGACTCGTCACTAATTTCCTTCCTGTTCCAACACAACAAGTCCGATTATTCCAGCAATTTTTTGACACTTTTTTCCCCTTTATTTTCAACGAACCGTCCCACGATTAAGAGATTCACCGTCATGTATTCTCCCATTTTATATTTCCCTGATTTCATTCCGCCGCCTGTCGGACCCTGGCACATTTGTTACATTGTTTGCCTTATGCACACTACCTAAACCCAGCATGTTCAATACACCGGCGTATTTCTATCAGACCTTGTCCCCATGTTTTCACGGCCTGTTCTTCATCCCTCTTTTTTTTTTTTTTTTTTTTTTTTTTTTTTTTTTTTTTGAGTGTAGCTAGTGGGCGGATCGGCTTGACAACGAAACTTGGAAGCCCGTTAAGTCTTCGAATTTCATTTCCCCTTTGTTGATGAGGAGGCTTGGGCGTCGTGCAATATTTATTTCTCTTCCCTGTCTTTTTGTTTCCGTTTTCTACTATAGTTTTTCTTCCGTTTTCGATTTTCCCCCGCATCCGCCTTCTTTTGGGTTTTGGGTTGTGGTTGATTTCGAGTTTTCTTTTCCCCATTTCACCCACGTCCACCATCCCTTTTCCTTTCCCCCCACATCCCAAATCAACAAGCCCAATTTACTTAAACAAATGTGTATCACTCTGTTTCTAACAACAGCCCTGCCAATTTATTCCCGCTCTTCCCTTCCCCCCCATCTGCACTATTCTTCAAGAGCAAAGCAATACACAAAATAAATGAAGAAAAGTTATTTCATTATCATTACAACGAGTTTTATTTCTCACGTTGAATACGAAATATACTGTGGATCTAAATAGAGTGAGGTTGTCAGTCTTTCTTTGCATGAAAGTCTGTTACCGGTTTGATGTGCCGCTGTAAAACAAAAGTTGAGTTCACTGATATTGTCTTCTCCCATCTTCTTATCACCATCCCCAAGTTTCTTCGAAGGTCAGGTGGCTAACTTGTGCCAAACCTTAAGCAAAGAGATAAATGTGAATAGACCCATCTCTACCTTCTATGAATCGGAACACTACCAAGTGGGTATGTTGGATATGTAATAAATGTTGGCATCCTACGGACTCTGTTTGCCCTGACAAAACATACAGAGGAGTGGGAAGATATATTCACATAGATACCAATTTGAACGGATAATGCAATATGCGATAAAAATCCCTAACATACCATCTTGGATCTTGCCAACAGAGAAAACCAAAAATAAAGATAAAAATAATATATATAACGTGAAATGGCCTTCTTTTCATTATGCACATCACCAATTACACACATTGCATTTCGGGAACGTATCCCCCGGCACTTTTTTCCTGGAGAGCCTTCAGAATAACTTCTCCCATCATCACCACCTTCTCCTCCTCTAGCCTGCGCCCTACAAGCTGCAAACTAACAGGCTGCCCGTGGACGACGGCGGGGTTGTCTGATGAAACAATCGTATTAGAGATCGCCGTTTGGTGGAAAGAGAAGAGGGGGAATGGAGCAGAAAAAAAAAAAAGAAGGCAAGAATGTCAAACATACACTCCTTTTGCACCTCGCCGTCAATTTTACTGAGTTCAACCTCATCGACAGCGGGAACATCTACGGTGGCGTCAACGTGGACACCGCACGGGAACGATAGGCACGAATAATCGAGGATGTTGTAGACGCCGGTGTAACCGACGTGCTTGAAACGCGTGTGTTCGACCGTTGCATACGGTGTTGTCGGGGCTATCGATTCTCGGTTAACCAGCTGAATACGCTACAGCGAACTGTTGTATAGATAGTGCGGAAGAAAACGGGGGGGCATACTCACTTAATAACCCATCAAGACCCTCGATTGCATTCCATCGCTCCATGTACTGCTGCTGGAGCTTGTTGCGCTCGACATGAAGCTGCCACAGTGCCTGAACGCCGCCGTCTTTGGCTTGGCCGTACCTGTCCATCTCAGGCCGAATGGGCTCTTTGGATGTCGCAAGGATTCCTCGCACGGTCTTTCCGCCGTCGGAGAGAAAGAAGCGGTCCTAGCGGAAGTGGGGAGATTAGAGCTGTCGAATTTTTTTTTTTTAAAAAAAAAAAAAAATTTTTATTACTTTGATCCTTAATGGGACATACTAAGATATCAACCCCTTCCTTGTGTCCGGCTGCCTCCCAATCTACAATTTCATGTCCAGCACTCCTCAACTTCTCCACTGTTTCCTTCAGTGCTCTTCGGACAGGTGGAGTCGGCCGCACGAGACCATCATCCCACAACACTGCTAGTTTCAGTCGCAGCTTGGGCTCTACAGTCCGCCAAGGGATTGGAATGCATTTTGGATCCCGGACCCAGGGCTCACTGTTCGCAACGGTGGATGCGAAGAGTTTGATGCACTCTAGCGTCGCAGCCATGGGTCCGTTGACGCTCAGGACGGACTCCTGTCCCGCCAGTCCGGATTTGGTGAGGAAGTTGGGGAAGCGGCCGAAGGAGGGGCGCAGCGTGAAGATGCCTGTGCAGGCGGCGGGGATGCGGAGAGAGCCGCCTGTCATTGAATTGCTGCTGGTTAGCTATATTTCCCACTAGTTACTTGGGAAATGGGAATGCGGAGAGACGTTGAACTACATACCAATATCCGTCCCAACACCCAACGGACTGCCCCCAAACGCAATCAACGCTGACTCACCCCCAGATGAGCCGCCGGAGGTCAATAGGCGATTGCGCGGATTCAATGTGCGCCCAAAAACATTATTTACCGTCTCGGCAATCATCATTGCTGTCGGGACGTTGGTCTTGACATACAGGACCGCTCCCGCCTCACGCAGCAGATCCGTCATGATGCTATTGTACGTGGCCGGGTCGTTGACCCAGCCCGTAAAGCCAATTGTCGAGTCCTTGCCGATAATGTTGAAGTTGTCTTTCAGGGAAATTGGGAGGCCGTGAAGAGGCCCGACTGGTTTGCCGGTAGCAGCGAAGCGAGTGTCGAGTGCTTTTGCGCTTTCCAACGCCTCTGGGAAAAGGGTTTCTGAGAGGCAGTTCGTCTGGGCGGATATGTCAGCTGGGGATTTTTTTTTTTTTTGAGTGATGATTGGGTAGGAGAATGAGCGGGCGTATGTTTCTCTATTGTAGAACTTTTTTATATATATATATTTTTTTCTTTCCCGCGAACATTAACATACCAGCTGATGAGCGGCAGCCGCACGTTTACAGAATGCGCGAGTTACAGCTTCGGCACTCCAGACGCCCGTTGCGGTTTTCTGTAGGATTTCGGAAGCTGTTGAGCTGGTAATCTCCAACTCATCTGCTGTGAACCATTCCGATTTCTCAGGGAAGCTAGTCACATCGGCCTGGGATTCCGGAGGGAAGATATCTTGAGGGATAATCCATTCCGACGGGATGGAGGAGAGAAGCTCTTCCCTCTTCGCAGCGGCGATAGCCTCCCAGGAGTGTTCACTGAGCATTTTCTGAGGTATGTGTTTTAGCTACTCTTCACCCTCTGATACTATGAGCGGCTAGTACTCTACAGCTTAAAAAGTGAGTAGGGATATCAAAGCAGTCGGCCAAAAAAAGCTCTACGACAACCATAAAATACCAGAAACCATCAGTTTAGAATGCAGAGAGAAGGGAAAACGAGATAGTTAAATGATGGGTAACTATATAGAACGAAATATGGAACGAAATATCAACCCCGTGGGGCCACTAACACCGGCAGTCTCCTCCTCTCCCTGGTCTATCCCCGTCGAAGCATCCGTATGATTAATAACTTTCCATCCGCATGCTCTCTGGGCGCAAAAAGCCAGAGTACGTTCCCACTGAGGGGCCGATCAGTTGGCCACCCATTCCATTGGGGCATTCTTAAGCCTCTCCCTCTGTGGCCATCATTATTCGCTGGCTAAGAGCAAGCAAACGACCCCGCATTGGCTTCCTTTGCGGTGATTAAAAGGTTGGTCGAATTGAAGGGCGGGTCCGGAATTTTTTTTTTTTTTTAAACTCTTCGGCAGGGAGATAACTAGTCAAAAGAGGCGTTAAAGGTGGGTTGCGAAGTAACTAACTTATCCAAAGCGAAACCAACGGGGGCTTTATTAGTCGCGTTATCGGCTGGTCTGGGGGCGGTTCAGAGAGTGTTCAGCGATGTTTCCAGTCTTCTGGATAGTTAGTTGAGGAGAGAGCAATTTCAACACTACCCAAGTTCCTACCAGTCGACGCCTGTTATATATATATATATATATATGATTTCCTCTCTGGGATTTTACTACTCCTCCTCTACCGACACAACGTCTATGCGCCATGCAACCCGTATCAAGGCAAGGGATATAGAAATGCAGTGCCCGCACTGGGGGCCTTGGCTCTGTATTTGGGAGTGCTTTGACGTAGTTAGTTACTGACCCACCGATCGCCCTCCTCACAGATGACTTGAGCTGTAATGTCTCAACAACGACCCGTTGTATTCATTAGTTATATGAAATGGGGATTTACAAATCTGAATATCCTTGGTTGTACGTACTTTAGTTCCTTATTACACAAACCTTAATATATTATAATTAACCGTTCAAATACGTAGGAATTAGCTGTGGCCACTCCGTGCATTGGCTGGGCGTCTGGTGGGTAGTTATAATAATAATACGTTTCGGCTGGCGCCTCGGCAATGGAGCAAGTTATTTTTTTTTTTTTTTTTTTTTGCGAAATCGAGCTGTTCTCTGACTCACCTATGGCTTGTTGCCACAGCTGCATATCGCAGTGCATTCCAGCATGTGTATTGTTGCCGCAATACGCAGCAAACCTAGATCTCGGGATGTTGTCGAACCCTCGTTCCCGCCCCTGATCTTGCAGCGAAGGCGTTGGCCGTGCACCGGGGGACCCGGGTAGCCCCCATGATAATTGTGGGCTTCTTTGGCTACCAAGTCGTCGACGAGTTGCCAGTGTTGGACAGCTGGAAGATCGCCGGTAGCACATACGGAATACATAGCTATCGGGCTCTGATACGATATGAGCGCTGTCGTGGATGGATTTTGGTAGGACAGGGAGCACCTCAACATCTTCCATATAGTTTTACCAGAGGATGATCGCCGCAAGATGGATATCCATTCTCAGTCAAGGCCATCAAATAACTCTATGTGTTTACACTGTCATGTAGTCGTTCGATATTATATATGGGAAATGTTATCATTGCAATAGCAATCGCATTTTGACTTATCTTCCTGTGAACCCTTGACATTAGGGACTGATATCATTACTCATAGCATAGATCTGAAATCCTTGCTATAGTTAACTACTTCCACAGAGCTCCACCCCGCTGTTTCCAAGTTTTTTTGATGAAGGGCCAACAACCGTTGGGAAGAGATGGTCGCACTGCATGCTCTGCATTGCCTCTGCATATTCTAAACATTTGATCTCTTTCATGCGCCAGGATTTGGGGAAGTGTGGTTACGATGTCTAGCTCACGGGCAACTTAAATACCCAGAACCACGGTATCAACCCATGGATCACAGCGTCGGTGGGTAGATAGATTTTCGCAGGCTAACGAATCGTTTCTTCGTTCATCTATCACAACCCCGCAAACGGGAACTTTGGGGTTCAGAGTGTGGAAACCACTCGTTACACCAAGCCTGGAAATTTGAGGGGAACCCTGCGTCAATTTTCAAGTGCATGAGAAATTTTGCGTAAAGTGCAGCGTTGAGATCATTTAACCCGGCTATACTCCCCTTACTCGGGAGAGGGATTGGGATCTAAATTACACGGAGAGGTAGGCGTTGAAACTTGATCCGAGTTTCTACATATCCTCCCCTCGTTGATGTGTCTGAGAGATTATGAGGAGGTAATGAAATCAAAAGTTGATCCATAGATGCGCCTGCGTGAGTAGGGATTGCGGTGGAGTGAGTGTATGCGTTTGGCAGCGAGGAGCTGGACCCTAACTGATACGAACATGAACGGCCGGATTCTACATACCAAATATAGTTAGAGGACTTCCCAGATTGTTTCGCACGATGCAATTCAAAAAAGACAAAATTGCTAGCGGATGGGATTGTAAATGAAGGAAGGGGGGTTTGAGATCTCCAACCCGTCTCTCTTTGACACAACTCGTAGATATGTCTGGTATCAGCATCCCTGACATCTTCCCGCCTCTACCTTCTGCTGCTCCAATTTGGCCACTGACCTCTGCATTTGAGCCCAATATGTGGAGGAGTTCAGAAAGCATCACACATCCATCTCTGTCTTTTCTCCGGATAAGGAGACTAGCCCATCCCATGAATATCCTTCCCCGGACGACAACAACGTCCTGTCATGGATCATGATTGACATAGTTTGGTTAATAGGGTCAGTTAAATACTTGGCTGGGCGCGTTGACACCAATGTGTAGCTAATACCTCTTTTTTCTACCCTGTCGAGGCATTGCTCTGTTGAGCTCGCTGTGTCGCCTTTAACTCTTCCGCACATAACCACAGATATAGAGAGTAATGAACCCCGCCGCTCCCCTCAGCAATCAATGGACGGCCCTGAAATGTAGTTAGGTGAAGCGTCTATCGTATTATTTGGCTCTACAAATCCGACCCACGGATAAATACCAACCTGTTACACAATCTACTCCCTAAATACTCCGCAGAGTGAAGTCTGCTTCTGAGGTGACCTGTTGTCGCAATGCTTAAACATGATTCGACAACCCATCGCCCGAAAACTGAATCAGAGAAAAGCGGATCCCCGCACCGGCGAACCTTGGTTGGCCACGAGAAAGCACAGGCATCACGCGGTATTTGATTTGGCAGGCAAAAAAAAAAAAAAAAAAATCACAATCAACTTGACAATCGCTTTGGCCCCTGTGGGGAGGTAGGGAGACCGGTAATCGCTGATTTAAACCGGGCTCAGAGGCAGTTGAAGCAGAGTCGGAACGGAGTCAAGTGGCGAGAGCTGCATTTCCCTCGCGTCTTGCCGCCTCAATAGCCCTGCCTTCCCGCGCAGGGGAGGGAAATGTGGAAACTGGAAGAGAGAGAGAGAGAGGCCTGGTAAAGGGGGAAAAGGTGGTGAATGCTGCACCGGTGGGCTACCATTTGCACTGTTATTCCGAGATGCAGAGATATCTGGCATTACTGACATAACGGACATGCCTAGGTCCTCTCTCTGGAATCCATGAATTATATCAAGTCAGCAGCGAGCAATAGTTCATTTCACCGCACAGCAAAGGGACAGACATCTGCTGAGCAAATCTTCATCTACGCTTCCAAGGAGCATCCACATCCAACAAATTACCAACAGCAAGAGCTAATACCTCTGACTAACTCCTCATCGATCAGAAAAGATATTGCGAGAGATTATGTCCGTGGCTCCAAAACTTGGCATGAGAACGCGAGATATGGCACTGAGGAGATAGAGCCGAAGGGTAGCTGTGAGCTGGCTGGTCAAATATAATTAATCAACCCTGCTTCCCCCGGATTTCTCTTTCGATGTCAACTGCTCGAACCCAGATATCCTCTTTATATATATATATATATATATTCTGAGGTATCCTGGCCCTAATATCTCGCTTCTCTGCTCCCGGTTGTTGGGTTGCGAGTGCGTGAGAGGAGAGCGGTTTTCATAACTATCATCTCCATCCCTAATAACTCACTGGTGCCTTCGCTCTCAACCGTCGCCGCCATGGCCCGCAACAGGTTTATGCAGTATTTGCGCGGCACAGAGAGCAGGCCTGGTGAGGCTGCCCTGTTGCGCAAGATTGACTTTTTCATTCTCACATTCTGCTGTCTGATGTACTTTGCCAACTATGTGAGTTTCGACTATTTCCCCTCTATCCCTTGATGACCGTTGGCAGTGCTCCACGGCAGATATCTCGAGTTCCTGCCGTCTTTCTTCTTTGAAACGGTATGGTGCGGGTTGCGCGAGGGGGAAATATATGCTAACAGCTATATGTCTGATTAGTTGGATCGAAGCAACTTGAACAATGCTTATGTTTCCGGAATGAAGGAGGATTTGAACTTCCAGGGAAAGCAGCTCAATCTGATCAATACCATATTTACCGTCGGGTATGGTTGTCAACTCTGATTCCCTCCATGTTGTACATCGAGTCTGATATTCCTATTTCCGTAGATATATTCTTGGCCAGGTCCCCTCCAATCTGGCTCTCATCTACTTCAAGCCTAGGATATTCTTCCCTTGTATGATGCTGTTCTGGGGCGGCTTGACCATGATTACTGCTGCCGTGAAGAACCCACAGTCCATCATGGCCATCCGCTTCTTCCTCGGGTTGGCTGAATCCAGCACTTTCGTCGGCACCCACTACATTCTCGGTTCGTGGTACACAGAGTCCGAGTTGGGGAAACGAAGTGGAATTTTCACTGCCTCGGGTCTTGCAGGGACTATGTTTGGCGGCTTCATCCAGACCGGTATCCATAAGTCGCTACATGGCACCAGGGAATTGGCTGGTTGGAGATGGTTGTTTATTGTATGTTAAGTTGGTTATTCCGGTTCCTGCCTCAAACCTCTGAATATCTATCCTAGCGTCCTCATGCACACAATCTAACATATGCAACCCTAGATCGACGGTCTCATAACCTTACCAATTGCCCTTTACGGTCTCTTCCTCTTCCCCGACACCCCTTCCACCACCAATGCCCCCTACCTGAATGCCGATGAGCGCGCCCTCGCCATCTCCCGCGTTCCTGAACCTGTGCGCGAACGCACCCCGTTCAGTCTCTCTTTCCTCAAGCGCGTCTTGAGCTCATGGCATTGGTACGGCTTCGTCATGCTCTGGATTATCGCGGGAGAAACCGAATCCTTCTCCACAAATGCCCTCCTGGCCCTCTATATGAAATCTCACACGACCAACAAATACTCCATCTCGCAGCTCAACAATTACCCCACAGGCGTGCCGGCTGTCGGCATCGTGTCAACGATTGCCTGGGCTACATTGACTGATTTCTTGCATGGGAAGAGGTACCTGGTCGGCTATTGGATTGGTATCACTGGCGTTGTTACTTCTGCGATGATTTTGTCCCCCGGAGCGTCGACAGCGGCGATCTTTGGCGCATACTATTGGGCCGGCTCCGTGTATGCGTGTCAGGCAACGTTCTTTGCGTGGGCTAATGATGCCATGCGGTATAAGAATGATGCGTTGCGGAGCGTTGTCATTGCCAGCATGAATATGGGGAGTAATGTGGTTAACGCGTGGTGGGCTTTGCTCTTCTACTCAGCCGATCAGGCACCCTTTTTCACGGTATGTCCATCGCGCATATACGCCTTTTCGTCTACAGTCATCTTATCTCGTGTGCGGACCTTGCTAACTTCCCCTTTTTTTTATTTACTTTTTTAGAAAGGTATGTGGGCAATGATTGCCTGCTCGATTGCAATGGCCATTTGGACTGCGGGCATTGTATACTTCTCCGTCCGGGATGAGAAGATCGAGGAGGCGCAAAGACCGGAGGACGAACCTCAGAAAATGGTTGAGAAGATAGATGTGAATGGGAGCACAGTCTAATGGCTGATTATGTATTGTATAATTTATGTGACTGGTTGCATCGTTTTGAATTATCCTTTTCCTCTCTCTTTAACATAAACCACCACACAACGCACGCCGCCACACAACGCACGCCCCAAAAAGCCGATTTTTGAACCCAACCTTCCACCTTCAATCATCTACAACATGCCAACCAAAGAAGTTGTAGAGCTCGCAGTGGCTGAATTCCTTTCGCAAGAGGCTGGCAATTATACTACTGTTGCAAAAAAATACAGAATTCATCGAACTACGCTTATGCGACGCGTTACGGGCAAATCAGTGTCTCGAGAAACTGCCGACTCCCTATGTAGACAGAAACTTACGAACTCTCAAGAGGAAGAGCTTATTCGATATATAAATCGTCTTACGGACCGTGGCTTTCCTCCTACACCTCGAATTCTTCAAAATCTAGTTGAAGAAATCCTTCAGGAGCCGATTGGCGAGCATTGGATCTCTAGATTTTGTCAACGCCACAAGGATCGCATCAAAAGCCTATATTTACGAGCAATTGATCAAAAACGCAAGAGAGCTGATAATTCTGAGTATTTTCAGCACTTTTTCCAGCTTGTATTTGATTGATTTTTATTTACATTGCCTGCAATTTAATGAGGGGTTGCTAATGCTTGAGCATCTTAGCTAGACGAAAAGGTCAAAAAATTCAACATTTGACCATCTAATATGTGGAATCTTGATGAGAAGGGCTTTCTTATGGGCGTCATGCAAATCAGCAAGCGAATAGTCTCTGTACAGCAGCTTAAGAGCGGGAGCTTGCTAGGCACGATTCAGGATGGGAGTAGAGAATTCATCTCTTTGCTAGCCGCCATATCAGCCAGTGGAAGGTCAACGCCGCCAGGTCTTATATATCAGTCAGACTCCGGGGATTTGCAAGATACGTGGCTAGAAGATTTTGATTCTAAAGAGCATGAGGTCTTTTTTGCTGCCTCCCCGAACGGCTGGAGCAGTGATCAATATGGATTACATTGGCTGCAACGGGTCTTTAATCCTCATACAAAGGCTAGGAATGGAGCCTGGCGCCTGCTCATCCTTGACGGCCATTCTTCTCATGTCAATATGAAATTCATCAACTACGCTGATCAAAATCGTATTATCCTTGCTGTACTGCCGCCTCATTCAACTCATCGCTTGCAGCCTTTGGATGTTGGTATTTTTGGACCTTTATCAAAGGCATACTCTCAGCAGGTGGATTTATTCTTACGCTCAGCAATGGGAGGTGTATCCATTAAAAAACGCAACTTCTTTTTATTATTCCACAACGCCTGGAAGCAAGCTGTCACGAAGTCAAATATAGAGTCTGGATTTGCTGCTACTGGCATTTATCCTCTCTCACCAGATCGGGTGCTTAGCAAGCTTGCTAGACCAAGCACTCCAGTCACAGCAGAGCCAGTCACACCCACTACCATACGAGGACTGCGACGGGCAGTTAAGAAGTTAAATCAACGGTGAAGAATCTCTACTGGGTTTTGAAAAATCATTCATGCTAGTGAAAGACTAGTTTTTGAAAAAGAGATTTTGCAGCATGAAAATAAGCTTCTATATGAAGCTTTACAAAAGGAGAAGAAGCGCCGCCAACGTGGAAAGCCTCTAGGTCTTGTGGATAAAGAGAATTCGCGTGCTGCTCAATTCTTTTCACCTTCTAGGATTGCAGCAGCACGTCAGCAGCTTGAGACTGACAAGGCTGCTAAGATTAGTGAGGCTGCTGAAAAAGCTGCAGGCAAGCTTCAACAGGATATATTATGTCAAGAGAAAGTGATCATAAAAGCTGCAAAGCAAGCTGCAACTCGAGCTCTTAGGCTGGCTAATGCTCAGAAGCGAGAGAGACAAAAAGCTGAGGTTGCTGCTCGCATGGCTGCTCGTAAACTAGCTGCTGAGTGAAAGAAGACTGATAAGGAAGCTGCTCAGCAAGCTACTAGAGAGTTAAAGCTTTCTAGAGATCAAAATCTTGTTGCCGCCGCCAGATCAGCCAGGTCAGCCAAATCCCCTACAAAGGCCGTACGAAGCCAGGGGCCTGGTGAAAAATCTAACCAGGCCAACCCTATACAACCTTCCCAATCCGGTAATCAGTCAATTACACGCCTATCAGCAAGCTCCCTACGACCTACTTCTTCTAGCAGTTCCTCCACGTCGCCGTCAATTCCTTCTTCGCCTACCCCGCAATTATCACGTTGTGGCCGCATTATTCGACTTCCATCTAGATTTTTGGATTAACTATACATTTTTATATGATCTATTCCTTCTACTAGATATATATTTTTAATTTAAATTAAATAAATTCATGGGTGGTTGAGAAATTGGTGGAATTCCTTGGGTGGTTGCTTGCTTGTAGAGGCGTGCGTTGTGTGGCGGCGTGCGTTGTGTGGCGGCGTGCGTTGTGTGGCGGTTTACGTTATTGCCCTTTGTTATTGGATGCAGAGTTTATAGCTACAAGAGGTGTCAACATTTTACACGTGCCATTGAGTCCGGCGCAAATGATCTAGGACTCCCCATTTATCTACATATGATCCTGGAATAAAAGTATAGAATCGATGAACTTCATGGCACGACTATTTTCAACCCTGTCCGCCATGAAATCTGATATCCTATCGAAGTTTCTCTGCGTAGTAAGCCATTATCAGTTCAATCACGTGGCGATAAGCATTTTTGCTTCAACCTCCACTGCCAGAATATATATATATATATATATGTGGCCATATGGATGTTATAAGCCCTATCCGACAGCCCCTATGTTCTTGTAGAGCTCAAAATTCTACAGCCCAAAAGCCCCTCGACATATATAGATATTATGGACGTTCCGCCATATCCCGGCATTCCTTCCGGACCATCCCACTCCTCCTGTTCCTCCTTTGAAACTTCAACTCTTCACTCTCCAACCACGACCAGCACGACCACCGCCTCCTCCACCTCCCAACACCAACACCAGGAACCCTCTATATCATCCCTAGATGATATCTTCGACACGTCACTTCCCATCTTCGGAGAAGCCTCAGTCCAAGGCAAGCGCACCAATATATCAGATAGCGAACCATCAGACCTCCCATCCTTGCGCCGCCAGCATGTCACGGCTGGCTACCGAGATGGCATTACCGTGGCGAAGAGCGAACATGTCCAGCGCGGGTTTGATGCAGGATTCCCTGTTGGTGCCGAGCTGGGGTTGCGGGTTGGAACTGTGTTGGGTGTTCTTGAGGGGATGGCAAAAGTGACCGCTGCTGCAGGTCGCGGTGCTCGTGTCGGCGGTCGTAGTACAGATGTCGGCAGGAATATTAAGGAGAATAGACCCTCTCGGGAAGGAGGAGAAGATATGCAAGTCTTATTCGAGACAGCGAAGAAGGAGTTAACCTTACAAAACATATTTGGTGCTGTTGCGACTGACGTTGCAGTGGAAGCGGAGCAGACGGGTGATGGCGGGCGTCAATTGGAAGACCCGTGCTTGAAGCTGAGGAGGGCCGGGGAAGATATTGTGGCCGAGTGGGAAGGGAGAGTTAGAGAATTGTTGGCTGAGAGCATTTGAGATCAGTTCATCTGTGGTTTGGATTCATACGATATCCGGAAACAGGTGTAAGAGGATTTTTCCATCTATGCGATGCAAAATTCTCCCTGCTTGGAGCTTGCTGGGAGAATGTTCAGTGCCATTGGGAACCTCCAGATTCGCAGAGTGGCTGTGCCATTTCGAAAATCTTGGTGGGCTGCTTCCTCCTGGGAATAAGCTGGGAATAAGTATTGACTCACAGCCATATACGGGATACAGCATCTCCCGACTCCGACTCTTCCCAGGCCAACGCAGTGGGGATTTACAACTTGATGGCTGTTTATCTATATATTCACCCGGTAACAGGCGGCCCTTCATAAGTAAGAATGCAGATTCGTTTGAGAAGTGTGGTACGTAAATGTCTACCGTTCAGTCTTTCCCTTTGGAATATATGATTCTCATTACTGTCCCCTTTTCTTTGTTATCGGTTTTCCATTGTCGCCTTTCCATCAATAATTGAGAATAGTGTTCTTATACTAACATGAGATCCGACATCTAGGTATTGACTACCCTTGGGAGTTCGTCATAATTGAATACCTCTTAACTGAGAAGGTCCAAGTGGAATGTGTTATCCAAAAACCCCCGAAAGACCCAATGTTTTCTCCCCAATATCGGAGCTATATAGAATTACATGGCGAATGGAACATGTAATAAATGCGGAATTTCCGATTAGTCTTAAACCCTAGTTCCGGTTTCGTATTCTCATGGAGTATTGTCTCGTGCGTATCACAGAGGCTCCTTGACCCAAGGCTTCTGCCCACCAAGGCATCTTGTCGAGGGTTTACCAAAAGGACAGAAGGGTGAAATCAGATACCAGGCATCCACAGAATAATAGAAAGATTAGAATACACAATTTTCCTTCCTGGTTTAACTTCCCATCGGCATTGATAGTATCATATAAAATCAGGTACAGGAATGATGTTGATTTCCACTGTGACTGGAAGGGGTATGCCGGTTGTTATACTTTTGGCGCCTCCACCTGCGATTTCGAGACTTCTGCCAAAGGTATTAACAGTATGTGAAAAGGCAAAATGATGAGAAAGCTGCTGAGCCTAGTCAACGTGGTATTGTGGAGAAATCAGGTGTAACTAAGCTAGCTGGTTTTCGAATTAGATGGCGACCTTTGAATTCATTTTGATATTGCACATTTCTTTTTAACTTTGCTTGTTTGAATAGCAACATAAAATAAGGTTGACAAAATCCCAAAGGGTTTAGACGAGAACGGTAAACTTGTGCGGGCATTCGTCGGTCTCCATCCTCCGCACTGAACATGGATATGCAAAGACTCCTGCGCATGCGCAAAGCGGTGGGATTGCTGGAACGAAAACTTGGGTTTGATCGAACCAAGACATTTCTTGATCGGGCAACAGCGCCGGATTTGAACACAACTGGCCTCGATAATAAGATCATACCAATATTTGGATTTGGGTTGTAAAGAAACCGCGCAAACGTTTCGGGGTAAACAGAGTATACGTAATGAGCTGGCGCCGTGGATACCTAGGTAAGCTAAAGCAGGGACTTTGATGCGTGAACGTAATGTAGGATTTGGCTCTGGGCTTGAATTGCATGTTCAACTTGGATAGCTCACTCTGTTAGGCCATGAAATTATATTGAACCCGTTGTTAGCCGTTGATTGGCTTTATTGTTCTGAAATTTTCTGGAAGAAGCGGAGGTATGTCAACTGGGAATAGTTCCAATGACATAACTACGTAGTAGCCTTCCAAAGTATGGCCACATGGTTTCAAAAATCGACGTAGCGATTGAGAATCAACCCCAAGTTGGAAAATTTTCTCAACACATATATTCGAGACTCTCGCCACTCGTACCAACGACATAACGAAGTTGGGCTAATCCAGTGTGCTGAGGATGAGGAGAACAGCACATGAAGGCTTTCCTGTCGCACCCAAGGGTATTGGAATTTGGAACACACGAAAAAAACCATGGAAACCGTACTGAAAGGTTCACTAGAGGAGAACATGGGCTAAATTGGACCAATGCTGACGGTAGGAGACAAGATTATTGGAAGTGAAACCAATGCGGAAGCAATTGAATTGCGATAGGAAGCTGAGGGTGCTCAGACCATAGCAGGTGGCGAAGTGAAATCAAAGAAAGTGGGGTTCAAGCATAAGATATGTATCAGATATGCAGTTGCTAACAGATCAATACAAAGGGTAATAGGCAAATAGCTCAAAGAGAAGGGCGATGAATATTCTGGTAGACATTGTGAAGATCGATGGCAATTTCGAAATGAATTGGCGCGGATCAAGTCATGCCTTTGCATGAGCGATGTTGGTGTTAAAATAGCAGTCCATGAAACCTGGGCAGCAACTGTAGGGAGTTATGAACAAGGCATTAAAATGGAAGATTGTGAAATGGGCTCCATTTTGGCTCAAATCATGTTGGTTGGGCAAACCAATTGGGTGGGTGGGGTTTTGCACGTTCAGGAATGGTTCGCATCTCATAGGAACCCTCCGGGAACGACAAACTTAAACCGTATGTCAACGGACGCCCCCCACGCGGTGTCGAGAGACGTGATAGACTTCCCGCTGTCATGACGAGGCGAGATATGTTACTACATCTGGCACTTTGTGACGGCGGGTGATGTTAGGACTGGGATGTTTCTGAATGTGCACGCAGAATGGAGCTTGCCAGCTCATCAAAGGCTAAGTTAGATTTGCCCATCGCCATTTTAAAGCAATGCTGCTGGATGCCTGCCTGGGGCTCCTTGGGGCTCTTATTTATGTTCCCGCTTTTATCGTGGATACGCTTCAAAAACACATACGGGAGTTCAAGTTTGCATGTTGGAGGACAGTGGATTTTATGAGGGGCCGCGTGTGGGAACTAGAATGACGTTCTTGTAAGGCATCAAAATTGATTCCTCCTCCCAATGGCCTCTCCAGCAGGAATTCAGTCTTCCACTGTTTTGTTGTATTCTGGGTCGCATAGATAAAATACGCCCGGGCTGTCACTGTCGGTCATGTTTGCAAACGTATGTGTGTTCCTGTGGCGGATCCTGGTGCCCAAATTTCTGTCTGACGCTGAGGTGGACTGCTGCAACTGTCCGACGGAAACACCACTTTCCCAACACCTGCTCAGAAAAGGGGAAGTGTGTCGTCGAGGTATGAGAGAGCAAACAACAAGGAGACAAATCCTCTTGTGATATATGCCAAATAGAGGGACACTGGTAAAAGTAGCATACCGCTGGCGCATTTGCCAACCAAGATGTCAAAGTTCGGGAACGAGACGAGGGGTTGGACGGTTACTCCGTAGTTGCTATCAACTCCCCTTTTCGGATGATGCCAGGATCCGCAGCCAGTCACTCACTAGCCATACGCCGTCATAGTGCAGGGCCCAGCGCTGTGGCCAGCGCCATGACATGAAGCAAGCAGCTTATCTTGGCATAATTAGACATGCTGATGTTGCAGTCTACAGATATCAGACTAGAGGAACTATTATGAAACAAACTGGTATAAATCAGACGGTACTACATTAAGCAGGCTAACTATCATAAACAATACTTATTCATCATATTAACAAAGCAGGCTAACTAATACAGACAATACTTATACATCATAACAGAGTAGTCATTAAACATATTAAGCTTCAATCACTGCTATCGCATCATCATACGCCTTAATAATAGGATCATAGAGTATTTTTGGGTCTTGTGGTGTTCCAACAATAATTCCTTCCTTCCCATAAGGAAACAGCACGCCTCGTATGGTCCTGCAGAGATGTTTGACACACTCAAATTCCAGTGGAAACTCCTGCAGAACAAATTCAAATCCACGAACTTGCATGTCACTTTCCTTGATTCTTGCAATATTTGTATAAGTTCCAGTATACCATTCTCTCAGTCTGCTGTTTTGTGGCTGTCTCTGTCTCTGTCTCTGTAGCTCATTTAGTTTTCTCCAGCTGTTACGGGCACACTGCCAGATAAGCACATAGAAGAAAGACTCAAGATCATGCCGGTAAGTATGGTCGACATTAAGAAGCACTTCAATTGCCATGAACTCCATTGTGCCAGTCCGGTAGCGTGCACCACTTCGCTCACTTCCAACTTCTTTGGCAAGGTCCAGATCAATTAGCATGCCAGAGTGACCATCTGTCTTTTCAGGATTGGTTATTATTATATTGTTCTCTGAAATATCTCGATGAAGGATGTTTCCGTCCAGGTAAAGAGACTGATGTGCCTTTATTGCATCACGAAGTGCCATGAGTAGCTCCAAGGGTGATTTGTACTTGTAGATTGGCCGGCCAGCAGGTGATATCACCAGACAGCGGAGAACACGGTTGTCATAGAGTTCCTTGCCATTCCTGTCAAAGAGACTTGGTGTGTGCACTGACTGAATGGAGAAAGGAAGTTCATTGTTCTGCTGAGAGGTCCTCAATGATTGACTGGCAAAATGTGGTTGTTTGGACACCTGCATTCCCTTGCCTGGATATTTGCATTTCCTGGAAGATGTTTGATGAATATTCAAGTGACAGGGCTCAGCGGATGGCTGAGATTGATGAAGTGAGGAGACTCTACTGGAGGTTGCACTTTTGAAGTCATGGTGCTTGTTGTCAAAGGTCAGGCCGCAGCGCATGTCAGCTATGCTGGTGATGGTACTGTGTCCAATAATCCTGGCAATCCCTTGGACATTTTTTTGAGCTGCTAGCTTGAGGAGTTCCACCTCTGGGCGCCGCTTATCTGAAACCCATGAGAGCTTGGCTACACCCTCCACTTCTCCATCATCTGTGAGAAAACATGTCGTCCCACGGCACACAATGGCATGCTGAAAGGTAAGCATTTCACTCAGCCGCAGTGTCAATTCCTCTGAGGATTCAGACTCTTTGATGGTTATTGATTTGCTGCCGTCTTCATTTCTAGCAATAAAGGTGTCCAGTCCCAGCTCCTCATCACTCATCATGGTGTAGCCCACAAACACCTGAAGGAATTGTCTTCGGTCTGTGTTGACATCAATGATGCCTGAGCTGTAGGGGCCTGAGCGGTCAAACACCCACATCTCCATCTTGGTCCCGCAGACGGTAAATGCATGGACAAATCGCCGGGTGGGTTGAGCTGCAAAGACATCACGCACATAGCAGCTTATCTGCAGCAATGTATCTTTGGCCCTGATCTCCTTCTCTGATTTTTTCAGCTCACCAATCACCAGGATGTCTCTCCAGTCATGTTTGTCTTGTGAGAGGCTTGTGCTTCTAGCTTTCAGAAGAAGGTCAAGTTGCCGTTCCGCCTTTGAACCAGTAAGATTTGTTTTGCTCACTGTGGTGCTGTAGATGCTGCGTGATTCTGAGAGAAGGCGTTTTTGAAGTTGAAACCACCAGGTAAGGACATCACTCTGCATAGGAGGATCAGGAAACTGGGCCCAGTTCCCATCACTGTCTGGGGCTAGCACATGTTGACAGATGGCATCTGCTTTGTCACTCCAGTCTTTTCCCTTGAAGTACTTGTTGAAGAAGCCCTCAACATTCTGAAATGTGCAGTCGCATATCTCCTCAAAGATTCTCATATTCACCAACTCGCGTGTCTGCTCGGAGTCTTTCTGTGATGATGAGGTGGTTTTTACTGGCGTGCCAGTAAAGAAACGGGGGATGCTTGTCAGTGGAGGAATTGATTGTGAGATAGTAACTGTGAGATCAAGAACAGCCTTCCAAATATCAACATCTGGTGCTTTTTGGATGATAAGCCGCGCCAACAGTCGAAAGTCGTTGTAGTTGAAATCACCCTTGAGAATGCATTCATGGATATCTACAAGCTCACGAGCCACACTGTGTTTACTTATTTTAGATTGAAGCTCAACAGCTATCTCTTGCCCCAGAAAAAAAGAAAGAAGTTTTGATATTGCCCTTTGACAGATTTCATCCTTAGGATCAGCTGAGGCATCATATGCTTGCTCTGCCTCCTGAAGTGGGCCTCGCAGCGAATTTAGCGAGTCATTAAAAGGATGCTTTGCAATGATATCAGAATCATGAGGCGAAAGGGTGGTCATATGTGATGTTATGGCACAGGCAGCAATAGAAGAGATAGGGAAGCAAGGGAGTGAATTGAAAAGTTTGTTTAACTGTGTATCAGGATATCTCAAATCTCAACAGCTAATGTTGTATCAAACTGAGCTGTATATTCCTTGCATCGATTTTCTGACCGAGTAAAATAGGTTGTGGGGGTAAAACAACCAGAAAGAGAAAGAGATATGTGAGAGGCTGACTAAGCGACTAAGTGGTGGTGGCTGCTAACTAACTAGTTTTGTTAGAGGATGTGGGAGCCTAGGTTTCCTATTATGGACTAGCGCACCGCACAATAGTATATAGCATCCCTGAGATAGGCTACCAATACAACCACTAACTTCAGACGTCCAACAGAGGATTCCTCGGCTACCCGAGGTCACGTGCACATATGTATTTATTAGTAGTAGCTAGCTCGCTTAGAGTCCCACAATGCAACAAGGTTGATAACGGTCCTCTAAGAAGTCTAACTAACTAACTAGTTAACTAATTATCTCCTCGTACTTGCGATTTTAAGTGTGTTCCATTAGTGTATTAAATACAGTGATCTAATTGATTCTAAACCAAGACCTGCAGTATTTAGCAGTATTGATGTAATCTATGTAATCTATTTGAGCTAACCCTAATTTAGTGTACTTGAATGGAATTCTGCCCAGATTAAAGGAAATATGGAATTCAGACAGAAATGACTCGAAACGGCCTGTGTTTCAACCTTTCATACAGAGGGGGGGGGGGTGGTATTTTGACATGTAGAACAGCCAACACTTTGATTGTGGAAGCCGTTTTTGATTCCACTGACCCTGTTGTTTTTTATATTGACACCAGGCACAAGTTCGCATAGTTGGAAGAGAAATTCACTCATGTTTTAGGGTGGAATTCAATTGTTCAGGTGGTTGTGAGGACACTTGACGTGGATGAACCAAGTGTTAAAAGAAAGCGTGAGAAGCACTATAACTAATATCGTAAGAGAGTAGGAATATAGGCGCTGCGAACGCTATGGAGGGAAGAGGATAGCGATGGGTGAAAACGTAGGTATAAAAGAGGGGTGAAATCCTACGTTTCACGGAGAGAGAAGACAGGGAGACCATCGCTATTCTGCCTCACAGAGGATAACCTATTTTAGCTTCACCGCCTTCCTCTTCCGTACATCATCTCCCTATCTAGTCCGTATAGGAGAATCCCCGTATATCAGCTATATCAACCATTTGACGCATATGCTGCTCTATACTGATTTGCAAGGTTCACTCTGTTCATATAATGATTGTAGTCATCAATCATGACAGAAATATCAAGGCTTTTCACTAAGTCATTGTCAAAAACACAGTTGTCATGGCTCTAACTAGAATCAAGATAAACAAGACAAAAGCTTCAATTCATCTATCTAACTAGGCAGCTGCGACGAGGATACTAAACTGGGGATTAGAATATGGGAATGAAACGAGCAGCCGGATATATATAGGCCGTTGAGGATCGGAGCGGATCAACCTAAGCAACCAAATATGGTTGAGGGCATTACTTGACTGCCAGTAATGACAAACAGATGGTGATTAATGTAATTCCCATAATATATATGATTATACCAAAGCAATACCTTGATATCAGGGTTAGTAGTTGGCTTCCATTCATGAGCATGGATTGAGAGTTTATTTCATACCTGGTTTGTGGCGTATAGATTTGTAGATATGGATATTAAGCTCCATATCAGCCTCTTGTATGAATAGTGTGAATAATGTGTATGGATCCTCTATATCAATGTTTGCCGGGAGGTTAAGAACTGGAGGTCAATATAAGCTGCATGGGAGTGAACTGAATATTTTCAGTAGAGGAAATATCTGCAATGACTTCCTCCACTGGCTGCTTGCATTTTCTTTGGTTTCTAGGCATTATTTCAGACTCTAAGAAAAAAAAAATGAATTAGTTTAAACATAGGAATAATTGAAAATAAGAGAATTACCTTCAGAATTCACAGGTAATTCCATGGTAGGAATATTTGTTTTCATACTCAGCTGCAGGGTGGGTGGTTTGTTGAAGCTGAGAATCATAGGAAATATTTCATCAAATCGCGTTGGCACGAGTTTGGGTTGTGGGATGTTTGAACCAATAATCTTAACATATATTTTACTATGAGAGTTTATTGGTCAAATCATTCATTCTAACTTGATAGTTCAATACACTAACGTAACTGCGCTAAAAATTGCAAGTCGCAGGAGATAGTTAACTAATTATGTTGAATTGTCTGACATTGACAAGGCAGGCTGCCACAATATATTTTGTTGTTGCCCTGGCATATTACGCAGCTGTTGTTTGAAGAATAAAGAACAGGAACGAGAACAAGATGTTGGACTGAAGCCGTTTTCGTCAGAGAGAAGAAAAAGCAAATTCATCTGCGGCATTTCCCAATCCGACGAGAAATCAGCCTCATCCAACTGGTTAGTTATTTATTTTTCTTTACTTCCAACTTCCTCGCACACAAAAAAGAAACCAAAAAAACCAAAAAAGAAAAAAGAAAAAAGAAAAAAAAAAAAAAAAAAAAAAAAAAAAAACCCCACTCGACACACCTGCCACAAGCTGTCTTCGCCCTGCAGATGTCTTCTCTGGCCTTTTTGTTGCAGAGTTGACCCAATTGAGCTGTGTAAGGCCCTGAATCATGCTGTCTCGGACATCCAACAGGCTATGGTGTTGGCTGTTCCCTCGTGCACCAGCCATCTGGATTCTGCGCCAGGAGCTCATTTGACCAGCCACCGCATTCAACTCCCGACACCAACAACAACAAAACAACAGAGTCTTGCAGGGGCAATTTCTCTCTCCTGTTTCCTAGCTATCCTTTGTCTTTATTTTATCTGGTGTTTTTATCCTTACCATTTGGTTTGTTTATCTTTATGTGGAATACGCGCTGTCCCAAGGCTCTTACCTTCAACAACAACTTCCGCTCGCTCCCAGAGCCAGCTTGGTGCCGGTTCTTTTCTCCCAGCCTCCTCCCTGAGCTATTGATTACTGTTAGACAGGGTGCGAGTGAACTCACTTCTCTTCTGGGGAAGGATAATCATCTCAATTGTCCTTCGCTTCGTTCGCGTTGTCCTCCCCTCCTCCGCAATACCTATCTCCTTCAACCCTGTCTCAAGTAGCTGCACGATCTTTTGACCAGCCCTACGAAGTTCACGACCAGCTTACGTTAACATCCCTCCATTCACGACAACGCCAGCAGCCGCTCCCTGCCCATGTAAACCCCCATCTATCTGAATTATCTACCCGATCCCCGCTATTATCCAGTTCATCCACTTCTTCTAGTCGTCCCCACCTGCTGCGAAGGACTCCGAGGCTTGAAAATATACTCTTTGCTTCTCGTCCAACTGCAACCGTCAGGTTCGCACCGCAGATAACAACCGTCAAGGCGGATCCTGAATTTAGTCGAGATACTTCTCAACGGCATTTCCCCGCAGCACAGCAGGAAGAATATCAGGAGCCGTACCAGAGCTCATTGCAACAAACCGGTGAATCATTCTGGCCCCGACGAACTAACCGTGTTTCATCGCAAACTGTATCTGCTATCCTCTGGGCATTGGAAGAAGCTATCCGCACGCCCTTCCTTTTCACCCCAGATCTGAGTGAGCTTAACGCATCAATGTCAGATCTAGTGGGCGGAGGGATACCGTCTGGGCAAACAGGCTATGACCGGCCTCAAAATGGAGCTTCACGAACTGCTCCAGGGCCCGTTGCTGCTCAGCCAACTGCAACTAGTGGAGTTCGGACCCCGACTGATATCATGAGACAACGTCGTGATCGTGAAGCGCGAAAGAAAGCAGAAGAGGAGGCAAGGGAGAGGGATAAGCAGGAATCAGAATGGCGATTAAAGCAGGAGCAGAAGGTGCAACAGCAGCAGATTCAACAGTTTCCCCAACCAGGGAGACATCAACCAGCTGCTGGCGTTGCCGGTGAGACCAGTGGGGACCACAGAAGACCAGTGAAAGGAGTTATTCCGCAAGATCATGGCTCTAGGCGTGATCGAGCCGACAGTGGGGGCATGTCTCGAATACCAACACATGTTGCTCCTGCTCGAGGCACAACCGGGATGCAGTCAGCCGTTCCTCCTGCTGCAGCTACCCGTCAACAAAATCTACCCACCGAATCTTGTGTTACAGGTGATGGAACGCAACAAGTTCAAACCTCTCGCCAACGAGGAACGTCAGTCTCCCAACAAAGACCTGCTCCTGCATCCGCTCAGCCTTCTTCTCGGATTGCGACTGGAACATGGACACAGCCAGTTACTTCGTCCATGCACTCCAGACCACAAACCATGCCTACACAAGCTGCTCCACCCCTCGAAGAACCTGGAATCTCTTATTCTCAGCAATCACAGCCTCCTCAACCCAGTCAACAAACTCAGTCGCAGTCACAACAACAGCAGAGTCGCCCCAGAGCCCCCTTTCCTCATGCATTTGAGCGTTGGGAGACACTTTCATCACATTGGGAAGGCTTAACGAGTTACTGGATACGTCGGTTGGAGCAAAATAACGAGGACTTAAGCCGTGATCCCCTAAACCAACAGATGTCACGGCAGATTACAGATCTTTCTGCGGCTGGTGCAAACTTGTTCCACGCAGTAGTCGAGTTACAACGATTACGAGCATCTTCGGAACGAAAATTCCAACGCTGGTTTTTTGACACGCGGGCCGAACAGGAACAATCTCGGGAGGTCCAGGCAGAACTGGAGCGATTATTAAGAACTGAACGACAATCTCACGCGGACGCAGCAAGCTCGATTGCCAAGACTGAAAGTGACAAGGCAAAAGCCGAGGAATTGGTCCGGGAAATGCGTCGTGAATTGCAGATATCGAAAGAAGAAGCTAGGCGAGCTTGGGAAGAACTAGGGAGAAGAGAGCAAGAAGAACGTGACCGGACAATTTCTTTAAGAAGTGGAGAGCCTACCATAGTTGGCGGTGTGCAGGTAGTCCCCATGATGCAGTCTGCTCTTAGCAGACATACTAGTACCAATCGTCCTCCAACAAGAGAGGGTCCCTACCCTGGAGGCCCTGGCCCAACATCAATGGGTGGACAAAGTCGACAAGATGTCCCGGAATCTACTGAACAATATGTGTACGACAGTCAAGTCTCGTCTCCAACAGGCACAGATATCCTTGTTGAAAGGAGCGGAGAAGCCGGTCACCAAATATATCACATCTCCGCAGTTTCACAACCTCCAATATCTGCAGCCGCAATGGTCACAGCACGAACCGCTACGTCCCAAGCTCAAACTTCAACAACCGCCAGCTCACACAGCCAACAACCTCATGCTGAAGATCCCAAAGGACGTTTTTACCACCACGATCCCTCTGCTCTCCCCATGGATGAGCCAAAGACCACCGGAACCGATGAGCGCTCCTACTTACCACCTGACGAGCCAGCCGGTAGCGATTTCGTATCGGAGGAGTATGAATTGCGTAATCCACAGTACCAGGAGCGTCGTATCGAATATTCCCGCACCATCTCAGACGACAGCGGCGACTATGATAACATGGGGTCATTATCTGAAACTGGATATGGCCCAGGGTATGATGGGATGGCTGTAGTGGAATACGGCAGCGGACCACCTGGCAGCTCGCCTGAAAGCATTCACGAAGGCAGGTTCGGTCAAAACGTCGACCGTAGCGTACCTAGCTGGGGGGGGCAGGGGTCAACGTGGGATTCCATGACGCCGACACATCGTCACCCAACACGACTCAGTGCCGTTCTGGAGGAAGATGAGAGAAGTCGAACTAGCCCAAGTAGAGCAAGCCAGGCGAGTCGAGGAATGCACTAATAGACGAAGAACGCGTTTGCATTTGTTTCCTTGCTCTCATTTCCATTTCCTTTTTTTTTTTTTTTTTTTTTTTTTTGATTCTCCTTTGCTACTTCTGGCATGAGATATTTGTTTTAACAGTTGGCATTATGAGATGTGATGGTGTGACGGGTGCAATGAGTTGAAAATGCCCCTCTTCCTAGCATCAGCTCTGAAATTTCGCATTCATATCTGGAGACAATTGGTATGGACTCTTCCCTGCACCTATCTCGCCCCCGTATGCCACCGATTCCCTAATCACTCCACTTGCATCACTCACATTGTTGCACTTCTTGCCATACTTTGCTTTGATTCATACGTATGATTATAGATCTATTGTTGGGGTTTTGTGAGCGTGTATTCAATTGATCAAAGTTATTTTCTGCATTTTTGCTTCGTTAATATCCTTTGATGAGTCTCCTTGTGGGCGATGTCCTTGTTTTGGTTGTTTCTGTATCTTTTACTTTTACCTTCCCGTGCTCTTTGTTGGAGTACGCTGCTGAAGGACTGCTAGAGGACACTGTTCAAGTACACTACGTTGAAGTAAATTCTGTTGCAGTAGATTCTGTTGAATTGTTGTTCAATTCTATTTGTAGTGGGTCATGATCGAGTATCATTTCCATCTAATCGGCTCCTCGTTGTGCGCACACACACATAGCTCCTTTGAGCGTATAGTATTCAACGATTAACTCCAACCAGGAATGCCCAGATTCCCGTCTCCAAAAGACCTCTATGGATTTTATTGAACTCGGCTATAGACAATTCACATGTTCTCGCAACATATAGAACTTTCTAGCCGCCCTCGATATTGCCACAAGACTAACATAACAACACCACCAGCATATCATATGTAGGCTTGGCGCGTAGACCTCTAATTGCCTGAGGCGCCTTGGGTATGTGAAAAAATACGCAGATTCCGCTGGATTCCACATGCTGTCGCGAGGTGGCAGGGGAGGGAATCAGCTAAATATGGCGCAAGTGGGACACCTTCTTCCAGCTCGTGGATGATCTCGTTAACAGCGCCATTGCTTAGTGGAGAAAGCATGCCAGCGGGGTCCCAGAATAAATCAGCGGGGAGTTGCATGTTTCTCGTTCTCTATATCCGCTTGCTTAACTATCGTGACATTAGTCCGATAACTAGTCATCAGAGATCCGTTCACGTGATATGTCAATCCCTTCGCAGTTTTTGTCTTCATCATCGACCGCAGCTTGCAATTGTTATCCAATTGCTAGACAAAAACCTCCAATTCTGTTCCTTTTTAAATCTTTAAATTGGAAATAAGCCTGACAGCGTAATAATGACCTCGTCTTCCTCTTCTTTTCTCGTTCGCTGGATGCGACATGCCTCCCACCAATCCCCGTTCCTTCACAGAGCATCCACGTCCGCCTTCTCTCACTCCCCGCTTATGCCAACCAGATCATACTATTCCAGCGGAGGAGCGTTACAAACTTACTATCCTCGGTCCGGATTACGATTGTCTCCATTATTGATACGATCGAAACCGCATGCTACTTCATTTTCCGCCTCCTCATCCCGCCGAAAAGCCAAAACCATTCAGCAATTAAAAGCTCGCGCCGCAACGGGCCCATTCTCATGGAAAGCTGCAGTCTTATTTGTCGCAACGGGTGTGACGATGATATTTTACTTTCGTTATGAGAAAGAGAGGCTTAATCGTAAGAGGATTGCTGAGATGAGCAAAGGTGTGGGCAGGCCGAAAGTTGGCGGACCATTCGTCCTCAAGGATTTGGATGGAAATGAATTCACGGACGAACAACTGAAGGGGAAATACAGCTTTGTGGGTGCTCCATTTCCATCTCTATTTTTATATTGCTTCCATTCCAATTGCCCTTGGAGGAGGATATGTTAATTGAACACCTGTTGACACTCCTACGTCCTTGAAGATTTATTTCGGCTTCACTCATTGCCCGGATATTTGCCCAGATGAACTCGACAAAATGGCCGAGATAATCGATCTTGTAAAATCTAGATCGAGCAACAAATCTGTTCTCCGGCCCATCTTCATTACCTGCGACCCAGCCCGTGACAGCCCCGAAGTGCTGCGCAAATACCTAGCAGAATTCCACAAGGGTATTATAGGCCTGACGGGCACGTACGAGCAGGTGAAGCATGTGTGCAAACAATATCGCGTCTATTTCAGCACGCCGGAGAACGTGAAGCCTGGAGAGGATTATCTTGTGGACCACAGCATTTATTTCTACCTAATGGGTATGTCGTGTGTTCTATCATTACCTCCCAGGTTATATATCTGGGATTTTTATCCCTGGTCTCCTTACCCTGGTCTCCTTACCCTGGTCACCTGGGAATATAGAACTAACCTCCGCTTCTCTGTAGATCCGGATGGAGATTTCATTGAATGTATCGGACGCCAAGACACTGCAGAAACCGCAGCCAACACCATTCTTGCTCATATAAAGGATTGGAAGAGGGAAGGGAAACCACTTAACACTAAAGAGGAGTAATGTCTGGGAGAGTAAAACACAAGACCTTTCTTTTTGAGTCTCCACTCTTCATACACTTCGTTTTGACGGCAATTCATCTATTTTGTGCCCGAAACGTGGGATTCTCGGGGTTGAGAGCCCCCGCGTTGTGATGCAATATCATTGTCGCACTCTGTCTATATTACTTGATTATGGAGTTGGTCGGAATTTTTGGAGTATATGTAAGATTTACTCCTATGTTGTATTATAATCTACACACGCACTCTCTACAGTATTTCTTTCTGCAGCTTCAAACATTAGTATGAGACATTAAAAATGACTTATGATACCACTATTCCTGAGACTATTGCTGGGAATTGAATTGGATGTCGAATTTGACATCTTGGAGTGACCTAATTTATTATTTCATTATAAACCAACAATATCGTATTTAATCGTTGTCGGAAATAATCCCCGGGATATCTTTTCAACATCATCACATGAACCATCCTGTTGGTTTGAATGAGCTTCGTACCCTGCCAGAACACCCAACAATGCCAGTCCGACCTGCGGAGGAAAAACACTTTTTCTCGCGCTAAATTAAAATATTCATCACAAGAATCAACCAAGCTTGCATAAACGGCTCAAAGAAAGATATTAACTAGAACATTAAATAAAAATTCCCGTCGTCAAACCGAGTATAGCACCCACACCAATCCCCAAAGCCGTCCGCCCGAAATTCTTCTTCTTCCTCCCCAACTCCCGCTCATTCGTCTCAGGTTTCAAGCGATGGAAATCCATCCTCAGGGCCCTCATTCTCTCCTCTAGCAACTTGATTTTCTCCTGCAGCTGTGTCTTGGTCCCCCGCAGCGCGCGGCCATACTCAGAATCCTTCTGCCGCAGCGCCTCGTCGAACTCCTGCCCCAACGCCACGAGTTCGCCGGCGTATCGCTGCTTCTCCATCTCCATATCCGCATATAGTTCTCGGCCTGCAGCCGTGTTGCTCAGCTGTTGGTTGTATAACACCATTTCTCGTTGGATGTCGAGGACTATGGGCTGTCGTTTGTGCAGAAGGGCTTTCACGATCTGTTCTGCTGACCGCCTGCTACCAGTGTGGCGCATGGCCGTACTTCCACGACTGAGCATGCTTCTCCAGTAACAGTCTCGTAGCTGCTTTTCGCGGCTGACCCCGTCATGGAACTCGCCCAAGTTTCCCCACTTATTCGTGGTCATGATCACTTTAGATAGATTAGTGGCTCCGCAGAGCTTTCTCAACATGCGCAAGTTACGTTTTGCGGCGCCATCCATCCGCTTGGCTGTTATGTCGTGTAAGTATATTACGCCGGCCGTCTTAACGTTGTTGGAGAAGGTCAGGCAGAAGAAGTTTGCTACGGAACGGAGCGTATTAATGTCACTTCTGTTGGTTCCGGTAAAGCCTGGTGTGTCGACAAGAAGCACTCTTGTTTTCCTATCAACCTGGTACGGATATACCTCGACATCCCTCGTAGCTATGTTTGGTGTTAGTGAATGCCGACCGCAGGAGAGACCGGCAGGTATTGAGCAGGACAAAGAACATACATCCTTTGAGTTTATGTCCAAGAGCAGCGTTTTGGCAGTCAGCAAAAAGGGAAACAAAAGTACTTTTCCCCGCACCAATCATTCCCATTATTGGAACCACGACGTCTTCTGGGCTATATATTTGCGTCCTCGTCAGCGTGGGAAATGGGTGAAGGGCCTCAGAGGAGCGAAGGAAAAGATATTGCACGTATTTTACTTATACTTACCGGAGCTCCAACTCGGGTCTTTGGACAGCCGTTGCTTCATTCTGATATAAAAATTGGTCATCAGTTGTCATTGACGGGGGTTGTTGCACGGGTGGTCTAATATTCTGTAGAACTCCTGGAAACCCCCCGCTCAGCAAAGGGTTAGGTAATTGACTGGGTGACGACCCTCCATAGCCTAAGGAGAGTCCAGCATGATATGCTGGAGGCGAAGTACAAACAGATTGGGGGGGTGAGAGTCGCGAAGAGCCTACAAAACTGTAGGGCGGTGGAGGGGGCCCGAAGCCGTTACTCGTCGACATAACTAATCTGTAGGCTACAGAGACTCTAACCTGCTCCGTAGACCGGCAGCTGATGACGCGGGCTGTGAAAGATTTGGGAAGAAGAGAGTAATTAACACGAGAAGACTCGGAGAATTAAAAGAAATGAAGGCCAGACAGAGACTTGGAAGATCTCTAGAAAAATTCCTCCCGCCACCAGATGTTGGCGCACCTGGCAGTCAACTGAAGCACGTCTCGAACGGCTATTTTTGTGATGTTTTGCTCTTACCAGAGGGTTCTCCTCCAGATGCCACGTCTGCAGAGAGTTGCTCACGGAAGATCCCCCGGTTTCCTGAGTGGTTGGAAAAGCCCGACGAAATAAGTTTGCCCACCCCGGAGGCGCAGACGATATCAAATCAATCTTTAATAATCATTGCTCAGGTTGTTTGCTGCGACTCAGCCACACATAGCTTACTATTCTATCTAACTAACTAGTGAGATTGGAGTGCAACCATACAGGCCAAGCGTTAAATCATCCTGCCAACCTACCCTGCTGGCAACCTGGCCGCTGGGCACCAAGAGGCTAATAAAAAGCAAGCCACGGCATTAGGGATTCTTTGGTTAAAAAGGCCTGACAGATTCTTGATGTCTCTGGCAGCCCTACTCGCTCTCGCGCAGCTGATTTGGTCAAAAACCTTCCTCTGTGTGCACAATCCTATCCTGAGCATGAGTCAACTTCCACTAACATCTGCCGAAGGAAAGACGCGACACGGTATCAGTGATTGCAGATTGCTCTACCCGGGTAGGATGACCAAAATACTTATGTACGTAGCACACAGACGGAAGAAAGAAATGTTTGTAGACCATTTAACTATTTGTTTATTTGTGCTGACAGTGTGTTGATGTGATAGTTACAGCGGCTGTTGCGCTTACGGTCGGCGCAAGGGACAAAGGGGAATCAACATGAACCCTAACTTTACCATAGCGAGAATGCACCACCAAAAAGGGACACAATATTTCAGTCACTGAGAAAGGAAATTCCCTGGCGAGAAAGACGCTGGTTATTTACATTGGCCAGGTCAACCGCGCAAAAGAGTCAAGTTCCTCATTCTGCCTCCTGCGCCGCAGCTTGTCTCTCGGGTGCTTCCCAGAGTTCGCACAAAGTTGCTTCTGGACAAACACAATTGAAAGATGTGAATGAAGGATGGGAACCTCCCCCGATGAACACAGCATGGAAAATACTAAAACCAATACTAATTATTCTCTTAGTCATTTTGACTTCCCAACACCCGCACACTTCTAATTAATACAACGACCCCAAGTGGACATATTCGGGATAATGCATTGACGACAACCAACGGTATGACAGAATATGTTGCTGCTACACTTAAGGTCATGACATTGGATGTTTGGGCTTTGGCGTTTTAAGTGTTTTGAATCTTGAGGAGGCTCTAGAGGAGGGCCTCCCCTGCTCCAAATATGCGGGTTTTCAACGTCATGACCACTAACGCCTTTCCAAAGTTCCCTCAAGTGATCATGTTGCGTTGCATTTTGAACGAAGATCTTTGCAGTCTTCTGCAATTGCGCATTGGACATTGGACTAAAATCAATCACTGTTCCATTCCCGTCGACAGATCGAGCCACACCATCATTACCGACATGTATGAAACCGAGGTGATGCATGCGGAGGCTGCGGAAAACCTCAAAAATATCCTGCTCATCCTGTGGGAAATTGAGCGGCATATCCTGTCAAGAATTCTCTTAGGTTGGAGGACGGCTCATGGCTTACAGGTGACGGTTCCGGTGCTGCTCGTACTCTTAGTTGTGCTCCTTGCCCTGCCAGCACAGAGACTAGAGCAAGGAAGGTCAAAGAAAGGAACTTCATGGTGGTCATGATGATGATGGTTGGTGATGACGGTGATGACGGCGATGATGTATGGGGATATTGAAGAAGCAGAATTCCTAATCAGCGAAGTTGATTGGGGCTTTCAGGATCCTCGTTTAGAAGTTTCATTCTGTCAAACAGCAGTCGGCAAAGTGCGACCACTGCAACCCTTAAAAACACCCTCCAAAAAACGCCACAACTACATAAACGTGTATAATTGAAACTCCCTAAAATGCACCTTCATCCACGGTTGGGATCTGACCGTCGAGATGATGCGGTTACCACGACGTTAACCATTCAGGCTTACATTAACAGAATCGGTAACTTGCTGAATTCTGACGTTTTGTATGAGATCGATCCTTTATATGATTTTTGTATTCTTTGAGATCCTTCATTATTTATCCCTCTTCTGTTATGTGAATTATAGGTATGTTTAGCAAGTATTCCAAGATTGTCTAAATCAAACTGACCATAGCAGGATAGGGATTATAAGATAGACCATGTTGAGGTTTGATCAACTACCAGCGTTCGGGGTTTTGTGGTGCATTCGGCCCGGGCAGCCCGTCTCGCCGCACGTGATGAACCCTATTCGACCAACAACCTTTCATCCGAAGAGGAGATTGAACCATCCCAACCGGTTGAGTCCTGACAACAACATGGTTGTATGTTACCATAAATGCGCTCCCTGAGCAGGTAGGGTAACGGAGCAGAGTTGACGAACATCTACTCGCCCTGTCAGAGAGTTACATCTAAAGGTAGCGTCATGATACGTTTGGGTAAAGTTGCATCGGAGTCTGAATGCCCATGAGGGCAGAGATATGATTGAAGAAATAAGCACGTTAATGGTGTCCAATGAGCCATAACCAAACTGCTTAATGATTCCTATGGGATTGTACTCGCCCTTTGTCCAGGATAGACTCCTGGCGATTGGGCCTTTTTGCCATGTAGTCTAACGTCAATGACTGCTCCCCTATATAGCAAACCCTTTCCCCAGCCATGTTGTTGCGGCGTAGACAAATTTCTGACGTGGAAGGGCGCCCAGTTGCTAAAATGTCCATTTGGATTACAGGAATTGCCAGAAACTGCCAGAAATATTCATCCGCTGCTAACTACCATTCCCTCTCGCATTATCGCCGTATCACAGGCAGAATTGTAGGCTAATGAATCGTACCATGGTCATGGTATCCAAATAATATCTACTTAGTTATACTAGAATTTGACTATCTTGTAAATTTGATTTACATCCACAATTTAAAATACACAATTATATAGTTCCATCCTAGAATAATACAGTATTTTAATCAGATATATCACAGAAAATGTATCTTTTTTTAATGTGAACTTTAAGTTTAAGCTTTGAATCTGATCAAACCCCTTATCATCTCTCAGAGTTTTTGAGATTCAATAACTTTATCTTGGAGAGTAGTAGTTCTGTCTTCTTCATTTTTTTTTTACAATAAAAGTGAATTGATTCAGTTTTATTCATATTAAAATTGAATTCAATTTTCATTTTCTCCTTCAAAGATTTCTTGTGCAACGTTCTCTATATTTTCACAGTTTTCTTGAGTAAATTTAGAGCTGATAAATAAGATCTATGTCATCAACATAGCTAGAAGTTCTTACTATATATACATTCTTATTCCTGAAAAGATTGAATGTATAAAATGGAGTGAGACTGAAGATTCTTGAGAAACTTCTATTTCAACATTAGTCTTTATCTGTTGTAGTGCATCAAATCGAAGCAGTATACTTCCTTTGTCATAAAACCGAGGACTCATTTTATCAGAGACTTTGATAACTCCAGATCTTGCAGAATTGAGATCATTTTATTTTTTGAAACATGAGCAGTGAGCTCTCTAAGAGGGAGAATATGCACATATTCAAAAGCTACTAAAGATTCAAGACTCTCTAATTTTATATTCAGATGGGTGCCAAGAAGGTGCTTTTGGCAGGTCCTGTGACCGACGGTGAAGTCCGGTTGATATCAATGGAAATTGAGTTCCTCCAAAAATGTACGGAAAGAAGTCAAGAGAACTCTTGGGCCTTGCTACAGGGAAATGCAGGATAGTAATAAAGGCAATTGCTGCTCCATTGAAAAGACCCTCAAGAATTTGTTATTCAGCTTGGTCAGTGCAACGGAGACCATTTATCTGCTTCTGCCTGCAGATTTGTCCCTCTCCTCGACTGGAGTGCCTCAAATCAGCCAAGCGTCTGATGAAGCACACGGGTCAAGACTGTAGTTAGTAACTAGTATACAGTGAATAATTATCGACAGCAATTAATGACTAGGTATTCGGATAACGACATTTAGTCACTACCATGTCCAAAATCACACCCCGTTCGGCTGGCGAAGTTCACGGCCCACTTGCCGGATTGCCCTGTCCATCCGTATCCCGGTTTGCCCTCCACTCGCCCTCCCCTTCCCTGGCCCCGACAAACTCTTCCCGTTTCCATATCTCCGCTTTCTCCTTACACTGCTCCAACACCTCCTCCCCAGCCCTCCATGCCGCACGTCTATGTCCAGCGCTCACCGCAATGGCAATTGACTCCTCAGCAACAGCCACCTCGCCTAGTCGATGAGAGATACTTATCCCAAACAGCTGGTATTTCGAGACGGCGTCACGCGCGATCTTTTCCAATGTTCGCAGTGCAAGGGACGCATAGCTTGTGTATGTGAGGCGGGCAACGGGGCGGTCGTCGAACGTTGATCTTGTGGTGCCGAGGAAGAGGACGTTTGCTCCAGCATGCGGAGAACGGATTTGTGCTAGGTTCTTGGACGAGTTGAGGGCATCGTATGTTAATTCTAGGTAGATGTTGGAGTCCGGAAAGTGTTTGGTTTGTGGGTAATTGGCTGGGTTGAGATGTGCAGGCAGAGGTTCAGCGGCAGAGGCGGGGTTGTGATCGGCTTCTAGTGCCTGGTTCGGCATGGTTTTGATAACTATGTGAATGTTGATTGGACTAGGCGGACTCCGCTTGCCGGCCAGGGTATTTTGGATGGAGCCGGCTCTGCAACTTTTGCTTTGCGCTGGAATTTGGACAATTACAGCGATGACGGACAAAGGTACGAAATATTCTTAGTGTTCGGGGAAAGAGGGGTAGCTCAAAGCAGTTGTTGATGTTGCGTGTTTTGATAGGGCTTTCGGATCCCAGCTCAAAAAATAATCACCGTCTTATATAAGTTAACCAGTTATTATATCACGGCTGCCAGATGCTTTTTTCTTTTCTCCACTGCACAGAAGTTGGGCAGAACTCTGGTGTATTTTTGGGACAACGAAATGCCAAATAAAGTAGAAATTCAACCGTCTTTTGTAGTTAGCAGAACAAGCAAATAATTAACTACTGGATTTGCGCGGTTAAAACGCGCGCGTTTATTAGCGGGGCGAATAATTCAGAACTTTTATATTTCTGTAATCTCGCTGGTGAAGGGGGTGGCTGACGTATGTGAACCGAAGTTCATCTTGTAAGCCAACTTTTACGCTGATGTTCATCTACAGCTATGGCAGATAGATATATGTTAACGATGTTATTTCATAGCTAACCCTATTAGAGGGGACTCTGCAATGCATGAAGAAGGCCTACGGACGTGGGCATCAATTTCTTCGACACGGCGGAGAGGTAAGGATATCTTGGTACTGTAAATTCTTGCGCTGGAAAACTGCACATTGACACTTGGTCCTTAACAAATTATTCTGCTGGCCAATCTGAAATTGTTATGGGCAGGGCCATCCACAAGTTTGGCTGGAAACGCAACGAGTTGGTCGTCCGCACAAGGGGTTTTGCAGAGAATCTACTATCAGTAAAAGCTCTTAGAAAGTAGAGAAATCCACTTCTGATAATAAGAATTAAATCAGACATAATAAAAATCTGTCAGATGGCAATGAGGGCTAATGTCATAGTTGATAAGAATGTATACTATGACCTCTAAGGAGAACGTGAGTCCTGGCCGAGATCGATGCTCTGCTGCGAAACAACCTCCTCCGCTTTGATCTTGCAAGAGCGGGCTATTGCATTTTGTCTGTGGCAGAGGATATCCAGAGGACATATTAATATTGACCGAATTGAGGCGGTATGCGTATAGAAAATATGAATATGGGACCGAAGGAATCAAACATCAAAATACTTTCCTCTAGTTACTTACATTCCACCGAGTGAAATGTTTTCATGTTGTTGACCATCTGATTTCTCAACCGTCAATTCGCGCTAGAACCCCTGTCATGTGATATGCGCTGACTAAGCTCCCGTGCAACCGCCTGAAGCAGCTTCAAGTTTTAATCGAACGACAAACATCAAACATCAAAAACCCAACATCCGATTGTTGTCTTCCCTTGAGGAGTGTATTGTCCTCGTTCACTAATACCCGTTTCAAGCTTGTGTGTTCATGATATCGCAATATGTCTTCGTATAGCCCTGGAGACAGAGGGTACCGCGGAGCTCCGTCGTATAATGTGCCAGCTCGCCACAACGACCGCGACGGACGCATGTATGACGACCGACGCTCCCGCTCCTGCTCCCGCTCCCGCTCTCCCCCACATTCCATCCCGCGATCTCGGGACTATAGATACGGCTCGCCAGGCGGTCCAGTCTCTCCTCCGCATGGTAAAAATCAACTTCGCGCACTGGGGCGAATAAATGGATACATCCCTCATTTGAGCTTGTGCTGATTTCTTCATTTCTGTTTCTTTATCTGAAGACAATTCTCGGACATCTCCTCGTGGTCATGCGGTAGATAGGAGATATCACGGCGGCGATGGCGACATTCCGATTGCTAGGGACTACCGATCTAGAGAGCAAAACGAGTATCGACGTCCGTCCCGGTCGCCCCCGCGGCGGCGCGGAAAGGTCATCTTACAGGGACCGTGACCGGGAGGGATATCGCTCTCCCGGCTATGACAGTCGCAGCAGAAGTTATAGCAGAAGCCGAAGTCGATCTAGAAGCCGCAGCCAACGTGGCACTCGACGTCATTACTACGGCCAGGAGAGCCGTGAGATCATGATGGAAGGCTTGCCAGTTGACATGAATGAAGACGACGTTCGACCTCTCCTCCCTTTCCCCACAACCATTCACAGCAAACTGAATTTCCTCATGATATGAGTGGCTGCGCTACGTTTTCTCTCCTTTTCTTGGAAGAACCATATACTGAGATGTGCTTGTCGCCGGCTATCATTCCGGTCGATGCTTTTCTTGTGACAGATCTTGAATGAACTCACCCAATATTACCATGTCGAGGCGTTGGAGGATGTCCGCGTCATCCGCGACCGCCAAACAAGTACGTCTGATGTTCTCTTTTTACATGTCGGAAAGATGCTGATTCTCCCTTCCAGAGATATCCCGAAAGTTGGGGTTTATTCGGTTCCATACAATTGACGATTCTCGTGAATTCCTGGAACGCAATTTTCCTTCCATATATCTCTATGGGAATAGCGGCTCGCATACTGATGACCGTGGCATGAGGGTTAGAATAGCTTATAGTCGAGAAAGAGAGGACCGTAATCGAATTAAAGCTGAGGGAGAGTGGACTTGCAAGATCGTAGGTTTTAAAAATAGCTCTGCGATAACTATCTATTAACTAACGAGTGCGATTTAGTGTGCCATCGTCAACTACGCAAAAAGACAGAAATGCTTTCGATGCCAGACAGTTCGAACTGGTGCGTCTTTAACTCTCAAGTATTAGGGAAACTAATCTGACTTTTGAAGATTTTGTTCAACTTCCCCCCGGAGTAGCGAATCCTCCACGCGTTGCGAATCATGGTGACAACGACGTAGCTACCGACGGAACCCCGTCTCAATTTGTTCTCCTCCGTGGTCTGGAAGCCTCAGTCACAGAAGAACTTCTCGCGAAAGGAGTAGCTAAACTCTATAAACCCTTGTCTGGTTCAGAAGGACAAGGTGGACCACCCGCAGCTAAAAAGGGCGCAAAAGTTGCCTCGACGACCGGTGACTCCAATCTGGGAGCACGAGAAGGCTCAATACGACGGGTATTACTCATAAGAGATCGTCGAAGTAACGAAAGTTGGAAATACGGATTTGCGGAATTTGCAACTGTGGCAGTAGGTACCCTTTTTTGACTTTTTTTTTTTTTCAGTCGGTTATATTTATTAACGTTTATTCAGGATGCCCAAGCTGCACTAACTCGATATAACTCCTTTGAAACGTTTACAATTTCCTCAAAGCCGGTCCTAGCAAGTTATATCCATGCTGGCGTCTTCGTTCCAGTCATCAATCCTACCGCTAGCACGGAAAGATTCACCTTTAGCCCACTTGGAAACCCTTCCATGAAGCTAGCATACTGGGATGAGAATGCTTATGCTACAGAGTTGATGGTATCAATGGAAGATCCGGACAAGAAATGTTCCAAGCCTCGAGTGACGGCATCTGCGACAACAGACAAGCATCCAAAAGCCGGAAAGGAGACCGAAAAGCCAAAGAAGAGAAAAGCCGATGCTGGAGCAGCACCTGGCATAAAAAAGCTTGCTGTGCCAACGCACCTACAATTCTGGAGTAACCGTCACGCTGAACTGCACGGCATCCAAAGAGATGAATCCAAAGACAAGAGTTCAGGCGGTGACAACCAGCAGGGTAGCAATGAAAAAGGAGGATCATCTTCTACATCTCCAGTTCCAACCCAATCGTACGCAGATCTCAATCGCAAATGCTGCTATCTCTGTATGCGACAGTTTAAAACAGAGGCAGAAGTAAATAAACACGAGCGACTCAGTCAACTTCACCGTGATAACCTACAAAATGAGGAGCTCAAGGCGAAAGCGATGGCGAAATTGGCGAAAAAACGGGATGATCCTCAACAACCATCAACAGAATACCGTGACCGTGCTAAGGAGCGACGTCAGGCCTTCGGCCCATCGGTTAAATCCAAGGAGAAGAAATTTGAAAAGGAAATTGAGGAAGCTCCCGCTGTCTCTGCCATGTCTAAAGGGGCAGCACTGCTTGGGAAAATGGGCTGGTCTGCAGGCTCGGGACTTGGGGCGGAGGGGTCTGGGATGACCGCTCCCATTGCCACTGATCTATATGTCCAAGGCGTTGGGTTAGGCGCGCAAGGAGGGAAAGTTGGAGATGCAGTTCAGGAAGCTGGGAGGAATACGAGGGGCAGGTATGATGACTTTCTGGAGAAGACGAAGGAGACTGCACGCGAGCGATATGAGCGGATGTCCAGGGAGGGGTAGGTGGATACGTGGGATTTCTATCCGTCCTTCCTCTGTACCATTAGCTCTGTTTTATTTACTCGTCGGTCTTGCGGGCCTTTGGCAGATGCGAAGGTTTTATACCACACATGCTTTTAGTGAAGTTTTGTCCATGGATTTAAGTAGGGGTAAAATTTACAGATTCCCCACCTGTAATTTTTTTTTCTCTTGTATTTTCCAATGTTTAGTAGGATAATCGAAACAGAAACCAACATTATGGTACAGTATAATTTTAAGCAGGCGTGCTATAGAATTCTAGAAAATCTCTCTCTTAAGGCAACGAAGTTGGTGTCTTTCCAACCACGGGAAGAACCATTTTAAGGCCGTATATGTTAATGACGAAGAAAACGCAGACGCCGTCATCTGCAGTAGCAGCTCAAAAGGTCTCAGTCCCATCAATGGCGAGTCACCCTCCAATTTCCTAGGAAGAACTAGAGAGTCCTGGCTGGGTCCTTCATCTCAAGACACTGATGCTCGCGGAATATCGCAAGCCAATCCCTCTCTCTCCCAGCTCAATTCCCCAAATCACCTTTATCTTTCCTTCCCCTTCTCATTAGCATCCTGCTGGCGCCCCCCCTCACTCCGCTTCTCCTTCTCCGCCTTCCGACTGAAAACACGAGCAACCCACTCCTCCAATTCCTCCTCGACAACCTGCTCTGACCGCCCAGACCCATCAACCCCCAAGCCGCCTCTCACCTTCCGCCGCAAATCGTCCATGGTATTGATATCAAATGCGTACATGCATGCCCCGACGCCAATCATGGCCACGCTGGCCACATTTATTGTCGCGATGTTGAGAGCTTCTAGTGCCTCCAGGGCTCCGTTCACCTGGGGTTTATGGTACGGGGCGCTTGTGTAGGTGGGCGGGAGTGAAGTGAGGCGTTTGCGGCGGAGTGTGCGGCGGGTTATGAACGTGGAGAGGATGAGGAAAGCGGTGCCGCCGATGAGGAGCTTTGCGGAGTTTGACAGCTGGGGTTTATGAGCAGGTTGGAGGGATTGTGTTTGCTGTTCTTGTGTCTGAGATTGCTGTGATTGCGGTTCTGAGGTTTGGCCATTTTGGCTGGGGCTGGAGGGCATGGTGGTGGATGGCCGGGAGAAATAGGAGGCCATGTCAGATGAGGGTGTGCAAGGCAGGCTGTTACAGGATCGTTTTTGCCCTTATTCACATATCCTGTTGCTCTCGAGATTGCGAGTCGACTTTGAATTGCAGCTTCAAGTTGGAGGAAAAGCCGAAACTCTCACAAGCGGAAGTTTAAGTTGGGCCGACCAGTAACGTGACTTACCACTATAAATGAGCCATATCACTAAACGAGCCGCTCTCAGCAAAACTGCCTCAACTTGCTAGAATCTAATTAATTCCACAACAACGAAATAAATATTAATTAGATTATTAAATAGTAATGAGAGTATTCTCTAGTTCCATACAAAATAGGTGGTTTAATAAAATAGACATGTGCTTGGCTGAAGAATGCGGCCATGGCAGGAGACCTGGCATAGAGTAAGAAGATTAATCAAAGGAGTGTCAATTTCTGAATTAGCAGTAGAAGCAGCAGTAAGCTGCTCCAAGGAATTGAGGTTGACCTCATTTCCTAAACTGGAAGGTTGGATAGGGTTTTAAGGATTAGAGTCTGCTGTAGGTGCCTGCTTCCACTGTTGCTTTGAAGCAGCTGTAGTTGAACTGACTGATTTTTACTTTGCAGCATGAGTACAAGCCCATTCTTGCTTCTCAGCTTCAAGCTAAGTCTTTTTAGCCTCTCTAGCAAGCTGCTGAGCTTCACACTGCTCTGCCTTTCTAGCCTTCTCTTCCTCACAGGCTTTGTGAGCTGCTGTCTGAGTTGCTTGTTGTTCAATTCATTTTTGCTAAGCCTCTTTAGCTTCATGTGCTTTTCAAAGATCATATTGAATTCACTTTTAGGTTTGTTGAGCAGCTTTCTTCTTTTTTTCATAATCTGCTTCCTGAATCCCCTCATGAGCTTATTGAACCTTGAATGATGAGAAGAATTAAGTCTGGCCAAACTACTGCTCTGGATTCAATATATCTAAGAGCTTTTCACATTGTCATCACTTTTTTTCATTACATAAAGCTTTAATTAGAGCCTTATTCTTATGTGCAAGTATCTTCTTTTCAAAGACAAGCTTCTCACTAGCATGTATGATCTTTTTCATGTCTTTAGAGAGCAGGCTCTGTCAAATTCAAATTCTCTTAATATCATATTGAAAAGCACAGATAGTTGTAGATGTAGCAATCTCAGTTGAAGCTGAATTGATTAAAGATATAGACTGTTTTGTAAATTAGTAAAGAATATGCTTAGAAGTAAAAGAATAAATATTAATGACAGCAAATGCAGATTAAATGTTCTTAGTTGTTAAAAATTAATTTTATATAGAATTGAAGACAGATAAAAAGCTTCTTTTTGTCATTTGAATGAATTCAAATTCACTGCAAAAAAGATTATTGACATCACAAAAATATGCTTCTGCTAGAGAACTAAAGATGACAACATTTAAAGATTATAGTCAGTGAGTTGAATGTGAAGACAGTACTATAAGAAGAATTTAATTTTGATCTGCAAAATCAATAAATCTCATATTGACATGAGAAGAGTATTTCTCTAGAATAAGAAGATGTCTTCTGCAGTCTGCTTTAATTTTGATGTGCTTATCAAAGATTCACTTTAGTCAGTTAAGCTCATAGTTATCATTACTTTAATTTTTTTCAGAAATCATAAAATAAACTATATTATTTTCATTCAAATCCTCTAGTCAGGTATTCAATATATTGTGAAAGTCTTTTTGATAAATAAGAATGAATAAAAGAGCTGTTTTATTTGCACATATTGCTGTGAGTAGAGAGATGAATTTATAACTGTCATCTTGAACTGTAGTAATTTGCTTTGTCTTCAGAGCTTCAACTGGAATAATCTGCTTAATAGCTTGATCAATATCAATTAAGAAGCTCTTTTCATCAAAATTGTAGATATTTGAAGACTCAATATTGTATTTTTTAATTTTCTCATTCAACTATGTAGTCATGTAGCAAAATAGTTAGCAAGAGTCTATAGAGAACTTAGTGCAAGAAAACAAGCAAAAGATCAAAATACTAGCTGAAAATAATACTTAAAATGAGTAGAATTATCTGCTATCTTGCATTTTTAATCAATGTCACAGACATGAATTCTTTGAATTTGAGTCTTATAGTGCTTAATAAAGCATCTCACTTAGTAAATTTTAACAGATTTTTTGATGATTTCTGCAATGAGATTTTGAATGATTTGAGATGTAGAAGCAAAGCTGGAAGCTGCAAGCTTCTCTATATGAAGCAGAAGTATTTGTTTTTGCTGATTTGAGAGCTTTTTTTTATATCAGAAGATTGCTTCATTTTATGTAAGTTGCAAGTTATTATAATGCCAGCACAGTATTTTCTTATTAATTAAGTGCTTCCTAGCAGTTGCAGTATAATTTTTGATCTTTTGAGCTCTTAAATTCTTAATTACAAGTTGAATAGCTTCTTTATTTAACATCTCAAAGTAGTGAAAGTTGAAGAATTAAATTGCAGCATGTTGTAAAAACACAGCTCATTTAGTGATATAGCTCATTTAGTGGTAAGTTACATTAAGAGTTAACTAATTGTGCTGCTATGCAACTCATATCTCATATGAGTGCACTATACCAAAATGATAAAAACATCAAAATGATAAAAATATCAAAATGATAAAAATCTTATAATTTCATCATCTTCATCATCTTTATTACTTAATAACTCACTATAATATCAAATAAGGATAAAAATATCAATAACTATATTCAAAAAGCTATTACTTATCATCAAAAAAACTTAAATTTTAAAATATTATCTCTGGTATAAGAATTTGAGGTTTTTTATCAATGTCTTTGAGTGCATATCAATGGAAGAAATCTGACTACTATAAAAATTCTAGTTAATAAAAGATTAAATAAGAGTTAGAAGAATGTAATTAAATAATGAGTCAAACTACTTGATGAAAAGAATTGTCCTCTCACAGCTGAACACATTGAAGATTTCATAAATTTAATACTTAGATATCAGCACATAAATTCTACTACCTCTTCTTCAAAACTCAGCAAGATATGAGCTCATAGATTTATTGAATATCTATTTGAATATAAAAAAATGAAATAGAAGTTAATGAATTCAAAGAGAATGATAGTTGAAGATATTAAATATACCAATACATGATTTGAACATCTTCAAATTCTATTTGAGCAGTATCAATTTCATATCTATGATATATACAACTTCAATGAGATTGAATTTTAGGAAGAACAAGAACATGAAGAATAAATTATAATTGCTTTTATAGAAGCTAATTTTATCATTTTTTTATTCTTTTCAAGAGATTTAATTATAGTTATTAACTATATATTCATGAATAATAATATTATTTTATCATTAATAATCTTGATCTTCAAAACACATTTGAAGAATTGATATATATAAACAGATTTATTCAACAATTATAAAATTACTATATTAGATACTGAATTTACAAATGATGAAATTGAATTTAAATGACTTAAATATTTTAATACTGCTATAAAAAAAACAGAAGAGAAGTTATCAATTGCTTTTAATAAATAATCATGAATTTCATATCACTGAGAAGTTCATATAATATATGAATTTTCATTGCATATCATTTATTTATTACAATTTTTGAATAGTCTATTATTTCAGCAATATAAGTATTATCATTCAAAAGCAATCAACTGTTAGGCTCAGCGTCCGACCGAGCCCGACCGAAGGCCGGTGCCCGGTTAGACTCGACGTCGGATTAAGCTCGGCGCCCGATTAGGCCTAATCCATATCACGTGACCACACGACCATGCAGGTGGTTATAATCCACGCAGGCCCCCAGCACCCCCTTTCATCCCATCAAGCTTAGTATTTCGTTATATAGCAGTTAGCAACGCAGAGAGTCTTTCTTCTTATGCAGCTCGCATTCGCTCCCTAACACAATACTAAGCTTCCCTTCTACCTTCTCACTCAGGTTTCAGCAGAAAACTTGAGTGCCTCAGTTGAATTAGAACCTGCTAGTTCAGAGCCTGACAACGCGTCAGATCAACTGCTAAGACAACAGCACTGTTGAAGACAACGGCTCAATCCAACATCAGATGGCCACCACAGGCTCCCAACCCCCTGGAAGGGGCCGAAAGGACTGGCGATACCTCCTAACAAGACCAACTGACCAACCACGCGTCTCAATTGAGGAATTCAGAGAGGCAATCCACTCGGACAGCGACCGTGTTTATAATGAGTTGGCGGCGATCTTCGATGGCATCTTTGACGATGAAAAAACATTAAGGGATACAATCACACGTCTGAGGATGGAACGGAACAACGCCACTGACCAGGCCGCTGTCAAGCAAAGCCAGATTGATGAGCTAATTGCTGAACGCGATGAACTTAGCCACACCCTGGTCCGCATGACAGTCAGCAACCAAGCAGCAAGTCGAGGTGTCACCCCCTCTGAGACTACCCGGAGGTCTGTCAAGATTGATGACCCAAAACACCTCACTGACGGCAAGGAGCCAAAATTTGAACACTGGCTCTCCCGGATGAAGAACAAGCTCCGGGAGAACGCTGACCACTACCCTACTGAACGCATGAGGATTGCATACATCGAAAACCGGACTGATGGGGACGCGGCACGTCACATTGCGCCCCGTATGGAAGAGGACCACCCCGAGCGATATCAGACTGCAGAAGAGATATTTGAGCACCTCAAGTCAATATATGAGGATGCTAACAAGCTGCAAAATGCCAAGAGTGATTATCGCAAGCTGATTATGCGCAATGGGGACAATTATCATGAATTTGTCACAAAATTCTTACACCTGGCAGGTGAGGCCAAGATTGCCAGGGGGGACTACAAGACAGACTTCAATGACAAGCTGTCCTTTGACCTCCAGAAGATGGTAGCAGTAGCCAATGCGACCACTGATACATATGCTGAGTTTCAGAAAATCTGTGCGCAGGCAGCTCACACCCTCCAGACAATCAATGCCACCCAGAAATCAAAGAGCTCGCGGGGAAATGGGCCTAATACCTTCAAGCAGAACACCCTGCGGACCGCCAACAGTCAAACACCCCCCAGCATCTCTACAACAAAATCCCCTACTGTGAAGGAGGCCTTGAGCTCTCGTCCGGATATTCAGTGCTACTACTGTAAGGAAAAAGGCCACATTGCCAGGAACTGCCCTGCAAAGCAGAAGTCCCAGCAGGTGATTGCTGAGCTCACAGGGAATGATGCCCCTGAGCCTTCAGCAGATTCGGGAAAAGAGTGAGCCTGAGAGAAGACTCCACCTCAGGTAGTTCAATAGTCTGTGAGAGGTTTGAGATGAAGGACTTGATTGGGGGGAAAAGCTTTAATGTACCAATCAAATTAGCCTACAATGGAATTGCTACTTCTACAAATTCTCTTGCTGATACTGGAGCAAATGGAGCGAATTTTATTGATACCCGATATGCCATAGAATTGGCAAGATTCTTTGATAGGAAGTTTCAAGAACTCCCATTCAAATGCCGCATGAAGGGATACAATGGCGCCCCCGGCGGGGTGATAGACCGCACATTGACCCTAAACCTCTGGGTGGATGGCCGGAGATTTCAGAATGTCCCTCTGCTGGTAACAGACCTAGGCCAGCACCCTGTCATCCTGGGACGGAAGTGGTTGGCAGCACAGGATATATGGCTTGATGTTAAAAACCAACGCCTGGTTTGGCCGAGTGAACGGTCTATCCCTGAACAGGTGGCGGAGCCGATGTTGAAGATAGTACCCTGGTCAGTACTGAAGCGCCCAGACCCCAAGCCTGAGCATCAGGCGGATGTGGAACGAAGAGAGATCAAGCTGGATGAGGAGATCAGACAGGAGCATCAGGCTCAGCTCCGCAGATTGAAAGGGACCAGCTCAGTCGTGATGCCTGAGACGAGGCAGGGGCTGACCTGGGAGGAGACAGCACCACAGATGATGGATATGAACTTCATTGGGGCTGCTTCCTTCCATGGTTATATGAAGAACAAGAAGTCAACAGTCTTCATAACCAGTCTGTATGAAATTGATAAACAGCTTGAGGAGAAGCGGGGTTTAGTGGGAGCTGAGGATGAGTCTGATGAGGAGCTGATCAGCAACTTACCAGAATGGTTGAAAGGCCGGGAGGACTGCTTCTCAAAGAAAGCATCAGATGAACTGCCCCCCCTACGGAAGAATGTTGATTTTAAAATAGAGCTCCAGCCTGATGTTGACCTCACCCAGGGCATTGGACATGCGCCTCTATATAAGATGAATCTAGAGGAACTAGAGGCAGTGAAGACCTACCTTGAAGCCAACCTAGCAAAGGGTTTCATCACCCCAAGTTCAGCCCCCTACGCCTCCCCAATCCTGATTGCCCGTAGTGGGAAGAAGCTACGATTCTGTGTTGACTTTCGCAAGCTGAATGCTATAACCAAACGAGATCAGTATCCCTTGCCCCTGATAGATGAGCTGATGGACCGACTCAATGGGGCGAAATACTTTACAAAGTTGGACATTCGGCAGGGGTTCCATCGCATCCGAATGGACCCTGAGTCTGAGGACCTGACCACCTTTAGAACCCGCTACGGGACCTATAAATATCGGGTGGTCCCCTTTGGCCTTACAAACGCCCCTGCCTGCTTTCAACGGTTTGTTAACAGTATCTTCTTTGACTACCTGGACAAGTTTATGACAGCATTCATGGATGATCTTCTAATCTATAGCAAGAATCTGGAGGAGCACAAGCAGCAGGTAAACTCAGTGCTAGACCGACTAAAGACAGCGGGTTTGCAAGCCAGCATCCAGAAATGTGAGTTTGCAGTCCAGAGGACAAAATACCTAGGGTTCATCATCAGTACAGAAGGGATTGAGGCAGACCCAGAGAAGACAGCTGCCATTGTGAGATGGCAGGCCCCCACCACAGTCAAAGGAGTCCAGTCATTCCTAGGATTTGGCAATTTCTACCGACGATTCATAAGGAACTACAGCCGAATCGCAAAGCCACTGTACCAATTGACAAAGAAGACTACCCCATTTGTGTGGACATCAGAATGCAAATCAGCCTTTGAAAAACTGAAGAGGCAGCTGGTGGAGGCTCCAACACTGCGTTACTATGACCCTGAGCGGGAGACTCGTATTGAGACTGACGCCTCTGACGGAGTAGTGGCTGGGGTACTAAGTCAAAGATTTGAAAATGACCTTTGGCACCCAGTAGCCTTCTATTCAAAGACAATGAATGGTGCAGAGCTTAATTATGAAGTTCATGATAAGGAAATGCTGGCAGTAGTCCGGGCCTTACAAGAATGGCGGGCAGAGCTTGAGGGACTACAACGGGAGGAACGATTCAAGATCCTCACTGATCATCGTGCACTGGAATACTTCATGACTACCAAGAAGCTGAATGCACGTCAAGCCCGCTGGGCAGAGTTCCTCTCCCGTTTCTACTTTGAGATCAAGTATCGACCAGGCAAGGCCAACCTGCTAGCAGACGCACTGAGCAGGCCTGAGCAGGTTAGAAGGCAACAGGACGGCCGTATGCAGATCCTCCTAGGACCAGAGACCCTCGACCCCCAGATCACTCCCTCTACAGACATTGCTAGCATCAACTCCTCAGAGAAAGAGAGCATTGCTGAATGCATAGTGTCTCTAAACAAGACAGCCACCTCAATTGAGCCCCTGCGGCAGCAGGCAGATGATGAGAATAGTCCCTATACAATGGAGGACAATGTGCTACGGTACAATGGAAGACTAGTGGTGCCTGTTCAGGAAAAGGAAACCCTGATAGCCAAGCTACTGCAGGAAATTCATGATCAAGCTTCAACAGCACACCCTGGAGGACGAAAGACCCTGGCCCTGGTGCAATCACGCTATTGGTGGGCCACCTGGCGGACAGACGTCCTACGCTATATTCGGAACTGCCATGTGTGCCGGATCAGTAAAATTCCAAGAGATAAGACTCCTGGTTTGCTAAAGCCATTACCAATACCAGAACGGGCATGGCAGCATATTGCAATGGACTTCATGGACGTGCCGAAAAGCAAAACAGGTTATGATGCCATTTTGGTCATAGTATGCCGGCTAAGCAAGAAGACAATCTCCATTCCAACCACCCGGGGAGTTACAGCCCAGGAGCTGGCCCGACTATTCATTCGATTCTACTATTCATACAATGGGGCGCCTGACTCAATTGTCTCTGACCGAGGCCCCCAGTTCATATCAAGCTTTTGGGATGAGTTTACACAGATCCTGGGCATAAAACTGAAACTCTCAACGGCGCATCATGCACAAACTGATGGACAGACAGAAGTGGTGAATCAATACATTGCCACCCGTCTTCGCCCCTATGTCAGTTACTACCAAGACGACTGGGATGAGTGGCTGCCCATTATAGACCATGCCTCCGCAGCTACCCCAAACGCTTCCACAGGGATCTCCCCCTTCCTCGCAGCAAATGGATATGAACCCCGAATGTCATTTGACTGGCAACCACTGGCGGAGAAATTGGACATGAATGAGAAAAGAAATCGAGAAGCAGCAAGGAGCTTCATTCACCGAATGAGAGAGATCTGGAACCAGGCGAGTAAAGGCATAAAGACAGCACAGGAACAGATGAAGAGGCAGACTGACAAGCACCATCGAGAGCCTGACTTTGCAGTAGGAGATTTTGTTTATCTAACATTGAAATCATACAAGATGGATCGACCAAGCCGTAAACTGGCAGAGCAGAATGCCGGCCCCTTCAGAATCCTGGAAAAGGTGGGCAATGCCTACAAACTGGACCTCCCCATAACAATGAAAATTCATTCAATCTTCTCCCCAGACAAGCTACGCAAGGACTCCAGAGACCCTCTACCTGGCCAGACTATCAGACCACCAGACCCAATTGAAATAGATGGTGAGAATGAATGGGAAATAGATCGTATACTGGCCAGTAGAATAAGCCGGAGCAAGCTGCAGTATCGGGTGCGCTGGAAGGGGTTTGATGAGGATTCTTCATGGTACCCCGCTCGCGACTTCAAAGGATCACCACACGCCATACGCGACTTCCATGAGGCTAACCCTACAAAAGCTGGACCCCCAAGGCGACTAGATGAGTGGCTGAAGGCATGGGAGACAGACAGCTACCTGAAGGACGAGGTTGATGACGACCTACCGGCATGAGGACATGCCTGCCCCTAGACCGGGGGGTGATGTTAGGCTCAGCGTCCGACCGAGCCCGACCGAAGGCCGGTGCCCGGTTAGACTCGACGTCGGATTAAGCTCGGCGCCCGATTAGGCCTAATCCATATCACGTGACCACACGACCATGCAGGTGGTTATAATCCACGCAGGCCCCCAGCACCCCCTTTCATCCCATCAAGCTTAGTATTTCGTTATATAGCAGTTAGCAACGCAGAGAGTCTTTCTTCTTATGCAGCTCGCATTCGCTCCCTAACATCAACTATACTGCATGTTATGATCTTGTTAAGTATGAAAAATAGCAATTTCTATAAGATCTTTCAACTATGTAAAAGCATATCTTTAAATTTGATACAATAGCTGCAGAATGAGCTCAATATGACATATATTTATGAAATTTCAACTGAGTTCTTGACACTCTTAAGAAGTGAATCTTATCATCTCCTTCACTGCAGATTTATGAAGATGAGAATGATTCAAATCATATATCTATCTCTTTCTCTCAACTATTCTCATTAAAGACAATTCAAAAACTGAAACATTATATTAATATTATAGAAAATATCATACAAAGTATTAGAGATATTCTTGATTTGAAATCACTCATCTTGACATATTGTTTGAACAAGATATTCAAAGTAAGTCTAATTCACACAGAACTTAATAAGCAACAGACTACTGAATTGAAGAACCTTCTCAATATTAATAAATACTGCAAAGTTAAAACAATCCATCACCAGGTTCAAGTAGAGGAAGTCCTCACTATTAAAGATGTCAATAGAAAAATCAAGCAGTGTAAGAATAATGAAGCTGAAAAAGAGAAGGATAAGAAGCAATAGAGACTTGGAGTTGATCCCATGAAAATTGACAATAACTCACTCACATCACTGACAGAAGAGGAATTAAATTGATTTATAGATGGCACACATACTGAGAATGATGTAGATAATCTTTTTATTATAGATTAGCTACTGGTTGTTGATATAGAGTGCAATAATGAGGATGTGATTCAAGATTTTTATTATTTTGGTGTTTTTATTGTTTTGGTGTGGTGCACCCACACAAGGTGTTGGGTTGCGCTGCGGCACGATTAGTGGGTAGTTAGTTAACTTATATTTTCCAACCCCGAAATATCTTGATCTGGGCGAGTTGTAGTTGTTGTATATCTGGAATTTCCCCCCCAAACATCAGACGTCAGCACATCAAACTGCCAGTTCTTAGAGATTGCCCCAGTCTACATTGTGCAATTTCATTACCGCTCTCAGTCTCTATTACCTGCTTCACCTCAGTGAATCTCCATTTGGACTCTGCCTTACAATCATCCAAGTCTGATATCACATCTACTAACGACTGCACATGCTGAACAGCTTAACCTGACTTGACTGCATGGATTGAGGATACAACAACATTACAGACAGCATTTACTGTCCAGGAAATCAAGAGCGTTTGAAGCAATTGCACCTATGGACATCCTCAGGTCATCTAGAGGTAAACGGGAGGGCAAGTGGATACCCCAGCGTTCAGACGGGTCCTTGCTGGCTATCCCTTTGTATACACGCGGTCTCTAACCAGCAGTTTGATACAGAGTGGGAGGATGCATCTGACAGATGACAACGGGATGCGGAATCAGACTTTTGGGGAGCCGGGAATACCTCTATGCGCGAGTTTTGGTTTTTGTATGTCTATCAAACTTGGAGAAGTCGACGTTCTTCCGGTGGTGACCCGTGCAATTTGTTGGAAGTGGAAAAGCGATGAGAGAACTGGATTTTGGCCAGCTTCATTTCATTCATCATCGCGGCAGGTACCTTGATATAGTCCTGAGAATTAATAAAACTGAGTAGCTTAATACCCACCATAACTGCCAAACTCTGGAGCAATCTTCAAATCCATTGGATCCCGAGCAAATTGAACTTCCGATCTCCACTACGTCGGATTGATGGAGGCCGAAGTTGATAAGTCCATACCACTTCAGATTCGACACTTGGTCCTAACCCAGCTTCTAGGGAAATAGCCAGCTGCTTTCCAATCAATAGCCACAGCAGTCCCTAACGTTGGCTCGTTCTCCACAAATGATATTCCCTGGCCCAAAGTCAGTATGATAAAAGGAAACGCTTGAGCAGGCCATGCCCATGGCTCTGCGTCCTTGTTGAAGGCTCACAGGACTGAGTTACTGCTCAGGCACACTCCTGCCATCCACGCCGCTGAGTACGTGCCCTTTCCATTCTGCTAGATGACAGATGCTCACCACAGCCCTCGTGTAAAAATGCAGTCGCCAGTCCTCGAGTCAGACTAGGTCACGCATCCATCAGAGTCCGACCCAGGGGCCTCGTGAGAAAAGGTCACGATCGGCCATCACGTTTGATCTGGTGTAGGACCTCTGTGGTCTTGAAGTTAGGTTGTTTACTGCGTAATGAACTTCAGTGCGACAGCCTCTGCCGTCGTGTCTTAATGGCCAACTTGAGCTTGCAGACTAGCCCAGACTGCAGAGCTATCGCCAGCATCATATACTAGAACTATATGGGGATCACTTGGGTGCAGCGGGGCCGGTGGGAGAATAGCCGTTCGCATCATGTTTGGCAGTTCTGGGTAGCGTGTGTTGGCAAGGACCTGTAGATAGGTGGACTGCTTTCTTGAGAGTCGAAAAAGCCCCTGAGGAAGTTCAGCGTTGGCCATAAATAATTCCAACGTTATATAGACTTGCTAATCTTATCTTCTTCCACCCCTGGAGGCGATACTTGGGTCTGTCTGGTTTGCAACTCATTGCCTATCCGCGCAAAAGATTGGTCAAATACACATCGAGTAGGCAGATCACTTCTTATAATTTGGGTATCATAGTCTCTGTCCGACTCATTGTTGATGAATATGTGAAATATATGCACCTCAAGTTCTTCCCGCTAGAAGCACCATGAACTCGCTAAATTGGCTCGCTCTCAAGAATCATCATCCTAACTACCCAAAAAAAAAGAAAAGAAAAAGATTGAATGAATGAAAGAATGAAAGAAAGAAAAAAGGACCTATTTCCCTTTGGATGGTTATAAATGGTTCCTAAATACCAAATTGCTTTCTCCGTTCTCAGGTTCCATTATATTGAGGACAAATGAAGTCTTACATGGGACTTGCAAGGAACGTGGATTCATCAAAGATGCAGCGACAAAGAAATTATCCACCACGAAACCGAGGGAAACAACATCAACATAAGGGGGGAATTCCATCCACGGTCAATCAACTGTGCCCGTCACACCGTCATCTTCTCCAATGGTCGAAGTGTAGTTCTTGTGCAGCTCCCACGTCAAATCAGGACCTTTCTCGTCGGCCGTCGCTGCGGTCCTCTTGAATCCACACTTCTCCAAAACCCGGTGACTGGCCAAATTCAGCGTGTCAGTAACGGCGCGCAAGACCGTATCACTCTTGGATAATCCGTTTGTATCATCAGCGCTATTCCCTGGGACAACGGAGACATAGTCCCACCAGAAGTTGATCGCAGCACGGACGGCTTCGGTCGTGAATCCTTTCCCCCAGAAGTCTGGATGTAGCAGGTATCCAAGCTCGGTCTGCCCATGCTGCCCGTCCCTTTTGAAGAAGCCAATGGTGCCAATGACCCGACTTGTATTGGAGCCTTCAAATATGACGAGATTGAGAGCTCCCTTCTGTTCAAGGTTAAGGAAATGGTTCTTCGTTGCCGCGACGTCGGCATCGGGGGTTTTCGCGGAGCTGTTCGAGCGTGTGAGCCATGTGAGGTCTGTTCACGAATCTATACGATAAGTCCCATTTCTCTGTAGGGATTTTGCTCAAGGAAACAGACAATGACATTGAGAGGGAGGGACCACAACGAGGAAAAAGAGAAGAAAAAAGAAAAGAGAAGAAAAAAGAAAAGAGAAGAAAAAAGAAAGAAAAAAGGCCCGTGATTCTCCCAGAAGGTAGGTAATAAAAAGGATACCTGCACGAAGGTCATGACAAATTTATGGGAAATTGATAAAAAATAACTCAACAAGCAGGAGAAGGCACCTGGAACTCAAGGTCTGGGTAGATGGTCAATTACCTCCACTTCATGACATTCATCCGTGAACGTATGGCGAATATGCCATCTGCATCCTCGCCAACAACCACACGGCGGATGAACAATCTCTCAGTTCTGATAAAGGCTGTCGATTCCGATTTGATGTCATCTCTGTTAATCTCGGCATCGGCGCTGGTCTTTTCTATTTGTTTGTCCACCATCTTTGGATACAAACCAGGGCGGGACAGAGAAAATCCGTTTGAGGGGTTTTTATATTTATTATATATATATATATCTATTTCCTCCCGTCCTTTCCACCTTGCTTTCCACCAGAAACGAGAGCCCGACAGGCTGTGTTCCACAAACTGCCAAAAAGATAAGAGGACGACAAGGATGAAAGCAAAAAAGATAGAAATAACCACTCTGCAGAGGAGGTCTGGAGTGCAAAAATTGAAGCTATTTCTCCCTATCCTACATCACGAAGAAGGGAACTGTCGCCATATCGACACGAAATATCCTGGGCGTGACTCACAGCCAAATCCTCGACGCTTCAACACGGTTGAAAGATATATAGCTATGGGTAAATGATATAGCAATGCAGGGATGGCAACACGAGAAGGTTTTCCCGAAACACCCTAGGTCGAATGCATGTCAGATAATTCCATCCTTTTACACTTGATATATCCATGGTTTTGTGGGGCGGGTTAAGTTAAATATCAGCCGATTTAGGGCCGAGCGCCTCGAATCGCTCGTATGCTTCGGATCACTCGTATGTATCACTTCTGACTAAGCTCACGGACACGGATATTTCATTCTTTTCTCGCTGTTTTTCTCTTCTTCTTTTCAGAGTTATCATCGTAGAGATTAGCTAGTTATTATTATGAATACTACATTCTGACTATCTTCACAGCATTAGCCTTCCACCAGTCAATGAATGATCAACGGGCGATTTACAGCTCACGTCGTCAAAACACAGCCGATCTGCCAATGAGGCAATGCCCGTTGTCAAGGATAAATATTTACCTGACGGGCCTAATGCTTGTCACTGCCCCTTTGTGAATCAGCTTCTAGCGATGATCAGTTGGGAACTCGGGCCCGACTCGAGGGACTTCAAGGACTAGAAATCACCAACGAGGGGTCATTTACGGGATGACGCATTTGCCTTCGTGTTCAGTCGTCCGAACCGGAGATAAAAGCTCTAGCTCAAAACATCCCTCATAATATTATCGGCCGTTGGCGGCTTCGGGGCCAGTCCAGTTCTCCCAGGTCGCATTACGGACGTAAAGAACATCGTTTGCTATCCATCAAATGCATGTGTGTACAGCCATGCATACCTACATTCTGAGGAACTGTTGGCAACAACATGGAGATTAGTTAACTATCACGTATTCAAATTTCTCAACCTATTTTGATAGTTCGTTAGATTATCAACCATTGAATATCTTGTAGGACCAAGATATCTCTATTTAAAAGCCAGACAGCCTCGATTTCGAGATTGTCCAGTTCTTGCTCAACAGATCAAACCTCTCACAATTACAGACAAAATATCAACTCCTATTGCCCGCAAATTTTCTTTTCCTACGCCGCCTTTCGAGATGGGAAAATATAGTATGTGTGAGGTGGTGGGCCCGGAGTGCCCAGTCGAAGCAACCATATATGGATACCACCCGAATCCGGTGGTTAACATGATATTTTGTATCGCTTTTGGGGTTTTCTGCCTCGTTCAACTCTGGCAACTCTACAAGTACAAGACATATTCATATGGAATTGCAATGGCCTTGGGCTGCGTCGCTGAAACCATGGGTATGTTAAGGACAGAAATCTACAATCAGACAACTTGGTGGTTGACTCTAACCCATTTTCATTTTTATCAACAGGATATGCTGGCCGACTCATGCTGAATAAGAACCCATGGGACTCCAATGGCTTTCAAATCCAGATTTGCACACTCATCATCGCGCCATCATTTCTAAGTGCCTCCATATACCTTACCCTAAAGCATATATGTCTTGCTTTGGGAGCTCACCTCTCGCTGTTGAAGCCAATGCTGTATACCTGGATATTTATCGGCTTTGACCTTCTCTCGCTCTTCCTCCAGGGAGCCGGCGGTGGCCTCGCAGCAACTGGAGATACACCGGAAGCTCAAGCTCTCGGAGCAAACATCATGATTGCCGGTATCGTGTGGCAGGTGGTCACCTTGATTATATTCTCCGCTCTGGCTGGTCACTTCTTCTGGAGTGTCCTTGAGGATGGTGGCCGCCGGATGACCATTGAGGCTCAGAAGGTGTGGGCAGACACAAAGTTTAGGACGTTCCTCATTAGTTTGGTTATTGCATTCGTCGCGATCTTCGCCCGATGCATCTACCGGTATGTTTTGTCTGATATGCAAAACCCCTACCAAGCTCCTGACCAATCCCCTCCAGACAGAACCCCCCCCCCCCCCCCCCCCCCCTTTATTTGATTTTATCGCACCCTTGATACTGACAAAACTATATTGTAGAATCGCTGAAATGGCAGGAGGCTGGCGCAATGAGATTATGCAGGATCAAATCTCATTTATCATCTTTGAAGGAGTGTACGTTTCAAACCGCTTTCGCATCTCCACGCATCTCTCCTCCTTACTGAACCCTTCTTCCTCTAAATGCAAATCAACGAAAGCTAACAACAGATAATAGCATGTGTTTGGTCGCCGCTATCCTCCTTACTGCCTTCCACCCTGGCTCCCATTTTCCGCAAATGCGATCCGACTACCAAGCTCATGGTGAACAATCATCGAAGGTTGAGCCTCCAGCACAAGATGCGTAGTGCGTCGAATTCGACCATCAAATCTCTTATCGTGGGTTAGAATCAAGTAACAACATATTGAGGGGACCCTTGGGCAAGTCAAGCCTCCTGCGCAGCGAGTAAATAGTGGATTTGGTTAAATTTAGGCGTTCAGTTCAAGGATGGTACAAGACATAGGATAAATCTGGAGTTATATCATTTATTGGTTCTTTTATGGTTTAGAAATCAAAGTGTAGTTAATACATATATATTATTGTATGCTTCCCTTATGTATTAAATATATAACTTGGCCCTTTCCTGGGAATTAGAAAATCAAAGGAAATTCACAAAAATATATAAATAAACCAAAAATCCCTGAGGAGCCGAATGAGCACCAAAATATTCCGCTGGGCAACGTAAAATAAACAAAAATCATATCCCAATTGCGCCGTCGCTGGTCTATCATGAAAGTAATGTCGTAAATAAATTGTAGCATTTTTCAATTCCGGGTATTACTACGTTCGTGTCGCCGTCGTTCATCATTCGTCGTCTGTCGTCTGTCGTTTATCGTCGATTGTCTGTGACGTCTGCCGTTTTTTACGTCTGGTCGGCCAGGCGGGAGGAGTAGTGTTGAATTCATGAGGCAAAAGGAGATTATAGAAAACAATCAGATAGAAAACACCAAGAACAAATCATCCAACCCCAAAAACACCACATCATCAGAATTTTTCGACGCGGGAAATTCAAATATTCGGTTCACACCCTTCTACATAGCAGAGATATTACACAACCTCACTGCCGTCATTCAGTCCGACGAACATCTCAACCTGGCCTATTCTCCTCAGCCGATCGATCCCAAGATGTTCCCGGCCGTCGCAACCATTGTAGATACCAAAAACGTAGAGCGCCTTTTCACCATCATCACCTGGCGGCGCAACTGTGACCCTCATCACCAAGTCTGCCTTCGTCCTGGGTTCGCGCAATACCTTATCCGACAAGAGGGGACTTTGGTACAGGAAACTAATAATATCCGCGTATGTGAAGATGGCATGTGGGAGGTAGCGATTGCGAGGCCAGAGGATGAGAAATGAAAGAGCGTAAATGATCACAAAGACCATGAGGGTGTAGTAGGCCGGCATGTAGGTGGAGATACGCACTTCGCCGGGCTTGGTGTAGAAACGGGCCATGAAGACGCCGCCTGCGAGAACGGGGATGGCAAGAGAGGCCAAACTCATAAAGGAGATGTATGCGACTTTGTAATGCCCAGCGCTGAGGGCGAGGAAGGTAACTTCTAATGGATAACAGGATGGGTAGGCTAACAGGAGGCTCTTTTCGGCAAGCGCGCCGTTGGGGGAAGACAGGTCGCAGAATGGTTGGATAGCGCGGAAGTATTGGTCGATGGGTTGCCAGAGGAGAAAGAGGATTATTCCGATTAGAGAAGGAATAAAACCGTATAAGAAGTTGGATGAGGAGAAGCTGGTCGATGAGGGCAACGTAGGTAAGAGAGGAACAAACCCGTCTCTGATGGGCTGCTTGACGAAACTGACGAGGATAAATGCAATCATCAGGACAAACGCGATGACGATCCATGCTACCACGAAGGTATCCTTGAGAAACCACACGGTCCAGCGATATCGAACGAATGGAGAGTGGATGTTTCTTTCAAAGGAGCCCTTACTGTAAAGGTATTGTCGTTCCATGTCCAAATTATCCGGGACAGATGTTTCAGAATGTCGCTTTGGATGGTGTGACTGATCAAAAGACTCTTGGTCCTTAATAACGTTTTCTTCCCCGATACCATATAATATCTCATTGCTGTTAGTACCTGAAGACCAATATCCCAATCGCAGTCTATGAGGCAAGAGATCCTTCCCGACTGACTGCGAAATCTCCTTCTTGTCAAATCGTCCTAGAGCGTTGGACCTTTGTATCAGGGGGATGATGTCGGCGAGGCAAACTGGATCCCACAGAAGTCCGCTCACCCTCCAGTTGAATCGAAACATAAGTCCAAGCAGGGCAATGGTAAGCAGCCCATACAGAGCAATCAATGTCCCAGCCACGCCCCAGGAAGTCGTCCATCGAAACCCTCCCCCACCAACCTGTGTATAAAAACGAGCTACAAACAAGGCGCTTTGTAGTGGGACGGTAAAAATATTAACCATCCATGATATCACAAGGAACGTGCCGGTCGACCATTCACCGTGTTGGAAGAGCGATAAATCCGGAAGGAGAAAATTATGAGACAATATCTTAATGCTTTGCAAGGCAGTTTCCGATCCGCTGCTCGAGGCTAAAATTGTCAGGGGGAGAATCCGATACACCGCGGACTGTATGATGAATAGCCAAATCGTAATGAAAATGGCTAGTAACTGTGGTAGGAATTGGAACACGAAATATCGTGAGCCACCAAGCCCATCATATGCCCACAAGCCCCCATGCCGTTGCGACCAGAGGATACAGAATATGAGGGCAGCTACCATGGAGAGACACGCCGTAGTTAGCAGCAAAAGTGATAGAGGCCTGAGTGCGAGAGAAACAAAGTTAAGCCGCGGGTGTTGGTAGCCATTTGAGGGCGGAGTTATGGGAGTAAGCATATTTGACACTATCCAAGTCAGTATCTGCATCATCGAGCGAAAAACATAGAGAGATGGATAAAGAAATGAAGTGATTTACCTGGATGTTCAATTTTCTTTGTTTCTTGAGGCTCCTTCTTTGTTTGCTCCACTGGCTCTGCAGTAGTAGATGTATAATATCCCAGACCTTCGTTGGGAATGATACGTTCAACAGGATAATCCGTGCTGACAAACGAGCCATGTCGTCCCTCTCCAACTAGTTCTTCGTCGCGGGTCAATTGATCGATGGCAAACCTGATGTATGGCATATCATCCACACCGGGGGTTGGCGTCCCATTATCTCCTATCCTGGTGCCATCTGGAGCATTTGGTGCCCCTGAACTACCTCTCCGGATTTTCTCGGAGTCGGGGCCAGCTTCGCCGTTACAAGCTCCAATTGCCATGTTGTCTTGCCCCGTCCGAGAAGCCATAGTCATATTGGGGGAAGGTGAAGATCTCCGAGTTGGCGGGGTCGCATATCGCACAACAGTGACTCGACTATGATTTGAAGTTTGCGAAATGTCAGAAAAGGAATAGTAGTCGTCAGAGGCAGCAATTGATTGCTGAGATGAAGAGTGGATTAATTGAGGTTGGTTAGCTGTTGGAGAAGCTCCGTTAGTTATAAACATCCGCTAGGAAGTTTAGCAATCTGTTACATCCATCCAACTTACATTTCACAGCTTTCAAATTGGTAGCAGGCTGAGAGGTCATGACGGATGCAACGGATTGCACTAAATCACAGGGAGCGAAGAAACCACAGAAAGCATCAAGATCAATTCAAAAGCCCATCAAAACAGAGTAGAAGGGCATGATGAAGCAAGAAATATGATTCTGCTGGGGAACATAGGTATTAATGGGGCCCTGCATGATCGATCTGACGCAATGCGTATATTGTGGGTGGTTGGTGTGATAAGGTGGGCTGGGATAGCCTAAGGAGGTTGGCACCCCAGCCACCAAGACCACCCCGTGGCAGCCGCTTATTTGCGAGTTCACAGGCCCAATCTTGACCCATATTCCCTGCCATATTTTAGTTTGTCTCATGTTCTGTGTAAAATCCATTTTGGATTGCAGAACTCCTCCCAGCCGCCCGCCGGCCTCCTTACACTCCCCCCTCGCTCCATGCAACGAAGCGGACGTTGAAGATAAACAATACAACAGGCAAAAGCGGCTGAATCACGGGAAAACCCAATCTATACGCTAGGGTCTCTGGGGACTAGTCAGCTAACTAGCGTCTGGGGTTAGGATGCTTACTCATAACCTAAACCTTATTTTCACCAATCACATTACCAGAACTTCCAGTGGAGCCCTCGCTGTCGAGAGCCACTCGATCCACTGGACAGCTGTCACTTATGCTTTTTATAGCCATGAGAACCTCCGGGTCCGGCGTACGGAGGAGCCGTTGGAACTGTGTGCATGTATTGAAGAAATGGTGAGAAACGGCAATCTGTATTCGCATTGAGACTATAGAACATGGTCCTAGGTTAAAACACATATTGCCTTCTAAAACATGGGCTACAGTTGAAACATCATTCAAGGGCTCTTTTTCCTTAATTCCCCCGTGCGTGTCCGCAAATCGGCAAATGACTGGATCTCGTCTCGGGCTCTGATGATTCCCAGAATCATCTATATTAGCAGGAGGGTCAGAAATGAATCCACCTTTTATCTGTTGTCTCCATAACACACGCATTGTAATCAAGAGGGGGATCACGAATCCCACTTCTCTTGCCTGGGGACAGCACACTGTGTTGCCGCTTGGCGATATGCTCCGTTGCTTTCCGCTCGCGATCTGTGTTAAATTCATAGCTCGCAGGTTTGTCATTATCACTACCACCACCGCCTCCATTGGGGAACGAGGTCGCAGGTAAGTGTTTACTAGGTCCCTGCTTCTGAATTTCCATAAACTTGTGGACTAATAAATATCTGGTCTACCTGGGTCAACGCTGTGATCGACGCCTGCCTGCTGACCCTCCGGGACCCATTCCAGTGTTGTTGGTCGCGAATAGACACTTTCACTGTATGTTCGCTGCAGTAAATAAGGCCCCCTGAAGCCCGGATTATGAGAATTATACCTAAGAGCCTCACCAATCCGATTCTTTCCAGGGTTCCCGTTCTCTACAGAAAATGTGACGGAATAGGGATTGGAGGGAGATTCATGGTCAGGATAATCTGCAGCCTGAAATTGAGCATCCTTACTCTTTCTTGCCCCCCTATTCCCTGAGAAGGACAATTTTGATAAGATCCCTGGCAAACGTGTAGAAATTGATGTTCTGACGCCCAGCACATGGGACTTCAGTTTTGCTTTTGAATGGCTATCATATACATCCCAAGTTGGGGAAGATCGTCCAGGACAGTGATCTTTCAACCCAAAATTTTGCTGATCAATAAAAGCCCATTGACGTAGCATTCTGCTAATATTTGCGTCTGAATCCTGCGTTGTATTGGAAGGAGCACAGCTACTCCTAATTAGCCCAGCGCGATCAGCTGGGAGGGAAGAACCATTATTAGCCTTTGTGGATCTGGACATCTGAGGGGAGATCATCGATGGCAAAGAGCTGGGCCGAGTGGCGCGTAGAGATTCCACTGGAGTTGAATTCACGTCGCTATGGTTGTCTTGTTTTTCGTATCTGGGAGTCTGGACCCTAGAGTCTTCCTTTGGAGCACTAAATGAAGACTCGCTCCTGGGGGTAGATCCAAATTGCCCAGTTTCCGACGGCGAAGGTTGTGTATCTTGTTTCTTCTTGCGTCTATCATATGGTGCTATGGGGCCTGCAGCCGAGTAATCTTGCTTCCCATTACTTTGGAAGTATTTACACGCTGGATCAGGTAAAATGGACCTCGTCCCTATAACCGGGCTGTTGTCCCGCTTTTCGGGCTGAAAGTCTGCCATTTGTAAGTGTGCGGAAGAGCTCCCATTATGTCTTAGATTTGAATTCATATAGTTTCTAACATCCTTATTTGCCTGGTGGCTACCGGAATACTCATTTTCATCGGGTATCTGGGCGTATTCGTCGATGATTGATGCGATAGACGAGGCACGGTCCCGCCGTTCCTCACTACCATTGACTGAAGTGCTGGGATTCAAAGTGTCTGGATTTGCCCTTGAGCTCTCCCAGTGTAGCTGTAGAATTCTTGGTTCTATAGTGGCAACCCTGGCGCTTAGGTTATGAGGATAAAACGACGAGGGGATAGAATCACCAGCTGGAAGCTGCTGAGAAGTTCCTGACTTGGTATCGCGGGTGAGCTGGGAATTTAAACTAGATACGGATACAGCCTCGCCTCTATTCGTTCTCGATACACTTGGTCGATTGTCAATTTGCGAGGCTTGTATTTGAACACCATTCGCAGACGGTGTTTGTTTCCCAACAGAGGGATTAAGAGCAACTGCCTTGCAATGCCTGCAGAACTTTCGACTCCTCCGTATCCAACAAATCACTAGAGATAGTATCGCGGCGACTGCAGCAAGAATGATCAACAGAACGAGAACCGGGAGTGGCACACCGTTTGAGCGAGAACACTCCACTACCGTAGATTGGGTGGCTTCTGCGCGACTGGGTACCGCTACTGTTGTAGAAACTGTTGGCGTAGAAGTTGATAATGCAAATCTCGATGGTAGCGAATGCGATGGCCTAGAGCTTGACGGCGTCAAGATCAACGGTTTAGAACTTGATGACAGATAACTTGAGAAGCGTGTGTTGGCCGACCCTGCTATAGTTGCAGTTGCAGTAACAGTAATCGTAGTTGTGAAAGCAAACTCGATGGATTCAGTTTCTGCCTGTAGCGACTTAGCCAGCGAATGTATCGTTGAAAGAATTGGAATCAATGGACGGTGCGATTCCGAGAAGAAAATAGGATTCCGATCGCCGGAAAGCTGAACGCTCCGTCTATCCAAGAGGCAGCCTGCCGTATTAGATGCAATCAAAGTATAACACGGTGCCATGGAATGGAGATAAATAACTACGCGGTAAACGTAAGGGAAATAAAGTAGTAAACGGAATTCTGGAAGAAACATCATGAATATGCAAAGGAACAATGAAGAAAAACATGATAACGAACAAGGAAACTGTGAATAGTAAAGCCCAACTATTTGTAGCAGCACTGTTTCCATAGTTTGTGACTTGGGTTAATCATTAAACATTGACTTTCACAATTGATTCACTGGATGATCAAACAAAGCCTGAGAATATTCATTCCATGTTGAAGTAAGACACCCATGGAGGCATCCAGTAGGGAACAGATCAAGTTCAGAAATAACATAAAGGTGAAACTATGGCTTATTATTAGCAAGCTTGCAATTTAAATGAATGAAGATTTAACTTTACTTCTTATAGCAGTGGCTTCAAAAACTTCGAACCCCAAAGAAATGAACTCGAACAAGGATATAAGTAGAGATAGAAAACAAAGAACTCACTATAGAGCTAAAACTCACTGAGCAAGCCACTTATTGTATCTAGGGTATCAGGAACATTTATAGAGTTAAGCTGCTCTATTCTCTATTCCCTTCTCTCGCTCTGACGCTTGAGATCGTGCTCTAGTGCTGCCGACAGTGCTTCAAAAATCCATTGTGCTTCATCCTTTTCACCCACCAGTGGGCTCTGCATCCCAATCCAGCTCCATTTGTTTTCTTCGCTTTTCGGTTTCTCGATACTCACTGACGTTCTGAGACCAACTGGGGGACGATCTAACTGTTGTATTTCTTCGATTTGAGAATCGGGGATATTAATATAACTCGAACACGACTTCATTTTCCCAACCAGAGATAAATAGTAATACCACTCATCATAAGTGTACCTTTTCGGGGAAACGGCATTTAAATCTCGGGAAATCTTACGAATTTCACGGATAAGAATGTATTGACGTCGGTGTGGATTTTTAGCCGCTTCCTCTATATCTCGTTCTCTAGATTCGTTCTCTGGGCTTAATTTCTTATTTTCGTCAAGTGCTCTGAAGACTGGTGGGCAGGTTTTGTTTGTTGACTTGTTCTCGTTATAGCGGCTCAGTGATATTCTACCATAGAAGAAGTTCCGTGGGGTGTTGTAAGTTAGATCCCTAAACTGGCGAATGGGATAAACGATTAAGTCTTTGGAACTCGTATCTCCAGGAAGAACCGTTAATTCACCAGCAAAATTGGTAGCGTCCTCGACAAATTTTGCGATAGTGTTCCCCATGCTGGAGAATAAGATCGTCATAGTGGGGATGGCAAGCAGGGACCAGAGAACCAAAAACGGTTTTCCCCATGTCGCACCTGGTGTGAAATCACCATATCCAATCGTGAGGAGGGATGTATAGGCGAAGTATATGGACTGAAAATATGTCCAGCCTTGATCCTGTTCTGCAACACAAAAGCCCAGAGCACCAAGAAGCCAGAGCGCCATCCACGCAAATAGGGAGATGGCAAACAAAATCCATTTCGCTTTCCAGCTGGCGACTTTGTGTATTTTGCGCATCAGATAAAACTCCGCTTCCTGTCTCTGGCTTTCGGAAAGAAGAGTTCGGTCCAAAATTGGAGGAAGCCTTATTCCGCCCACCTTCCCTTTGCCCTGTCTAACTTGAGATGCGACGCGGCTTCTCATCACCTCCGTCCGCCTAGAAATTATCGCCATTTTCCCTCGTTCTAACATTAGTTCCCTTATTGATGTAACAACCAATGCCAGGGTCAATATCCCCCCTACAGCATAAGGAAATAACAGTGCGCGACCAAGATGGGTTTTCGGGGACAGGTCTCCAAATCCATCTGTAAGTAGGGTGACATCTGCCCAGTACACAGAGTCCAGGTAATCCCAACCTTCGATATGGGAGTAAATCGCCGCACCTCCAAGCAAATAAACTATCCACGTGATCGTTTGCAGCATCATGGATCGTTGGTACCTGGTAAGACGAAATTCTCTAGGGTAATGGTTTCTTCTAGCACCAATTACCGTCACAACCATGAGTGAAGAGACTAGAAAGTAAATTGCGGCGGCCATAATCGCATAGTAATACGCTTGAGTCATGCGGTAAGTTGTCAAATCGGTATAGTGGCGGAGTAGAGCTGCCAGGCAGATGAGCAGAATTGAAGATATGTACCATCCTCCGATAGTAATAGGTTGAGCAATTGGGAAAGACAGTCGCCTAGCCATATTCAACAAGAGGGAAAAGTTTGATACCAAGGCAAAGCCGAGGGATATTGCGTTGACAACGATAGCCCTGTGCAGGAACATCCATAATATTAGCAAGAGAAACTGTAGAAAATAGGTAGTAAAGAAACATTACGCTGGGACAACCATTTAGGGTCCCGAACAGGGGCAGCATTGCCCAATGCCCCTCCAGGAAGGATTCTGGTTCGCCATCGGTCTGCAAGAGAACAAATGCTAAAAGCGCTCGCCGTTGGTCCAAAAGTGCCCTAATATCGGTGGATTTAGTCCATTGCAGACATCTCCGAATTCCATACCATACGATAAAGCGAAGCAAAAGGGTAGTCAGTTGTAAGCGCGAATCTCACACAAGAAGAAGACGTACAGCTAGCAACGGAAACGCGGTACTTGCTAACCACCACCGCGTTTCTAGTAGGCAGGACACGTCAACGTCCTTTGGCTGATCCTCTGGCCGGTCCCAAGAGACATTGCCGGCCAAATCATCTCCTTCGCGCCCAGCCGACTCTACTGTAAAAGAAGGGTCATCTAGAGACATTCTCTCCGTCGTCCATGTTAATGATGTTCAAGAAGTGGGGGTCGAGTATCATAACTAGAGTGGTTGTAGCTAAAACAGTAGGGAGCCTCCTGACTTCGCGCTCCCAGGGCTGCTGCGACATGCAGACACGCAAGTTACAACGTCGTGTCTTCTGTCCGTATCCCTAAAACCTGGTTCTGCAGCTCAGAGAGCAGTAAGAAGTTTGTGGCTGGGGATTCAATGTAACTAAAGCTTATAATGGAAGTGATCAATAAGAAATGACGTAATAGACTTGCCCCTGATCCAAACACCGAAGCCACCAGAAAGAGGAGCTCTGCAAGCAATGTAAGTTAGCTATCTCAGGGATATTTGCTAGCAATTGAAAATGGGTATAATTATCTTTCTAAGAGTCTATTCTAAGAAACTTCTCTATGAAGCTAAAAACGCGAAGATTAGCACATTTCGAGATCCGTTTAAACACAAAGGAAAAAAAAGGGGGGAGGAATAAACAAACAAATAAAAATTGGATCCCAGCAGAATCTCCCAAACTCCGCCCGATGAGCAAATAATTGAAACTACAACTTAATTTTCCGAGAGAATTATACGTCCTCCATCCGTGGAGATCCGTTTGCGGATCCTCACCCGGACACATCGTGCACCCAACTGTTGAACTTTTGGTGCTTTCCTGCCATTTACCGCCGTTCGAAACCTACCATATGAGCGATGACTTGGATTCGTCCCAGGCTTCTGTGCCCAATATCGCGCTTGGGCAAAATACCAAGACCTCCCCGGTCTTCAGGGTCACGATTCTGGAAAAAGATATTGTCGGAGCTGTACTTCGGCTTGCTTTCGTCAAGCACTGCGCCCGCGAGATGGCCACGAAGCGTCGCGAACCATGCTAGTTGACGTGAAATGGTGAACGATTGCCAGATTAGACAGATCCAGTAGGTTTGGCGGTAAGGCAGGGTCTTGTGTTGCTATATAATAACCCGGGTCGCCAGGTGTCTCTGCTAACGAATGTGTGACAATAGTGTAGTTATCCGTGAGGGTGATTGCTTCACGGCTGTTCGTAGTTAGAAACTAAATCAATGGGCTTGTTAGATGTACTGGCAGATTTGGGTGGTAAGAATATCCCAAATATCTTTAAGATACAGTGAAAGAAGAATGGACGACAGAAAAAAGAAATAATATAATACTTGGTGTGCTTCATCCAACGCAACAACACGACCACCTTCATTACGCCGCTCCATGAAAATGCTCAAACAGATAGAAGAAGTTTCATGTCCTTGATAGGCAGCACTTGCAGTTGATTTATAGCGCACGAAAGCTTAACCAAAAAAAAAAAAAAAAAAAAAAAAAAAAAGATAAAGAGATCTTCAAGGGTAATATCCGGGATGAGTTCTGACTGGTATAACAGCAAAGGGTATGGTCGCTTGCTTCAATATGAAATAAAGACAAGTCCCTCATGGAACGAACAAGATGTCACTTAATGAATCTTTTCATTCTAAGCTATACCAGCCCAGCTTGCGCTCAAGTGCCTACAATTATCATAGAGAAGGTTCCGTTCAAGATGAACTAGAAAACAGAGAAATTCCAAACATTAACCATGAGTTTAGTTAACTAGTTATTATTGTTTAGTCACAACCAGTGTGCAAAGGGGAAATTTTGCACATATGGACATCCAACCTAGTGTGCCTAGGAACTTCAAAGAAGCGAACAAAAGGAAGAAGGAAAGAAGAGTAATTCAGTTACAGCTAATGGAATTAAGAGTCATCCATCCATTATGCACCAGTGCCGTTTGTTCAAGGCAAAGGAAGAAGATGAAAGTAGAATACAGCAATGTGTGAATACGAAGCAAAGGACATTATAATGCGATTTGGCCTTGGTGGTGCTTTCGTGAAATAGCAGAGTGCCGGAATAAGAGATAGGGCGCAAAAAAGTTAAGAGGGGAAAGAATCGTACAGAAAATATGGAAGGTATTATAAACGTATCCCAATGTTAAGATATACAGAACCAGACAACATGAGAGTCTGTGAGAGTGAAGCGAGCAAATTTACAGTACATTACAAGAGGAAGAAGAGAAAAAAAGAAAGCAAAAGGGATTGTCCACGAAATTAGGAGGGTCAAAGGGAGGGGGGCACGGGGGGAATGTCGAATGCCGCCGGGGAGAAAAAAAACAGAAGTGGGATATGACCCATGTGAAAAAAATATGTCCCATCACTAGTATGGTAGAAAACTCATATGTTCCGTGACACGGTCACCCAAAGGACGGCTCGAATGGTTTAGAAGTCAAAAGTGACCAGGTGGTACGAAAGGGCTTGCCTTGGGTATCGAGAAGAGGTGAAAGGAAAAGGAAACAAAAACCAATGCAAAATGCCAGAATAGACAATCGAAAACACCAAATAAGATAAAAAGCATTAGAAAAGGAGCATAATATGTCACTGGGGTGGAGGATATCTGCCCCCGTCATTGGGTACGGTCGAGAGCATCGACGGCATGCTTGGCACAGGCGGCAGAGTCTGTGCCGGTGGCATCCTTCTACCTGCTGCACCGCCACGGCCTCTGCCAACTGGAAGTTCGAAGTCAGGATTATTGCCCAGCAGCATATCCTGCCGCCTTTGCTGCTCGTGTTTACTCTCCACCTCCGCAGGGCTCCACTTGGGGTTTACCCCGCGCTGGGAAATGGAGGTGAAGTGGCTGGTTTCGCTGGCAGCAGGTGAGCGAGCACCCTCAGTCAAATCATCGAAGGAAGTACGCGGCTGGAGCTCACCAGGTTGGCCAGGGGTTAGTGCCTGTGGCAACTCCACTGGCTCCGCAAAACGAGGATCCAAATCTTCATAGTAGTTGTCCCTTGAGTTGGAGCGGGCGATTGGGGATTGCGTATTATCTCTTAAATCAATATCCAGACCTCCTGAGCTTGGTCTTTGCCCAGTGTGCGGGCTGGAAGATTTATCTGGTTCAATTACTGGGAGGGTTGGCTCCCGGAAGGATTCCTCCCAAGCCGCTCGCGGTGGGACATAGACCCTATATCAGGTTAGCTGCGAAACGACGATACGAGATTTCAGAAGCTTAATTCACTCACTCTTGTTCGCTGTACATGCTCTCTGGATTTTGAGGATTGTGCAAGTTAGAGTGTTGATCTGGTTGGAATCCAACAACCCCGCGAGCCCCAGAGTCGTCAGCCAAATTTTGAGGCTCACATCCTGGGCCAGATACAGGAGCATTGCCCAACGCAGGTTTCATCTCAATGCTAGAAGTAGATTCGGGTGGCACAGGAGATGGGCCCCGTGGGCCACCGTAGGAGCAGTGGACACGGCCGCCCATGTTTCCATATCCATGCTGGTTGGTAGGGCCGGGGCCGTATGGGCTGTACCCGTCTCCGGGCACAGCTGGTGGGTAACCTGGAGGCGGTCCTCGGCCCCGACCCATCATTCCCGGGCCCATTGGTCCACCTCTGCTGCCCATACCATAGCCTCCATGGGGAGATGGTCTTCTCGGGCCATTGCTCGGGCCATTGTACGGACTTCCTCGACCTCGCATTGAGTATCCTCCCCTCCCGCGTGGGGGACCATAACTAGGCCCACGGCCCCGTTGGAACCCCATACCACTGTTCGAAAATTGATTTCGCGGTCTAGCATCTGGTCTGGGTCCTCGCAAATAGGGTGGTCCAGAAACTGCAACTCCAGGTGGAAGGATATTGCCATATTCGTCCACGGGAGGGTTGTACGGCCGGCCTTCATGTCCAGCGAGGCTACGTCTATTATCTAGAGAACGGAAGTTGAAGGAGCCATCTGGGGTTACGCTGCTTGGGGTGACAGAGTTCAAAGGCTGCCGGTCATCATCGGGTGATCTTGAACTGGCTTCAAAGAGAGCGAATGTTGGAAGAGAGTCTGGGGAAGTGCTGTTACTAAAAGCAATCCCAGTTTGGTCCTTTACTGGAGCAGGAGGGTCCGGTTTTATAGCATTTTGACGGTTATAAAAGTTTTCTCCGCTCATTTCTGCATTTTCTGCAATCCGTCGTTTCCTAGCTTTTCGGCTCACGAGGGTCCGTCGCATAGCACAAGTGAGTACTCCACTTGCCGTAATCATGATAGTTGCAGCGAGAACAATCCATCCACCCCATTCTAGATGAGGAACAAACAGGAGTATATCAACGAGGAATGCGAGCAGTGATACCAGTAGCGTGGGGAGTAGAAGGATGAGGAGACCAAGAAGATATCGAGGTGAATGAGATGGGGAGTGGAAATGGGCTGCAGCCGCCAACCCGAAGCAAGTGAGGGTGAGGAATGCAGCAACTGGGTGAACGATCAGGAGGGAAGATAATGAGTGGCGGACGCTTGACGGGAGGCTGAAGTCGGAATCTCGGGAGAGATCGCCAAATGGGCCATCTACGGGACAAAGTGGTAGATCAGTATCAGTTCAATCTCAAACTACTCGGTCCACATATCAACTCCTTGATGTCCCCTCCCCTCCAATTGCCGCGTTGAGGCAGGCTAGCGTAGAAAAAGCGCAATACCTCCCCAAACACTAACTTACTTGAAGAATACCCCACGCGGATGGGCGTGCAATTATTGCCCACGCAATACCCAAAAATCCCAAATTTGATATTATCAACGCCAGCAAGGGGGATTGACTTGACAACGGGTGTTGACAACACCGAGAGCAGCAATAGAACGAACGCAGTGAGGAGCAGAACCGATAGCGGAGTGGCTGGCCGTAACATCATGGTGTCGCCAGGTCCAGTGGGGATCGCGGAAAAAGAGAAAATCTGCGGTACCCCTCTGTCTTTTGATTATTGCCGTCGATTCGGCAGCGCGGCACGAAAATGGGCGATACTGGAGTCTGGGTGGAGATGGAGATATTTGGGGACCATTGAGGACGGGTTTAAAGGGACGGGCCGACGGCTGGAGGTCGAACTTATTGCAGCGAGAGAAACGCCGGCAACGAATCAATCATCCAAGAGCAGAAGAAGCCTGAGAGCGGCAGTCCCGAGAGGAAAGACTTACGGTTACATTGGCGGGAAGGAGAGGCAGAGAGAGGGTGGTCCGACACCACCAAAACTGAGGGTCAATCCAGACACGCGGAAAAGGAGCTTTACCCAAACTAGCGACAACTGAGGGAAGACGGAGAACAGAGAGGGAGCGGATGGGTGGAAGGATGAAGGGATGAAGTTTAATTGAAGTCGGGATGAGGTTTGAAGATGAGAGGGAAGAAAGGGAAGAGGAAGAGGGAAAGATGACAAAACATCCCAGCCCGAAAGGCGGGCGGAGACCAAAACAAGGCTTTGAGCGGAGAGTACCCTGTTTGTAAGAGGGAGAGGCATTACGGTCGCATACGGCCAACGAGCGGCGTATCCACAGCAGAGTCTGCGGTAACTTTTCAGGTATGGTACAGGTATCTGCATCCTGCAAACCATGAAACCGGGGCAAACAAAACAACCAAGGCCCTTGGTTGGTTAAGGACTCTCTGGTATTTCTCTGCTTCCTTCTTGTACCCGTTTGACCGATTTATTCTCCACCCAGATAAAGATAAATTACGTATCTTATGGTGTTCCCGTGATGTCGTGTTGATATTCGGGAGTAGATAGCAACGCTGTTACTACAATTGTCATGTCGTTTCTCTATCACGGCTGGCTTGCATCGAGAAATATGGAACGGAGACTCCTGAATGTCTCTGCCCGTCTCATCTATGCGATTGGGTCCCGTTCAAATCCCTAGGCTCCCACAGGGGCAGCTAATATATCTTCCAAACAACAAGCGCAAAGGATCTTTCTATCGTCCAAAGCCAGTATCCATGTATCCTGCATCCCAAAGCAAAGAGATTAAACCAGAAATAAGTAAAAATATCTTACCATCATTTAATCATATCATCAGCATCATAATTCCCCTTGTTGAAATATGCCACCATAGATATTGCTATTAATCGGTCCATTAGTGGGGGAAACTCAATCCTAGATCCTGATCAACACCAACTTGCGAATCAACACAATTGTACTGATGCCAAATCTCACCAACCAACTACCAAGAGAGAGAAGACAAATGATTTCCTCAGTTGCGTTGACAATAATTATGACAGCTAGCATCTCTTAGGAGAGAGACTCTGAGAGTACAGCAGTTCCTTACAACCATCAGGGGCGAACCTTGGAATTCCCTGGTTCCGCCTGACTGGGGAAACGGAAGTGCGACCAGCACTGTGTACGCCGTCGGGTTCGGGTTATAGCATCGAGGACAACCCTCTTGATGGTAATAGCTGCGTCTCGCCTTTCATTCTTCCGCAGTGAGCCTTGTGTGTGCGCCCCTTGAATGAAAAATATCAATATGATCATTACAAGGTCCGGAAGAGAAAGGGAGCTCTCAGATTTACTGGAAGGCATCCTTAGGCACGGCTTCAGTTAAGCTTATTTTTGATCCACAGTCTAACACTCGGTTCAGGGTAACCTCGTATTTTCTCTTATCGATGATCAATAATATTATCATGTAATCGTGCCTCCGCGCACCCACACCTGATGTGGGTGCGCCACAGCGTAACAATAAAAACAGCATAATGATAAAAATATCAACTTCTTCATTAATCAATCTTTAAATATTAATATATCACCACCACAATGACCAATAAGATAGATGATCTTGAAAAATGTATTCAGAGTGCCATTGAAGTCTATAATGGCAATTGAAAACAGAAAATCCTACCTCTGGTGTGCAAATTCAACATTTTTTATCAATGTCTTCAAGCAAGAATCAATGAAAGAAAAACATGCAATGCAAAGACTGCACTGAACAAGAAGCTTAGCAAGAGCCAGGAGGATGTGTTAAAAGAGTGGATAGCTCATATGGACAGAAATAATTGCTCACTGACTGCAGAGCAGATTCAAGATAACATGAATTTCATTTTTAAATGTCATCATACTGATTCTTTAAACTCCCCATCTGTGATCAGCAAGATGTGGATCTATTGATATATACAAAGCTTGAATGAGTATAAAAGAGTTAAGCAGAAGACAATGAATCTGAAAAGAATTGCTGTTGAGAATATTATCTACATCAAGATGTGATTTGACTGTTTGAAAATCTTACTTCAAAAGTATGTGTTTCAAATCTATGATATCTACAACTTCAATGAAATTGACTTTCAAGAGATTCAAGGACATGAAGAATGGATTATTACTGCTTTTAAAGACTTTAATTCAGTTATAACTTCATCATATTCTTGAGAATTGATCACTGTGATTGAGTGTATTTCAGTAAATGATAAGATATTGAATCTCTTCATCATCATGAAATTCAAAACTCAATTTGAAGATTGATATACACAAAGCAATTTATCAGATGAATATATAATCATAACATCAGATACTGACTATATCAATAATGAGATTGACTTTGCATAAATTCAATATTTTAATAAGATCTCTAAAAAACATCAGCAAGACAATCATTGATTGCTACTTCTTGACAATAATGAATCTCATTTCACTAAAGAATTTTTACAATATTATGATTTTCACAAGATTATTCTATATAAATTTTCTTCACATTCAACTCATATACTGCAATCTCTAAAGTATATCTTTTCAGCAATATAAGCATTATCATTCAAAGACAATTAATCAAGCTATATGATACAAATGTGAGTAGTATGAAAAATATTAATTTTTATAAAATCTAGTTAATGTTCATAAAAAGACTTTTCAATCTTCTACTATTCAGATTGACTTTGTAAATCATGGTATTGTTTCATTCAATCTGCAATCTATACTGCTTAAACTAGATTCAAAGGTCTCTGACTACTCTGAGTTGCAAATATATGAAGAAGACTTCTTTTTACTGTAATCAAGCTGTTCAGATACTACTTCATCATAGCTATTCTCACTCAAAATAATTGAGAAGCTACAATATCACATTCAAGTGACAAAGAAGACAATGCAAGATATGAAGAATACACTTAATTTCAAATCACCTCATCTGAGCAATCAATTGAATAAGATTTTTCAAGGCAGTCTTGTTCAGACAGAACTCAATACTATTAAAGAGAGTGAGATTGAGAATTATTACCTTACAATCAAACACTGCAGCACTAAAAATACATATCAGTAGGTTCAAGTAGGAGGTATACTCACTGTCAGAGATGTGAATAGAAAGATTCTGTAATGTAAAGAGAAGAAAGCAGAAAAAGAACATTATAAGAAAGTCAAATATGTTGAGAGAGCTTTGAAGAAAAATACCACAGATTCAACTCAACAAGAGATTAATGATATGTATGAACATCTCACAAATAATACAGCTACTATAGATGATATAGATAAATTAATTATCATAGATTAGCAGTGTGGTGATGAGATATTAATTTTTGAAATTCTAATTATCCATATTTTTATCATTACACTGTTTTTATCATTACACTGTGGCGCACCCACATCAGGTGTGGGTGCGCGGGGCACGATTATTATCTATCTCTGAGGAAGTAACTGAGTTAACCCTTACAGTATAACCACGTTGTAATGAAAAATACTTCATTTCTGAAATTCAGAATGCCGCAATATCTCAGGATGATCTCGCAAGCCTAAAGTTAAGCCGTAATTTTTTGTCAACATTTCCAGGGTGTTTATGGAATTCGTCAACTCTTGCTGGAACTGACTATGGTAATTTTAAGATCACCAAACTTCCCTAACTAAAATCGACTGATTCAACCGGGTTCGACAGCGGTTCGGCAAGCCAGTTTCCTGCAGTGTAACCAAACTGCGAAGTTGCCAACGAGAGAAATATCGCAGGCTATTTATTTATAGTTAATTCCCCTTTGTTTTTACCGTGAAAAGTTGTATAGTTAACTACACACCGAAATAATAATTCAAATCCATGAGGAAACAGGAACAGTAGGGGTACCAAAGACAAAAGGGTAGATCCGGGGCTGAGCTTTGAGAATCATGAAAGTTACAAGTCATGTCAGCTGAGGTTGAAAAACAGGTACATGTTTGGTTGCAACCCTGTTGTTCAAACAAGTTTATTCGGCCTGGAGCTCAGCTCACCCACCGGTGATTGTTCCAATAATACTTCGTTCCAATACCAATTCTGGCTCCGGAGATGATATTATATATATGCAATATGCGATCAGTTGAAAGACCCTACTTTCCCTCTTTCAGGTGCAGGATATGGGGGTTAACAACTACTCCCTTCTCAGGGCAGGGATGCTTGCTTGATTTAATTGATTAATTGATGTCGGAGGAGGCGATGACATAAATAAGCCGATCAACTGTTAACTAACTAACTAACCATAGATAACCAGTTAAGTAACTGCTTGAATCGACCAGCAATATATCTCCCCCAAGTATCTGATTCGCTTTGAAAGCTTGCTTCTCAGTAACAAAGTTGATAACCAAAGCCTGTCCTAAAAAAAATTTCGGAACAAGAGCATCCAAGAACGAGGCTGTTAACTACCATCAAAAAGCCATGTGACATCGACAGCTATGAAGGTGGGATTAGTTACAGTTTCGGTCATTGCTTTGGTTATGCGATCTTTTGGGCTGGTCTGTAACAACAGTCAGTCTATGTTTGACAAAGTTGCCTTGCTAGGCTCGCAGCATTGCGGAGCTCTAACCATGCGCATATCCTCCTCCCAGCTCAGGTGTCAAGCTCCCGAAATTTTCAACTAACACTGAGATCCCGATCCATTCGTGTTGAGGCAGGCCAGAAGGGCTGATGGGTGTGCTACCAATTTCCTCAGCCAAAATGGACCAAGTTCTTAGATTCGATGGGGTCGAGCAGATTGACTACGTCAGGTTACCAACTTCATCTCGAGAGATGGCAATGCTTTTTCCTCTTTCTTTCGTAAATGATTCCCTCTCCCTCTCTTCCTTCGTCAAAAAATATCTCCACTCTACCACATGTGCTACAGCGGCTTCCCACCCGTCTCCACACGTTTCCTATCGATCATTCCAAGTTTCACACCCGTGGTGCGCTGAAGCCAACCTCATTGCTTCGTCATCGACTCACTAGAGATATTTGTTCTATCTCTAGAGGGTGGAAAGCACTTCGACTCGACAGGGCGAATCCAACACGCGCAGGCAAGGTCGCATATTTCTCCAGATGGACAAAGTAACGTGCTAGTCCATGCCGTTGAGCGCGAAGCAAAAATGGATAACAAATGTGTAACTATTCATGCAAACACAGAATGCTTTTGTTCTTTGAGACTACCAACATTAGGCAACTTATCATTTCCAGGGATCCTCTAACAATTTCGACGGACCTTTCAAGTCTCCCAAATGGCATCAGTGCTTCGCATCTTGCTTGCTTGCAACTGATGGGTCAAGTTTACGGAACATGTCATATGACAAGCTGTTCCTGCCCGGTGGAAAATCAACCCTTGGATCATTCCGCGGTCCCTAGAATAACTCCGAAACACCCAACCACGCAAGGGTCTGGATTGCTCCTCATTTACATCGGGATGTCGAGACCCTTATTTTTATTTTTTTTAGCCTTTTTCTTCCATTTTTGAAGTCACATTGGGCTTGTTGGATGAACAAGGGCCAACGGCTCTTGCAGCGGTATAATTTAATGCTTGCATTCCCAGAAAATTAGCGTCCTTAATTTCATGCACGGTGTGCTGCGAAGGCCTGAAGGGTGGCTGAATCAAACCAGCCACCCTTTGCCCCATAATTTTATAGGAGCAGCCAATCACCTTCGTATTCACATATTTCCTCCAGCGGGAAGAGCTTAATCTTCTTCCAAAAACTCAACCGTTGTCCTGAAGTCAAAATATCAAAACAAATGGTGATATAGACTCCATCGAGTCGGCTTGATATCCTTTGCCAAAAAAATCCTGTCTCCGCCAGGGATCAAAATGTGACAAAAGAAGAGTGATGTTAGCGTCCATCGGGGTCTCGTCGTCCAAGGTCCCAATTCTCTCGACACAGGGGCTTAAGTCAGAGACCCCCCTGGCGGTCAACGGGTCCCTTCAATTTCAGGTTATTCCGGGGTGGAGCCGGATAAATGGTCCTACCTGCTATATGCCTTTATCCATGGATTGATTGGTTTCCCCGACATTCATGAAGTAAACTGGGTTGGGATCTTGCATAGTCTAGACAAAACCTTTCCCTCTGATAATATTTCATGGCCTGAGTTGAAAAAGCAAACCTGCAAGAATAGCTGCTACCGCTGCTACCGCTGCTGCTGCTGCTGCAACCAAATATGCAGCCGATAAATGTTTCTGAACGTTTCTATTGCCTTTTTCTTTGTTCAAATCTTGTTAATTGCAAGTCTTTCGCTTGATTTACACCTTCCGTGGGGTATCAATGCCGCGGAAAACCATGATTGTGCTTCTCCAACACTCGTGTATGTTTTTTGAAAAACTGATGAAATTTGGACATAAGGGAGCAGACGGGGAAGTTTATTTTGTGGGCGGGGAGGACCAAAGGGAAACGCTATCCATATTTCTCCTTCTTCTGCTTATTACCCCCGCGTTACGACCACTTTTTTACCGGCTCCTAGAGACCAGTTTACCAATGAAAAAGGGGTTCCCCACGAAAATTCTCTGTAACTTTAGTCAGAAAAATGATGAACAAAAAGAACTGGCTATCCTTGCAGAGGTTGCGGAATCTCGTCATTTTTTCCAGCCGACGTCTCGCCTGAAGAAGAATATGTTACCGGATATCCAAGACGAGCTCAAGCAACTTGATCCTTCAGTGATTGGGTATCAGAGGTTAGAAGGAAGCTATCAGCAATCGTTGTGAAACTCAGGTATTTGATATAATCCTCTTTTGCTGGAGAATCGATTGCTGTCCCATCCCGCCGTCCTCAGCCTTTGGAATACCCATAATTCCCCCCTTTTCTTATTTGTTTTATCTGTCCTTGAATGCATTTGGCTCTTTATGGCACTCTCGCAATGCTTATTAATGTTTCTTCTCATGATGATTTCTCATTCTATCCTACTCCGTACTGAAGGACACAGTTAATAACTATGTGTCAGAAAATATAAATAAATCAACCAAGACATCAAGTTTTATTGTAAAACACAGCTTTCCAACACGGTGTTGCAACGAGAAGAAGCCCAAAGTAATAGAATATTACAAAAGAACGAACGGAAGAATCACATGAAGGGGAGGGTAAAAAAATAAAAAGTAAAATAATAAAAATAAAGGGTGAGGTGGGGGGAGGATTTTAGGCAACACGAAATGTCCTATATCCATGCCCGCGCAAGGGCTCGCGAAAAGTTCAACTCGAGGATTGCTGTGTCTTCGGTCGCTCGTTTAGCAAAACGCCATCTTCCTCCCAGAAGGCAGTCTTCTTGTCCCTTCCCTTTATCGACCCCGCAATATCAAACGGGTCAAAGATTGTCACCAGAAAGGGTCTATCATCAATCCAACCGGGTCCACTGAGCTCTGTTTTCCCATCCCGGGCCAAGTAGGTCACATGTGACCGCGGAAGGCAACTGGCAGGAGGATATACGTTCATCATGGCGGTAACGATTAGCATGGGTACACCGTCGAAGCACCAGAAATAAGCTTCGACAGGACCCATCGCAGATCCCCATCCTGCAAAGGTATCAAAAGCGCGAAACACATTCCGAACTGTGACTAAGCAACAAGCCAAGTAGAGGTTTATCAGGACTTTTCGTATTTTTAAATCGCGGATGTCGGCTCTGTGTAAGTGGCGGTGGAAAAAGGCGACAAGGAGGAAAAAGGAGATAAAGATAGGGATTTGCAGGATAATCGACGCCTTGATCATGGTGTTGCCGATATGTACCTTCGTTTTTGAGTTCCCATAATTTGTCGCCAGGGGTGCCCCGGAGGAGGCCAGGGTTTCCACTATAAGATCTAATCCAAGGAAGGTTGACATCACACGTCCTGGATGAATGGGTGACAGCCAGGGTACGTAGTACAGTAAACGACCGAAGATAATTGAGATGATGGCGAGGTATATAGGGCTATGGAATCCATTTGCTCTGTGTTAGAACAACATTCTCGCCCATAAACTATTCGTCGATAGAATTAAAGGCAATTGACGACGCAATTGACTCACGGAGCGCAAAATAGGAAAACCGCTGTGGAGATGAAGAGGTCAAGATTCCCGTAGTGACCGTGAGCCGCCACTTCACGAAGGACATAGCCAATAGCAAAGACCACGCAAATCCATGGCAGCAAAATGCCCATCCGCCACGTCTTATATTTCCTATACAATCAAGTCAGAATATCCAGTGTTCTCGTCGTAGAGAGAGTGCGTAGCCGGTTTCATACATGTTGTTTTGCCATAGGTGCAGGCCTCCTGAAATAAACCAAATAACGGCAAAAACAGTGGGGACTCCTATCACCGGCTTGTACTGGAAGTAGCTGAAACCCTCTGTGACTGACAGTTAGTAAAATTGTTCGGGAATAGGAGACCATATTTCTCCTCCAGAGTCAATTGGAACGTATGCCAGTACCCGGCTTATTCATTTCGAAAATTGCCAATTAAATAAATCCCAAGAAAGGTGATAAGTGTTCGTCAGAATAGCAGAGTAGATAGAGAGGCCTTTATGACAGCGGCATCGCTTGAGAATTGATAGATCGAACGAGAAGAAAACTAAAATGAATGCTCTCTGGAAAGAGACAATTGATACAGAATGATTTCGCCATGGCTGCGACTTGCTGAGAGGTATATATATCCTTCCCCCATCTTGAAAAGAAACTGAAGTTATGAAGCAATAGACGATGCATTCTGATATCCAGTCCATTAGGTCGGCGTATCTAGCCGTATCGTATCGGGAAGGACATCGTTTAGGCAAAAAGCTTCAGATACGACGAAGAGAGAGCAGAACGCCTCACCAAGCTGGCATATTTTGGGACATGAGGAGTCATTCATGATTTCGAGGAGGCAAATGCCAGTGTAGACTCTCAAGAAAAGCTTTGGAGGCTATGTCTCCAACGTGTATTCATTCTAAAGGTAAGCATCTTTCAATCTTTGATGCCGACCCATGGATTAATGAATGGTTGTTAAACAGACAAGGCGGTATCAGCCCGCATCATTTTAACTCCTCATGTTCGTTAACTAACTAGGCAAAATACGCCATACGAAATACGAGGAAATGCGCCAAATGCTCAGGATGAAGCGTATCCCAAAAAGCAACCTCGATTGATCCCTCCAAGCGGCTTATTCTCAAAGCTCGTTTTGAGTCCATTAAACAGGAAGAGAATAGCTGTATACCCGTCTTTATCTGGAGTTCATATCGAGTTCACTTAGCTCGCTGACCATTGCACTGCGCCATGCTTAACTGATGATACATCAAGGTTTGTGTTGAAAAGGGCGACACTCAAAACGAGCACTCCGTGTCTTGTCATTCATAAACACACGTTTTGTTTGTCCCTCGGATAAGTCAACAGTTGTGTACCTATCAGCGTATCAGCCATAGAGTCGAATCTGTCAGCAACGATTTCGTCGGGTGGATCTCGAATGTCACCCTAATATGATTCTGTCGTGTTTCAAGCATGCATGGTTGTCATGTCATATTTTAGTGCGGATTTTGTTCGCGTCTTGCGATTTATGGTTCAAGATCATCAGGACTAAAGTCTGGACTGGAGCGCAGTTGTACTGATGCAGGTTGATCTGCCGTTCCTTTGGCGCCCGAAACCCGGATATGGCATACGAAGGTGTTTTACCCCCGAATTTTATTCCATCCACTAATTTTTGTCACCAGGAAGAGAATATATGATTCGAGAGAGCGCTGCAATGTCTGTTGCATTATCACATTAGATTGGAGGAGGGAGTGCCATCGTTCGCTTCCACATCTGCTACCTCCATTTTGCATCCTCCAAATGTTGACGGTTGAAAATACGCTAGCGCTTGGGTCATATGCTATACGCGCTGCCCAAGTCAAAAAATCCAGGTAGGCCTCTGAACATGCTGTACAAACAGTCCTTTTTTGAATTTTGTCCCTAAACCAATTTTCCTGACGCCTTCTTCCGTTGATAGTATACGTATCAGAAACTCAGGGAAACCTCATAGTTGTATAGTGATATGATCTGGCCAGCCCATACCAGATATGTTGGAGCCTTGATACAGTGTCTGCTTCTTTGGGCGATAGGCTATCTCACCTTCCCGCTGCTCCCCCCTCCACAGGCAGGAAGGGCTGTTGTTGGCAGTTACAATGTCTTGGAAAACTCGGTCAACACTTCCCAAGGCCACCCCGAGTCTGGTACCTATACACCAAGATCTGCAAAAGGATATTCAGCCGAAGGGTTCTTCTGTCGTTCAATCCAGACAAGGCACTGCCCCATCGGTGGGTTGCACGGCACAGCCTTGACGACTTCCGGGTGTCGAACATAGAACCTTAGAATGTCCAGTTCATCCAATTTGGCTGCCGTGAAAATCATCGGTCACCACGGCGCGACGCTGGTATAATAGGACTATAAACCATCACGAGATTCAGCTTGTTTAATCAGCAGCAGAGATAAACAGCGTAGCGTTGACCCACCTTCATTCCTGAAGCATGTCAGAGGACACAAGTATGCCTTCTTCCTCTGACGTCCGAGGCGCGGGGGAATCATGAACGCAACCCAAGGACATTTGCGAGTTTCCTGCCTATTGAGTGCGGCTGTTGATAGGGGCATGGCCATGGTTGATCTCTTCTTTCTCCTATGAAGTTGTGTCACTCTCCACTATCTATTCCTCAGCATCTCCTTGTGTCCTGCCGCTGGGCATTTCATTTCATTTCCATGAAATCCTGCTCTATAGTCATCGGACAAGAGAGCGGTGATAGTGTTGAGCGAAGATCATTGATAATAGGTTGGGCAAATTAAATATATAGGCTCATAGTAAAAAGAGAAGTTAGAAAGGTGAAAATAAAAGGGAAAAATAGTCTTTTGATCTTTTACAAGTCTTCAAAGGAATTAGGAAAAAGTAGATCAGAGTAAAACCATGTTTGACAATGGCGGCTACGAAATTGAAGCCAAAGTTATATAAGTCGACAATGCTAAAGGGTCAACCAGGAGCAAAACCCAAAACCTTGACGCCCAAGGTGCGCAAAAAATTAAAATTAAAATTAAAAAAAAATAAAAAAAGGGGGAAAAGATAAAAGAAAATCCCGGTAAATAGAGCTTTGAATGAATACAACCACAACGCACTGTACCGCAAGGAAATCTAATAATATATATTATGAGGTAGACTAGACCGCTCTAGCCCGATATTAGAACCCATAGAAGGAAGAATATCTGGAGGTTCATGTTAGCACATGCCCAAGTTTAAAATGATAGGTGTTCTTGAAATATAGCAAGGGGCCCTGTGCGATACTAAAAACACCAGGTGACTAACGGGTGAAGATAAAAATCGTGGTCAGTGATACATACCATCAAAACGCCAAACATTTTAGCCACCAGCCATCGATTTCCTGAAACGCGAGACCAGTACTTCAACAGTTCCCTGTGTGCCCCTTGGACGTTATCCACCACGTCCTCCGTATTGGCATCGATCCGCTGGATCATGTCCGATTGCTCGCTAACCATCGTCGCCAACTGCCCGAAAATCCCACCTAGCTCGTTAATCGTGCGCTCGATGGCTTCTATGGCTTCCCCCCGTGCTTGGATGTATGAGTTGGAGGACTGTGCCTCTTCCATCATTAGCATCTGTCGGTCTGAGGATATTCCTCCCTGACTAAAGGGGGTAGAAGACGACGATGGTTCGAGGCTCAGGAGGTCAGAAGAATTGGATTGAAAGGCGCTCGGTTGTGGGCTTCGAGTTCTTGGGGCATTGTAGAGTGGGGAATCTGAGCGTTGGGGATCTAGTGCTGACCGCGACTTGGAAGAGACAGAGGAGACGAAATTTTCTGTTCTTGATCGTGAGGCACGGATGTTTTGGGTTCTGACTTCGAGGACTTCTTTGAAGTTTGCCCCAACGTCGGCTAGTTTGCCTTGGAGCATAACCACAACCTTGGGTATAGAATTTAGCTACCATGCATTACATATATTATATAAGATGGGGAAATGATGAAAGAACTAGACAACATACGTTGTCGTTATGCTCCCCTTCCTGATCGGTTTTACTTCGCGAGGATTTCGGATGTTGGGCGAGTGTGAGAGACTGTAGAGAAGCGATTTGGGAATTTAGAGATGCAAGATCTTGCTTGATGACGCATGTGAGTTCCGAGATTTCAACTGGTCGGTCATCGAAGAGGGTTTTGCGCTTGGCCACTATCAGGATATCAAATCAGTCGATCGACTTCTCCGAAAATATTTTTATATTTTCACCCTGCCTGATATTTCAGAAACACCTGCCGGAAATACTCCGTTCGCGAGTTAACTTACACATAGCTAGCCTTTGCAGCTTTGCCATCGTCCCTGTAATTCCTCTTCCAATCTCAGCTGCTCTTCTTGCGAATTCCGACCTGGCGACTCTTTTCTCCGCCGCTGTTCCGTTTGGAGATCCGCTTGCCTCTTTACGCTGGGCATTTGATAGTAAAGTTTGCCGGTGTGCACTAGCTTTTGAAGAAGTAAGGCGTTTCTGGGCCTGTGCGAGGATAGACTGGAACTCGGGAGTCCGATCCTGGACTGATGTCGAAACTGCCATTGTGGGTGATGGGTAACAAGGTAAAGGGGTGTAGAGTTAGGTTCGACGGAGGACTTCGAGGCAGGACGACTCTCTTAACTTTGCGGAGGGTGGAGGGGCGAAATGCGCACCTCTCATATCCGGGGAATATGAGGGAAGAGAAGCTAGGTGGGGATAAGGAAGGGCGAAGTCGAACTATCGACCTTTCCAATAAAGGGGTTACGTCAAAATAAACGTCACTCGGTTCCAGGTAACTTAGCTTGGATAGGGCGGGATACGTTCGTTATTCAGGGGGACGCAGATCGGCGACTGTCACTTCTTCCGACAGGCAGTGGTGATGATGTGTGCTAAATGAGTTGTTATATACAGGAGCTGGCCTTTTCGGAGATAAGATATATCTAAGATTAAATATCTACGGATAGTTATATCAAGCACCTGGTTGTTGACACCTCTTGCAGTCCCTTTCGGGATGCGAGGAGCTCTGGTCACGTGTTATTCAGGATTAATAGCTTCTCCGAGTTCCTTTCAACATCACGTGTCAATGATACTAGTGGTATCTTAGATGGTAGGGTGGGTTATTCAAATTAGTTTACTTGTTGTACCGCGAAAATACGGCGTCGCGGAGTGGCTGGGATCTGCCTCTAGGCCCTGCCGCCAAGCCGTATCGTCATTTCTTTTGGAGCCAGCTAAATATAGGGCATAATATTGAATGCTGGCGCCGGCTCCCGTGTAACCCCGACCGCCGCGGTAACGTGACAGCAGTGGTGAGTAATCAAGCGCGGATCTTCCCTGGCTGCTTTGAGCTGTGCTGACGCGGCGGAGACATTTCAAGGTTATCATTCTATCCCGGACATCCAAGACCTTCGCTGATGCACTTCGCTGCTGGACTGCACCACTGTGCCGCTGTTGGTGCTGCTGCTGCTGCTGATGCTGTTGCTGCTGTTGCTGCTGCCGTGGATAAAAATAACCCCTCCCCAAACATTCTCCGCTGTAACTAGTCCTCTCCTGTCCTGTTGTTAGTTCCTTTCCCTGTAGTTAAATTAACTTCGTCTACTTTGGCTTCTGTTTTGCATTACTTAGGACTCCCCTTGTGTATGTAATAGTTAGATTTATTTGTTCTTTTGCCGCTTATTTTCTTCTTCTTTTGCTGCTGCTGCTGCTGCTGTTGTTGTCATATTGTGTGGTCTGTCTTTCATTGATCGCGACAACCTGCGCATCCCTTTCTCTACTGAGCATCGCACTTTGGCTTGCGGTGACTTGGTTCTCGATTCCGGCTGACTGCTTGCGCATCCGTCCTTCGCCGAGCCATCCCTTCATTTGACGAAGCAACAGACAGTTTTCCGTCACCAATCCGGTTCGTGAACATCTCGAACTAGTCAACCTCATACATGATTCTTCACAGGAAGGCTAGTTCTTGAAGACAGACTTATATCTGTTTTTGATACCCTTTCGCCATTTCAGTGCGTGTGTTTATCATGTCGGGATATGAGCCCACTCACGGACCTGGTGGAAGGTAAATTCACGTTCCTTCCCCCCCCCCCCCTTTTCCCTCCCCTGTCCAACAAAATTCTCTAAATACGGAACTTCACAACTAACGATAGCAAAGGAGTGATGGAAGTGTCAGTCCATTCTCTAACCCATCCGGAGAGCATCCGCCAGGTCAAGGTCCTTCATTCAAAACCAATGTTCACCGCCAGAAAACAAAACGCTGGGTAAACGCAAAGTCTTATGCTTACGACGGTGATGATTGGGGCGATTGTGGTGATATATACGACGATGAACCTGAACCCGCCATACCTGCTCTACCAAACCAAGCGGCTGCAGTGCTGCCTCAAAATACACAAGAAAATCGGCAGGAAACAGGCGACGAAAGACCTACGCTAGGGAATTCGGGCGAGCAAGAACCTCCTTCAAAGCAGCTTCCGTTCATTCGACCTGCTGATATATATAAACGTATGCAGGAAGAAAAGCAAAGGAAAATAGATGAACATGAGCTGGAGCAGAAGGAAGCAGACCAGAGCATTACTCCCTCCCAACCCCTACCACAGCCTATCCATGATACCTCTGGGGACTCACCAGAGGCTGCAGTGACACCAGACCAGAGGGACAGTGCTTTGAGAATGCAGAAAGCGCCTCAAAACCCTAACGCACAGCAGGTACATGACCAAAACCGTGAATTACCTATAGATACCCAAGAGAACAAGTCCGGATCTCCAGAAGAAAATGCTTCAATAAGGAAGCCGGATTCGTCCACAGCACGTCCTGGAATACAACCTGTGGCTGGGCTTCCAGGTTCACCCACGGGTGCATCAGGTCTTCAGGACAAGGAAAACGTTCAACCAACTCAAGAGAACCAGGAACAGCAACCTGCAGCGGATGCCTCTCCCTTACAGCATAACACATCTATTGGATTCCGCTCTGTGGTCCATCAAGCCTTCGATGCGCCTACCCAAACTCCAAGTACTCCGGCGGGCAGTATACTCAGATCAGACAGTGGGAGTACCTCTATTGTTAGCCCAATAATCAAACCAAATACTTCTTCCGTGTTTGAAAATGGGCGTGGGGTAGCCGCTGACCAAACTCCAACCATTGTTGAAGAGCCTGCTGAATTGAAGCCAGGTCACAGGCGGAGCATGACCCCCCCACCATATTCAGGAAATGCACCTGCTAGAAGACCTGTTGTCGAATCCGAAGTTGATCCCGCTGAATCCCAACTAGGCGACTTGTCCGAAGGACCGGATGGCCCATCTGAAGCTTCTCCAGCTGGTGTCCATGCCGGGCTAGAGTCTAGCTTGGCTTCTCCTACGAAATCTGATCCGTCCACTCCCAAATCGACTACAACACCACAACCATCGGTTCCAGAGAGTTGGCCAGCGGTTTCTGAACAGAACCCACTACCTACTTCTTCATCTGGAACTGAGAGCGCTTATTCAAATCTCTCGTCCGCTAGGCCTGATGTTATCGAATTGTCAGAGGCTCCTCCATCAAGCCCTAGGGCCCATGATCCTCATATGCCAGCAGCTCTTAACGTGGAGACAGACAAGCGCAACTCAGAGATCATTGTTATTGCCCCTTCCCGAGAAAATATTTCACCTCCAGCTACCGAGATCACATCCCAAGATTTCAATGACCGGCTACGGGATGAAATTATCCAGTCCCTGACTCCAAGGGCTTCAATAGTTATTCAAGAGGACGTTCAGTCGGCCAATGCTCCTGGCTCCAGTTTAGAAGCTAACGCCCAATCTCAGCACAAAAGCATAATGATTCCAAGCAAATGTGAAAGCTTTTGGAACGAGAGTGGGGACACCTCGTCTGATAAAACTCAGCCCATACCACTGTATACAGCGCCTCATTCCGATATCCTCCCAAATTCTTCTGGGGTGGAAACAACTCCTGTGGCCGTAAGTTTCCCTGTCCCTGAAACTGGGTCTTCTCCTGTCAATCAACAATCGCCTGCTTCCAAGTTGTTTAAACGCTTTTCTTGGGAAGAGCCGTCCGCTGATGGTAATGAGGAATCTCAGCAATTGTCAATAAATCCCGCTACTTCTGAGAAGTCTACACAATCCCCCTTGGACAGTAGCACACCAACTGGTTCAGAACGGCGGAGCGGAGATTTTGACCAACAGCCTGATCATAGCCCAAATGATCCAAATGGCAGTGAGACAACTCCGATCCAAATCCCCACAGAACAAGAGCCCTCGTCCGTCCAGTCCGATGATGTTCCGTCCGCTTATCTTGCATCCGGGGATCCTTCTAGCTCCCCTGTGCAAACGACATCTCAACCCCCAGGGGCGGAAGATCATAAATTACCAACATTCCGCCAAATTATGGCAATGACTACAACTGCCGAGAAGGTCAAAGCATTTCAGCAAACAAGAGAGAAGTTTGCTGGAATGGATACTGGCCTTGCCGCCTGGATACAAGCAACAGCCGACTCGTATCCGGACCATGCTGGGTTAGTTCAACGCAACGGAACACTTCCTGCAGGAACGACACTCACACACAGGAACACAATCCCACGAAACAAGTTCCCCAAACTCTCCTCTCTTGGTAGCATTTCCCTCCAAACTTCCCACCTGGAAGGGTCACCCACGACACCGGGGCATACAAGACGTGCATCTGGCAGTCAGCTTGCTGCCAAAATGCACAGCCAGCAAGTGCAGGCCAAGGGCAAGGATCTACTGCACAGCGCTGGCGTTCTTGGCGGGAAAGCCGGTGGGGCGGCAAAGGGTCTTTTTGCAAAGGGGAGGAGCAAACTCCGACACAACAGTGGCAGTACTGATAAGGTAGATACTTGATCTCATTTTTTGAGATTTGGTGTGATCCACAGGAGGTTCAATCAGGGATTTTCTTGCTCTTTTATTTTTCGTCATTCGGGCGCTAAGTTTTCCACACTTGCAATCAATTTGAGCCTACTGTTCTGTCTTCTCTACTTTGCATACCTATCATCAACTTGTAGTGAGGATCCGATAGTTTTGACCGCCAATCCGCGCGGCCATTGTATGACACATGTGTTCAAAGCCATCTGTTGTTTTCCATCCTTTCCACTCTTTGGTCTCTGAATCTAATCCCTTTACGTGATTGTAGGTAAATGCCCACGGAGCCCCAACGCAGCCCAGGCCAAACTCCACTCCAAGCTTCGACGGGCTGCAAAGTGTTGCAGGAACCGTCCACGATGGTCAAGTCTCAAAACTAAACCCTAGATTGCTATCGCTCAAACTAGATCCCTCGACGTTCTCTAGTGATATGAGAACTGCGTGGAAAGCGCCTCAGGCATCTCCCTCTTCCCCTAAAACGGTAATTGCGGGGCCTGATTATGAAACTTTATCAGAATCTGGGAAAAGAGTCTCTTACGTGTCGTCTAGTCCTCCGGGCTCTCGTTCTCAGAAATCCGTTCACAATGTTGCTAGTAGTGAAACGGGCGGGTGGGAGTCTACGTCTACCGGCAGGGATCCCTATACGGCGCGGGAAAGCGATAGTGATTTGAAAATTGATACCCCCGTGGAGACTGGCAATAAGCCTCCGTCAACACCAGAAACAGCGAATGAAGAGGCGCATGGAGAATTCCAAGAAGATACCCAAGAAGTGACCCGAGAAGATGCTGATCAAGAACCCCAACCAATCAGCCCTTCTATTGGTGGACAAAGTCTACTCATTTCCGCGGGACTATCAACTGACCGCAGAGGCTCATCCACGAATGTGTCTGATGATGATTCCGGCTCCATCGGGCCGCCAGTCGAGGAAGCTCGTGCCATTCAAGTCATTGGTCGCAAGGCAAATGTGATTCAGTCCGAATTGCGCGCATTTAGCTCGCGCATTATTGAGGTGGGGAGAAGTTGGAATTCGTCGAATGGTAGAACGCCTAGATTGGCTCCGGTTGATGGGCGGGGAGGTTCTCCGGCTTCGAATGAACGACAGGGGGATCCGCTATCTCCACGTACGACTGCCTCAGTTCCGGTCGAAGGGTACGGAGAACCGCCGGCTTCGCAAACACCTAAAGCAGCTTCGGTTGAAGAGTACGGAGAATCAGCGCTTCCACAACCGTCTAAATCTGATCTGACTGAAGGGCAGGGAGTATTGCCTTCTCTACAAACAACTTTATCAGCTCCGGTTAAAGGGCTCGGAGAATCGCAGCCTCCGCAACCATCTAAATCAGCTCTGGTTGAAGAGCCTACAGAATTGTCCCATTCACCACCAACTGGTACAATTGGTCATGAATATTCCAGTTCCTCGCAGTTTCCACCACCAATAGCGCCAACCCATGAAAATGTCGTTCAGAACGTTCAATCACACACCGCAGAAGGGGAAAATGTCCACCCATCTGAGTTGGAGCAGAATAAGGATGCGACGCGGGTGGTTTCATCAGCAAGTCTAGCTTCGGCTAAAGTCGATGAAAATGTGCAGAGTGTTTCAACTAATGCAGATGATATATCAGTTTCACCAAGAAGCCCACCACCTCAGTCACCAACGGCTACCAAGGCCAAGGCACTACCTTCTTTGCCTGGCCTGTCAAGGGGATCATCAGCCGATGTGCCGGAAGGTCATGAGCCTCTTGACACAACAACTATATCGTCGAAGCATTCGAGTCGGGCCACGGTGCATGACCAAACGCAACCAGAAACCGTCAAATCTGTTCGGGCGCATGATAACATACCAGATGCGAACGCTGCTGCTCATCCTGCTGCTATGCCGGATTCAACTACCCAACACCAATTCAGAAAATATCAGCCTTGGACCAACAATTCCAATGGAACCCTACCTGCTGAATCCTCCGTTCAGCCACCCTTTCTAACCCGGCATCCTAGTCAACCTTCCATCAGTCCCCAAGAACGACTAGCAGATCAACAGACTATTCCTATCACAGATTCACGCTCATCGGTTCAGCTCTACCGCGAGTACCTTCCTAGAGGAAATTACCTATCAAAGCCAGCAACGTTACAAGAAGAACCGCGTCCAGGCTCGGCCATCGCAGGTTTTATGTCCAAGGCACACTTTAGCCGCCATGCTGAGCGACGCGGGAGCACTACAGGACAAGCTAATGAGAGAAGCTGGAGCAGTCGCTTTCAGTCATTTAGGGCCGATTCTGACAATTCAAAACCTCGAAGCGTGGCAGCTGCCGAGCCGGTGCCGTGGAAACGTGCTGCGTCGGATCCCAATACTGGATCACCGGGTAACAAGATGAGGTTTTCCACTAAATTTTTCCTCGGCCACAGCCGCCTTTCTCATATGGACGATGAACTGAAGAAAAAGAAATCAAGAGTTGGTGTAAGTGTCCTAAGATGGGGTTTACCGTTCTTATTATCTTGCTAACGTCAGTGTGGTTTAGGGTTTGTTCAGCCGCCATTCTAAAACCGCAGACCCCCTTAAGGCAGCCTCAAATCTGTCGTTTGCTCCAAATCAGTACGAAGTGGAGATCACGGCCGGTTCGCAGCCGCAGCCACATTTAAGCGGACATCCCAAAACTATGTTACAAATACATGAACAACAGCAAGCTGTCCAACCTCATATTCTCACTAACCAAGGACAACAGGCCGACCGCTTATATCAAGCTCTCGGTTCTTCGTCAATTAAGCCTTCTACTGTTGGTGGAAATGGTCATCAGGTGTCCCAGCATGGCGGACTCGGATTGGTGGCTCCTCAGCCGCCTTCTACCGGACAAGATACGTCTCCTCGCCGTGGCAGCCAGCCCGGAAATTCTCAACCATACACAGGCTATCTTCATGTACGCTCTCAGAGCCCAATGTCTTTCACCCAATTCCAGAGCCGTTATGGAGCGAGAACAGATGGTTCCGTTCCATTGACTCGAACTGGCACCACTGACATCGATCCGACGCAGTATCCACTCCCAAACTCCGCTGCTAAATCAACAGTCATTTCTCCCCAAGCCGAAGGACCACAACATCCACACCCAAAAAACCATAGCAATAGCCAACTGGTGGATGTGCGTTCCACGAGTCTGGTGCAAATATCGAAGACCAGGTCATCTGCACCAGTCAACGGTACATTTTCTTCTAATAAACATGCCTCCTTAGCACCTATGCTTGATTTCTCTACGCAGATGGAGCCAGTCGAACTCCCCGTCCCTGGGGATGACTCGAGTGAGGAAATTGTCATGTCCAGTACCACATATCCTGGCCAGGAGTGGCAGCCAGAGTTCTATGCAGACGAGTGAGGATTCCACGTCTGTCTGTATATTTGAGTTACATACCTAAGTATATTTCCACACTATTAATATATATTTTGATACCCGGTCACGGAAGCTTGTTGTACCTCTTAATGCAAACGATGTTTTGCTTTCATGTTGTTTACCCAGTTTGCAATTTCACCCTTTCCCTAGAGCGTTGACGCTTCATATCTTCGGTGTGTTTTAATGTCTACCTAGACTATACGTCCTATTTTGGATCTATATTCAGCTACCCGCCTCTCAGGTTTTCTTTGGCCTTTGAATTTCTTTAGATCAAGGGTGCTTGATGCACCTATATACATCTTATCACAGCTTAACACAGCCAGTTTTGTTTCATATCACTTTTCTTTTCTTGTTTCTTTTCAGCAATGGTAACTACCAGCTGCATTTCTCTGTGGATGATCTTAGCCTGGTGCTCGCTCAATCTCGCTTACATTTTCAGACTCAAAAAATTGGCATAAAGGAATCATACTCTTTACCAGAATCGCACTTCTTGTATTAAACATGCCCCAAGGAATTTTCCAGTAGTTCGTGAATAGTCGCAGGAAATGAATTCGCTTTTTCTCCCAGCTATGAGGAATTGGTGGCCAATTCCAATCAACTCTCCCACAAAACATTTCAATCATACATTTGAATAGTCTTGTAGCATTGAACCGTTGGAGATCGCATTTTTTCTTCTTCTTCTTCTTCTCTCTCTTTTTCTTTCTTTGTCATTATGCAACTTCCTTTTCTCCAATTTGGAAATATCTTACTTTCACACTGTCCAAGCGCAGTGAAACAGGCTCTCTACTTGGAACTCGAAGAAATACCGGGACACGACATTCTCGATCTGGCTGTCTCGAGCTAGTAGACAGACCAACGAGAACGCTTTCAAGCAGCCAAAAATTGACCGAGACACTAATATGAAAGAAGGCGAATCAAATGTTGGAGCGCGAACAGAGTGGGAGAAAATCTAGAGAATTAGATCTATTTGTTTTAGATTCGCTCATCCTATATTGCTAAGGTTTTTCTATCTATATCTCGAAATCTATCTATGTCTTCGTCGAAAACAAAATGCCAGAAAAAAAAATCCTTGTTGTTCCTCTGCACCGAAAAATTCCCGAAGATACACTAAGCGCACACAATATAGTGACGGACAAAGTCATACATGCTTGTTTATAGAAAATTAATTATAAAAAAATAGGTGGGGAAAGAAGAGGAGAGAAAAGAAAGGTATCAAAAAAACCATTCAGCATTGAACATAACCGTCACCGCCAATCATCTATAAACCCCGGATCCATGCAATCTATAGTCGCTCAACGCATCAGACATTACGTACGACGTGGGGAGAATTCGAACCATTTCTATTGGAACGGAGAACGCATTGAAAACTTTTGCGTATGTGCAATTGGGTTTGCCATCTGAGACAGATATCAATGTCGGTCCAGCACGGTTCTAACCATGAATGACGTATCAAGGTTAACTAAGCCGGTTTCAAGAGGCCGTACATGTCGCTATGCAGCACCTAGAACCATCTGCGAGTTTTGTCGAGATTTCTCAGTCGCTCATGGATGGCCTTCAGTTCTTCCGTGCGGTCTTTCTCGCCCTTTTCCAGCATCGAGATGTGTGCGTCTTTCAGCTCCTCGAAGTCTCTGTCGAGTTTGTTGTGCCACGGATAGAGGACGAATACTTGGAAACAGAGAGCTGACGAACCGATGACGAAGTTGGTGAGAGAGAAGCCTCGAGTGATTAGCATGGTTGGTATTAATTTGCGAAATTATCTATTAAGCGATTGGCGACTGGTTAGCTGTGGTTGTTAGTTATCGCTTTGCGACTGTGCCCCATGGTTTTCTAGACGCCGCGCTGAGTTGATATGTAGCAAGATTAAATATACATACATTTGTTCGGCTTCAACGGTTCAGTGAGCGGAAAATAAGCCAAAGGGTAGACCGGTGTAAAAGACTTGCTTACCCCTACACAACTTTACTAGGTTTTTTTTTTTTTTTTAAACAAGAAGAGGGCGGTGGAGAGAGCATTTATACCAATTCCGTCGTACGCCGGAATTTGTTGCCACTCGAGATTGTACCGTGGTGCTGCTGGGCAAACCCAGTTTAACTTTGGTTGGTTGGGCTATGTACGAACCGCACGCTTTTCCGCCGCTGCAGGATAGTAACTAGTTATCAACCAGAGCCACCTAGTTAATTTAACTAAGCTTTGTCAGTGTTATAAGCAACATCACCCGATTGTCTCCCCATCATAAAACTTCTTTATGACCGTAAAAGAACATAATGGCAGGTCAACCCTAAGTTTAGATCCCCAGCAGCGGCATTCAGGACAGCGCCAGATTGCCCGCCTGTGATTTTCGAATTCCCTCCGGGTTCAAACAGTATGCCAAAGCGGCATGCCGATCGATGTTCGGGATGCCGATCAACTAGTTAACAGTTCGTCAGTTGCTATATAGTTATATGTGTCCCTTTTCGGGTTGGTAGAAACAATCCAGTTGAGACACATGGTAAGAGAGCAGATATTAACGTAATCCGCCCGCGAGCCATTCAACCCACCGAGTCTGGTCAGCAAGTCCAAAGGGCCTTTGATTTGATTTGATTTTATATATATATATATATATTCACTGGCCTATTTCAACATGTGAAAATGCCATCAGTGAAAGATATAACAAAGAACCTCTATGGAGATAGAAGAAAGACCTGAACTCATGATATTATTCCACTTTCAAAAAAGCAAGAAATGCCTTCAATTTGTGCAGCTACATACAATACACTCTTCTACAAAGTTTCGTATTCAAACCCTACTTGATTGACTCAATGGCAGGCCTACAAGAACCGGTCTACATGGAGATTCAACTAAGCTAAATTAAAGAAAATCTGTCAGTTTAGTAGATTTTATATCTGAACAATTGAAAATTACTTTCCCAACTGATATTTATTAAAAATATAACTAATCATCTTTTCATTATGTAGAATGTTTCCTTTACTTCTTTTTACATTAATAAGAACTAAGTTTATTAGCTGAGAAATGCTATACAAAGCTCAAACGCTGCTATTTTAAATATTATATTTAAGACATAGTTAAATATAAGAATAGAACAATTATTTCAAATTAATTCAAAATGTTATTTAATATAATTACTCTTACTACTAAGTATGAGATTCAGATAACTAGTTAGTTAATAATTTTAATAAGATTAAATTTGCAATAAGACTGCATATAATTATTAAAATTATCATCAACTATTAACTAGTAACTAGTTACTGAATAACTACTATGATTAAGTAAAGCTTTTAATCTAAAAATTAAAAATAAAGTGATTATAATTAAAATAAATAATATACTAAACTGAGTTTTGTCTTTATATATTATTCTTAAAAATTAAATATTCAAAAATATTAATTTAAACAACATTCAAATAATAACTAAATTAATATTAATTTGTGCTATAAATTCATATAAAGTTGAGACTTACATACTTCGTTATATTTAAGATGACTAAAGTTATTTCATTTTATATATTAATATATTTATTTTAATTTTTTAGTAGTTTTTAAATATTAATGTTTTTGTAACTTTGAAGTATATATATATATATATATATAATAGTTTAATTAAGTGATGAATATGATTTAACTTCATTGTTATTAGAAAGTTTAATTTTCTAACAATCTATTTTAAGATTTTATTGAGAAATCTTAAATATTTCAAGCATTGATAATAAATTTAAAGCTAGTTGCTAGAATAATCTTATTTAAATAAAATTAGAATTATCTAAAGATTTTACATCTTTATTTTTTTAATTAATTAATTTACTAACTCTTAGCCATTTTTCATTCTGTAAATAACCATCTAGTAATTCATATTGAACTTATAAGCACATGAATAGGATTAAAAGTCTTATAAAAGCCCTCTCCAAGTTGTAAAAGATTTTGATTATTAAAACGAAGTAATATCAGAATATATCTACTGCGAGTGAGAAAGAGTCATTGAATTCAACACAAAATTTGTTAATAAGAATTAAAGCTACTCGGTACTGAGTGTGCTACTTCATCTACGAAGTCTGTTGAATTGCTAGTTCATGCAGTCGTTCATTACCTTCTTTCTCAGTGTCAAGATCATGCATTTTAAGTGGAACCGGCTAACCCCTGATTAACTAATAATTTCTTTCGTAACCAAAAAGCTTGTTCACCAATCTCATGATCGGGCTATTCTTATTCCGCCCTGACCCGTACGGAAAATCTTCCATTTTTGCGATCTTTTTTTTTTGTGTTTCTTCTTTCCATCTATTCAACAATCTTCTGGTGACCAGAAGATTAATTGCCCCGCGTACAAAGGCATGAGTGCGTGCCTTCGAAGAACCCGTGACCCGAGTTCCGCGAGTGCCTGAAGAGATAGTTACGAGATGTCGGATCTGAGCGTCCGCGAGACGCAAGACAGCCGCCCACGAGTCCCCTGCCCGGTGAATGTCCTTCGCAGCGCCTGAGAGCACTGCCTTGTCTGATATAGACGTGAATTTTTAGCATGGAGTGAAACGAACCATCTGTGGCCATAAAAGCTGGATGAAATTCGCAGATATTGGCGAGCAGGGCAGAATTCGAGAAAAACAGTGGTTATTCACTTAGTTACTGGATTCTACGCTATTCTCGTCTGATAGGGTTTGAGGAGGCATAGTAACCGGGTTACAGGGTTACAGCGTATTGAAGATTGGGAACTGGATAACTAGTTAATGCTTGTATTATTAATTTAGAGACTTAGCTGGTCTACAGATGATCGTACGAGAGAGCAATTGTTTATGGAACGCCATTAAGAAGACATGTCGACGAATAAACCGCCTTAACCATCGGTATCTGGGAATTAAACAGGGTGCTTAGAACTGGTCGCAATCTCCGTACTCTAATATAGAACTTAGCGAAATATAATATAACATCACTGCGGTAAGAAATCGCACGCTTGCTCGAGTATACGAAGATAAACAAAACCCATCCCTTATGTCCCCCGGAACAAGAACTGCATATCCTCCGGTGTCAGTTTCTCCAACGCCTCGCTCTGGTCCTTATTGATCGTCCCCCTGATCATATTGGCTTTCTTCTCTTGGAGAAGGACCATGCGCGATTCCACTGAGTCTTCGATGCAGAGTCGGGTGATAACACATGGCCGCCGCTGGCCGATCCGATGACATCTATCTGCGCTCTGCCATTCTGCGGCTGGGTTCCACCATCTAAAAATGATTGGAGTGTTAGTTCTGAGCGACACAGCAAATCTATCATCACGTCATAGAAGGGATAGCAGGAATACATACGGATCAACGATAAAGACTCTCGACGCTTCCGTGAGATTCAACGCGACACCCCCTGCTTTAAGAGAAACAAGGAAAACCTCGACGTCGACATTATTCATAAAGTGTTCAATGGATTTCTGGCGCTGGGCTGGGGTCATACTTCCATCCAACATGACCGTGTTAAACCCAACTCGCCGCAAACGCCATTCAACCAACTGGAGCATAGATGTAAACTGCGAGAAGACTATTGACTTGTGCGTCTGCTTCTTACTGCGCAGTTTGAACAGATCGTACACGAGCATTTCGATCTTGGTTGACGACGTCCAATTTTCCATTTTGATACGGTTGATAATCGAATTTTTCTTAACATGGTCCTCCTGTTGTTCGATATCTGGCTGCTCAAAGTCAATGGAGAGCGGGATGTGGCAGCGCGGACAGTCGGGTTCTCCGCCCTCGTCGAACGACCGGATGTAGTCCTTGGCACATTGGCGGCAGAAGTCGTGGTGACAACGAGACCGTATCGGTTCCTCAGCGGGTTCATCACAGATGCCACAAACGAGAACGTTTTGGCCTCCTTCAGCGTGTTTCTTCAAAATTAAATCTGGGTGGTTGGCGACTTGGCGCATTTGCATGATGAGACCGAAAATGTTTGCGTAGTTGTTTAACATAACACCTCGACTGACATATGTATCGAATTGTCGACTAGTGTTGGTCATAATACTGGAAGAAAAGTCGCGTTCGATTTCTCCAAAGAATTCATTGTGAAGTATCACCCTTTAATACATGTTAGCATTCGCTTCCACCCACAATGTCTTAAGTTTGTATTCTCGTACCGTTTGGGTGGGAGCTCCATAGAAGACGTGTGATCCTTTTTAACGCGTCGGAGCATGATTCTATCGGTTATGAGTCTCAATTTGTCGAGGCCAGATTTCCGAGCCTCTGGTGAGTCCGATTCGGTGACTTGAATTTCGTTAGAGAAGGTGTTACGGTAGGCCTTTGGAGCCACTTACTTGGATTGAGAATTTCCTGATTGAAAATGGAAACATGAGAAAAGCCACTGCAAGGAGTTAGAATCTGATAAATACACATTACAAAGGCTTAAGGTGAGAAATACCTGTGACGACAGTGGGTGCATCTCTTTTCTGCATCCTGAGACCAGTGCAATTCCTGACACGGACACACCTTACAAAGGTAGCATGCAAATGGCTTGATATCCAGAAACCGCAGAAGAGAGAAAAATTCTCCAATTCGGTTTTGGACAGGAGTACCAGAAAGACACCATTTATAGGTCGACTTCAGGGCAAAGCAAGCCCTGGCCACGCTTGTGGTACGTTGCTTGTCGTAGAGTTAGCTAAGCTCGTCCTAGGAAATATGGTGTAGAGCTTACTTACCTTGATGCTATGAGCCTCGTCAAGGATTAGGCGATGGAAATGGATTGAATGAATAACACCTAAAACCGTTAAGAATGTATTCACTTAAGAAGAGCAGGGTACGTTGGGCATACTGTCTTCCTTCACGAGGCCATCATTTCTTTTCCAGCCCTTTACCTCCTTGCGATGCATAGATTCAAGACTAGCGTCTTACGAAAAGCGGTCAGCAATGAAAAACAGTTTTTGTTGATGAACAGATAAACTTACAAGATATCATGATCACGTCGTAGGCCTTTAGCTGTTTCGCTGAAAGGTGTTTGACTTTCGAATTGGACCCATGGTGCACAAGGACTTTCAATTTACCGTCCGTGTATTGCTAGTAATCCCCGAGTTAATAAAGAGTCAGACAAGCATTTGCGCGTCTAACATACCTCGATTTCCGACTGCCACTGCATGAGAGCAACTGGAGGCACTACGACTAATGACGGCTTGCCAACAGGGTAATCAGACATCAACAAGGACACAGCCTGGATTGTTTTCCCCATTCCCATCTCATCTCCAAGTAGCCCGCCTTTCCACTGTAACTTCTCTTGCTGCATCATCCAGTTCAATCCTTCCAATTGGAACGACTTCAATTTCCTGGTGATGCCTGGTGGTTGCGGGGCTGGGGTAGGAGTGATAATTGGTGTTTTCTTCAATTCATCCCACATCGTTTTGATAATTGGATGTTGATTCTGAAGTTTTCTTCGTTCGCGAAGTGCCTACAATTCGGTTAGTTTGCAGGAGGATCTCAATGGGAGGATAATCCTTACGCGTGCACTCATTCGGGATTCTTCAGGAGTTTCTGGATATATGCGCATGCGGCCCATGGAGCCCACGCGGCGAACGCGGCGATGACTTGGAGCCGTAGTTCTGGCGCGTGCTCGAAATGGTCTGGTGGTCGGAGGAAGCGGAGCAGCAAACTCATCGATGTCCACGTCAGAAGAGTCTTCGTCACTCGAGCCACTCTGGAACGCGTCCATCTCATCTTCGCTGCTGTATGGGTTCGACAAATCAGAATCTGCCTCCGACAAAGAAGATCCTTCACTGTCAGCAATAATATCTTTGGATACACCCTTCCTCTTGCAGCCGCGATTGGTGTCCATGGGGTTCATGGCTGGTGCGAGAGGCTGATGACCAGCCTTGCTACGAGTCACACGGGTCAAATTAGCCTTTGGCCACGAACACAGCTTGTCTTCATTGTCAGAAGGAGTGTCGGACAAAGATTCATGGTCGAATTCGTAATCAGTGGAGTTGTTAATTTCATGGGAGCATTTTACTCTTTTCGAGCTGGCATCATTGTACTCTTCTGCCTGTACCGCACGAGCTAATGCTGCATCTGGGCTCTCGTCGAGTGAAGAATTCCCAATAATAGACTTAGTAGAACGTTTCGTGCCGGCTGAGGTTTTCCTTAGAGCGAATGCACTTGACCGTAGTTGAAGAGCACGGGCTGATGCGCTGACACGTTTGCTCCTAGGATTGACAGGTTCTGCTGGAGTACCATTTACAGTTGTAGCAGGAGTAGAGTATCCGTTTGTTGTACTCTGGGCACTTCCATCTGTTGAAGATGAAGGTGAACCAAAAGAGGACTTATTTTCTATGGCCACTGCAACCATGACGGCCGGTTTTATATCATTATCATTTCTGGCACCTCTATTCGAGGACTCAGCCCGAGTACGAGGAGTTATCAGGTGTCCATCAACGGAAATGTCTCTGTCGGTAAGATCAGAGACAACAACACTGGGATTTAGGGACGAGGATGATCTGGTTTGCCGACTTGAGGCACGTTCTCTCAGTGAAGTCGAGTATCCCCCAAGAACTGATATCATAATTGGATTGTTTGTTAGTTTTGATCTCAAGATTGAACTGTACGTGTTGTACAACTTCATTCTCGACTATTAAAGGAGGGACTCTCGCTCACTGTTGTATGGGCCTGAGGAGTCTTCCACCTTTTTGGAAGAATTCCCTTTCGCCATCGAATCAACCGCAGGGTATTCGGAATTAAAAAGAAGTCCAAGAAAATTTACCAAAATGGAGATTAACGAAAGACTCAAGGTTGAGAGTAGTGTTGGTTTCCAAGATAGATCCTATGGCTGATTGAGATGAAGAATTGTGTTATATGAGTGCAAAGTTAGCGGGTAGTTAACTAGCTAATTCACCTACTAGGTTAGTGATGCATTCATTGACTTTGGATGCTGACAAACTTTCGCCTCAACAATACCCAGGTAAACAATATCCAGGTATATAACACTGCTGCCTGGCTTCTTCCAAGGTTCTTTGTCTGCAGTTGGCGCCTAGGCTAGGCTTTCTCAGCTGTGTTCTGGGAACTCTTGAAAATTTAAGACTTGGGACTGTTCCCCTTCCACGAACTAGGCCAAGATCGTCAAAGATCTGGCAAGGCACAGTGTCTGCCAATCCAATCCAGCAGAATACGGCCTAGCGAATGACTAACTGTTGCACCGTCGGTCGGCAACTAGCCTGTCGCAACAGAGACAAGCGGAATTGGCGTGTTGAAAGGGCGGGTTCTCGCACTGTCCCATCTGTCTTTTCTTTTCCCCCAGGTCTTGAACAACGCGTTGGCAAAAACGCGGCACGAAGTCACGTGCACTGGCTGGTTCAATTAAACCCTTTTCGGCCCGACTGAGACGAAACGCAGCATCGAGGAGATTGAAGTTGCAGAACACTGGACAATCTCACGAAGAATTCAGGATGTAAGTGGTTATTTGCTCCTAATATGGTTGGGACTTGTTGCTTAGGTTTATAGGGCGCAAAGACGGCAGCGTACCCATATCCACGGACCGTAAGTAGAAACCCGCCGAGTTTACCTGCAAAGGGGCTACCGAGCAAATACTAACTAACAACTTGTCTACCACATGAAGGCATTCCGCCCTGACGGATTTCCTGGCTGTACGTTGTACCCGGACTTTGTCACTTTGTGTATATATGTACATACATGTATATATAATCTCCAACCAAGTGCGCATTTGACTGATCTCTTCCCTAGTCCAACAATATCTCTGCGGCAGAAATCCGCAACAACTACGAACAACGTCTGAGGCAGGCTCTCCAACAAAATGGTCAGCAAGCCAATGGCACTGAAGACAACAGTAGCAGTAATGAGGGGGGAACGGCTCAGGATGAGGAGACGTCAGATGTTGCTGTTGAGACCCAAAATAGACGAAAGCGCAAGTCTCAGGCCGCACTGAAGGCCATGAAGGCCGCGAAGCAGCAAAAAGTCCAAGGAGAGCAAAGTGATGATGCAAAAATACTTAACTCCATGGTTCGTGGCAAGAAAGCAAGTCACAAGGTGCCTGGCCAACTTGAGAACTGCGAATCTTGCCAAACACGCTTTACGGTTACCGCATACAGCAAAGCTGGTCCAGGAGGTGGTCTCATGTGTTCCCCTTGCTCGAAACTCGTAGACCTTCGGGACCAGCAGACCAAAAAGGCATTTGCGAATAAAAATAAAAAGGGCCGTCGCCAGAATGTTAGCAAGATTCTGGACGGTATTGCCCAGCTTGGTGCAACCAGCCTCGTTGAGAGCTGTATCAAAGTAAGTCACGATTTCATCTTCGTGATTCCGATCTCAAGATTTATATATTTATTGCTGTTTCCGTATATAGACAGTTGCAGACCATATCGACAATATCGAGGAGTTGGGCGATCTCCCGCCCGATCTTGTCTTGAGACTTAGCCACATTCTATCCAAGCGACGAGCGTTGAATCCACTAACTGTTGATCTTTTCCTGCGTGGAGACGTTACTGTCATTGACATATATGATTGCGGAAGTATGCTTTCCCCTTTTACCACGACTAATAGTAACCTCGCTAAAAATAAGACACGACAGAACTGGAAGAAGATGATTTTCAGAAGATATTCTCTACCATGCCATTTCTCGAGAGAGTCAATCTACGTTTTGCAGGTCAGCTGAAGGATAAGCAGTTGGAGTATATGATGGAACACAACAAAGAACTCAAACACCTGCATCTCGACGCCTCCAACCTGATATCAAACGGATGCTGGCAAAAATTGTTTATAACATGCGGTTCGAAGCTCGAAAGCCTCAAACTGTCTAACCTAGACTCCGCGCTTGATGACGAGTCGATAGCTGTGATGGCTGAACACTGCACCAACTTGTGTTGCTTGAAGCTGAAAACCTGTTGGTTACTAGGTGATGATGCGCTCAGTTCCATCGCAAAGCTTTCCAAACTGGAGCACCTCTCTCTAGAATTTATGAAAGAGACATCCTCCAACGTGCTTCTGGACATGGTCGACAAACTCGGACCCAGTCTTCAAACTTTGTCACTAGTCAGCTTCAAAAACGCCGAGGATGAGATGCTAGACATGATCCATCAACGCTGCAGACGTCTTTCCAAACTGCGTTTCGCAGACAATGACAAATGCACAGATGCATCGTATTCCCGCCTCTTTACCGACTGGGATAACCCACCTTTAACCCACGTCGACTTTTCCAGCACACGTGACGTGGACAACAGGAACCCCGATGGCCCCGAAGAACCCATCGGCCTAGCCTCAGCAGGCTTCACGGCGCTGATGAATCATTCCGGAAAATTTATCGAGGCCCTCAACATCTGTTCGTGCCGGCATATTTCGCACAAGGCGTTATCGGAGGTGTTTGATGGGGAGCAAAAGTACCCCTGCTTGAAGGAGTTTGATATCTCATTTCACACGTCCGCGGACGACTCTCTTGTGCTTGGCATTTTTCGGTCATGTCCGGCTCTGAGGAAGGTTATCGCGTTTGCGTGTTTTGGGATTCGCGATGTCAAGGTTCCGCCTGGCGTGGCACTTGTTGGGGGGTTGAATGCGCACCATACGGCTTTGCAGGAGGATAGCATGAAGGTTATCGATCAGATTTTTTGAGGTGTTGGTGCGAGTGGGTGTGTTTTCGGTCTGCTCGTGGCATTTCGTCTCCAAATGAGTGATGTTTATGTCCAACATCTCGTAACCTGGCGATGGATTTCCAGAAGCAGCGATTTTAGCGATTCCTGAGGCCCCCGAAAATAGTGACTGGGGTTCTCCTTGATGCACGTCTTTCCTTTCTTTCTAATTTTGTTTATTATAGAGCAAAACATGTCCAATACCCAACTTCCTTCCTAGCTTCCACAACTTCACTGACATAATTGTTTGATTCCATATTGTATTGCTGTAACTATCATCTAGATCCATTCTGCTAGTTACCCTACGCAACGCGGTTTACGTTGACTGTTATTATTGTTCTTAGCATTGAGCCGTTGGTTTGATGCAGCCAACCGCTCTGCAAGTTGGTTCTATTTACAGCATTTGGCGTCCATGTTTATTTACCTATTAGTTCATTTCTTGCCCAACTACACCACCCATGACAGATCTCTTTTGCCACTGCCCAGTTCGTAGCAGTTCTTTTGAGTCTATATTATCAGGGCATCAAACTATAAATCGTTCGGACAAGAAGATGACTAAATAGCTAACTACCTTATCCCAGCTCCATGACATTTTCATACCTAACTGGTATGAATTCAGAATTAACACTCCCAGGCATCCCAGGAACCAGGAACCAGGCACTCGATGCGCTTATTTCCACCCTCTTGTTTGACCGCCTGGCTGGAAACGTGGGAAGATAAAGTTAACCTTTCTAACCTTGGGGGAAGGCTTAAAGGGTCAACATTGACTTTTTTAACCATGTCGTATCCTTAACTACCACAGGATGAAAATCGACCAGGGATAGGCAATCACCTGATACTGCAAATATTTTATTCACTCATTCCTACCCAGCCAGATACATTATATATATATATATATATATATAATAAAATATACTCACACAATATCCCTAGGCCCAGGGTTATCGACTCGTCAAAGCAAAACTCTACCACAGCACAGAGTTACGGACTCATGGTGGGGTCCCCACTCCCACTGTCAGCTGCGAGAGTTGACATGGGCAGAGCTGGCATCACTCTGCCGGATGTTAAAGAGGTTTATATATGGAGTTCGTTCGAGTTTGGGTTTGGGAGTTTTGGGGAATAATCTAAAATGTAAATGTAAGCCGTGTCGTTTGGCCTGACAGAGGGTCAAAGTGAAGGAAGGGTATTCAGCAACCCAAGAAGGTCTGTCACGAATGTGATTAACGGGTTGTTGCCATTAGTTAATCTTAATTTGCTTTATATCTTGGGAAGTCCAGTTGTATGTGGAATTCCGTGTCCACCTTCTGTCCCGTTCCCACAGGATAGAGAGTATCACCTTTTAGTCCATGGACTTTCAACCAGGGTACGGAATTACGTTCAGCAATTTTGACTGTGGGGACAGGGTGTTCAAGAACCAATCAGTTTTAGCTGTCCCCAGATTTTGCCGGGGATTTCGAACCCCTTGAGTCGAAGGAACCCCTTTGGCCAACAGCAAATCATTTAGTGCCTAATGGAACGAAGAACCCTAGTATATCCTGGGTCTGCCGATGCAATTTTTCCTGGTCGGAGCAGGAAGATCCTAACTTAAGCCAATTAACCAGAGCTAGCTAGTTAACAGGTTCTTTTTATTTTCTGCAACCGATAGATCCATTGGGGATGCAATGACCTCATGGTAAACCCGGGACTTCGTCCCTGTTGACAGGATTGAGGAAGGGCCAATGCCTGTTTGTGGTTGTGGATTTGATACAGAAAATGTCGAAGTTCACTGAGATGAAGGTCCGCAGCGTGGTTCTCGTGGTGAATGTATACATGTCTGGAGACCAGCCCGTTGTCCGGATCGCAGGGATGGAGAGTGGATCTGTTGGAGTGACAGCGCGCCGTCATCCGCTGCGGAGGCGACTGGTGGATGGTGTGGCTTTTCCTCGGGGAACTAATTTTTGCACGTATGGTTTCTTCTGCTTGAGAAGCATACGGCCCGGTTTCGAGATGAGGTAATTTTCGGGGAAGCATGGAGCGTTTGCATGAGCGTCCCTCCTTCGCAATCCTTGATATAGCCCTTTTAGATAGCCTTGTCAAGAGAGATCTCTCTGGGAAAACCTTGCTTCTGAAAAAACAGCCGTGGCGTAATTACTGGCGTAGGTTGGAAAATATGCATTACTGGGGAAGAAGCTTTGACGTAATCCTTGAAATTGATGGGCCATGATATGCGCCCCGTATCCTTTTGCCTGCTGATCAGATTCCGCCAATAACCCCCAGAGGCATTTTGACGATGACGATCGAAGATGAGACGTGCAATGTGATCTTTGGGCATTTTCGGGAATTGCTCTCGAAAGAGGCATGGGAGACCTGTAAGGATAATCCAGCTCTCTTCAGTGCCATCATTGCAGAACGACTCGGAATCCGATATCGCCATTCCGTTCTTCTAACACTACAGGCTGTCGAAGAACGGTTGGAGAGCCTCTGACCTTGAATGGACCTAGATTATCTTAACCGGGAAAGGAGCCCTCCAGGGTGTAGCTAGAGGTTGAACATCACGAGAGCTCGCTCTTGATTCTTTTGGGATCAGAGACGGTATACAGTGCTTCGGAAGCCACAAGCTTTGCGACGAGGGGATTTTGCCCACGATGAGCCGGGTTGCAGGTGATTGCTACTCCGGTTGTCCATCTGCTTTGAATGGCAGCGCACCTGGGACTTTCGGTATTCAAACTATTGCAGATTGCAGATTGCAGATTGTGCTCCTGAACGGAAATACCGAGTTCGGTTTTGGTCGTTGGTATCTGGTGGATTGGATTACATGGGTTATCTCATGTCTCAAAGAGGCATGGCTGAGTCAGCAGGGGGGAGAGCAGGGAGAGCAGGGAGAGCAGGGAGAGCGGGATAAACGGAGGCCAGAATGACGATGGGGAGGAGGAGCTGCAGGTGGAGTGGAGACAAGAGGAGAGGCGGGAGAGGGCATTATTATATAGAAACACTCCCAATGAGGGTTCGCTTCCTGTTAGCCACCACACCTTAACAGACAGAGAGAGCTCTGGAGTTGTTCTAAGCGAGCTTGCCCTGAGAAACAAGGTTAGGGTACCATATCTGGTAGGCAGGTTACGCATGTTTTCACACTCAAGACGACTGTTATGGCAAGCCGAAGTCCTTGTTTGTTAACAAATGAATATGCATAAGCAATAATCAATGAGAATTGTTGATTCGTGAATATACTGGATTCAAAATTATTCAACTCAGTTTCAATCTCTCTTTGTTGTGAGCAACCACCACCACCCAAGCTTTTTTAATCCCAAAAAGATTAAACACTAAAGTAGCCACCGGCTAACTCTAGGCGCCCGTACCCTACCTAGAGTTGTATCGAAATAAGAAGAAATCCGACAGTCCGTCGTCCCATTGCAGATTTTCTCAAAGGTTGGCGGGAAGCGTGGGTGAGAAATCCATCAGTATAACGGAGGAATGGTTGGTTGCTCCCCCTTCGGTGGGTCCCCCTTGCACGCTGAGATCTGCCGAGGTAAACTAGCGGATAACATATATATTGTGTGCAGGTTTTCATCTGGGGCAAAAACTGATTCCCTGAAGTTGGCAGAAACCTTGGTAGCGTCGAAGTTCGAGCAAGAAAACAAGGCCATGAGAGACAGTTAATAAACCGTAGTACGGAGCGGGTTAATTCAGGTGGATGGAAAGACAATTGAATATCCGTATGAAGTTTATTATTCGGAAGCTGCTGTAAGGAATTAATTCAATTGCATCGAAGGGAAAAAAGGAACAATGTTAGAAGCCAACATATCACGTGATAGCGGGATCAAAAGACCCCAGATGATTTATAACTATGGATGCAGCCTAATAACGACCAGTTGACTAGTTAGTCCCCACCCTCGAAACTTTAGATAGCTCGTTGTCCTTTTTTTTTTTTTTTTTTTTTTTTTTTTTTTTCTTTCTTTTCCTTTTTCCTTTTGGGAAATATACTGCTGGTTTTGGGGGGTTGGTTAAGAAGTTCCAAGGTGAAAGTTGTTCCTTAGGTTTGGGGTCCACTTTTCTAAAACCAGGATCCTCATCAAATAAAACAGCAGTTCTGCATAACCGTGCACACAAACCACACGTATATTACGACTCCAATCTTCTATTCGACCTCGCCACTCCCAACACCAGGGTTGGGATGAAAGAGCTAAAGGGTTAAAGGACCAAACCCACGTCAGGAGCAGATAGAGATAGAGATGTGTGTGGGACATGTGTAAGGTATGACTAGTTGTGTGTAGTTTTAGTTAAAATACACATTGAAAATGAACGAAAGCGAAGATTTTTCCTTTCAGGCTGAGATTTTCAAAACCATCTTCAACCTTTTTTTGCTTTTTTTTTCTTTTTTCTGTTTTTTTCTCTTTTAAAAACCCAACGTTCCAACTCTGCCCTGTTAGACCGTGTTTTACTCTAGCTGGGAGGGTTGACCGGAGTTGATCATGGTTTTAGAAAAGTGGGCCCCAACTTTTTAAACAACTTTCACCTGGAACTTAACTAACCCACATTTCTGTCTCCTGAAAATCTTAATCCACACGCCCTCTGCCTGCCAGCCTGCTCTGCGCGGGTCTTACTTCTGCTCATAACCTCCTAACCGCCTACAGCAGGGGGGCGGGCCCCTGAGATGCCTGCCTTAACTACTTGCCCAACCAACCTGCCAATGTGCCGATTGCTCTCGTAGACGGATGAGGTGAGGATGAACTGGGTAAATAAGCAACCATAGACAGTATTGTCTAATGTATCGGCAGAGAGAACGACAGGAACGAAGCAGTCTATTCCAGAAAAGGAAAAAGTGTTAAGTATAACCACAAGGTTTTGAGTTGTATACCGGGAGTATCTAGTTAGGTGAATCTATGAACTATGAACAATGGAACTATGAAATTTCTTCAAGCTTCTCCCCAAAAGAGAAATCTTCCCGCTCAATGATCTCGGAAGCCTTTGAGATCCGGGCAGGTGAGGGACGAGTTGAACAAGCTATGGAGAAGAGCGTTTTGAAACACAGCATTCTGCCTTCGTAGCCAGCTTCTTGAAAAGTTGTAATATGTATGTGTCTCTCAGCAGAATCGCTAGCAAATGGAAGGATGAGAGGAGTGGGTGTATTTGAGGGTTAGGCTGGCCATAAACAATTTTACATGCCTACTTGCGAAACTAGTGAAAATAAGAGGTGGCGCATGTCCCAGCCAGTCAAGGCAGTAATCCATGTGTGTCCAATAATACAAATAACAACAGTTGGACTAAAGAACAACAATGAGACAAGGGGGGAGGCCGCCCTTTTTAAGCCGGCGGAGGGTTCTGGAAAGCAGAGGAGAAGCAAGAGTGTGCCCCGTAGATGCCATTACATATCTCATCCCATGCAGGGCAGGGCAGGGCAGGGCAGGGCAGGGCGAAATAAAGAAGAAAAAGAGGGGATAAGTCTTCTGAGACAAGACGGAGTACGGAGAAGCACGGAATTCATTGAGATTGTTCTTTCTTCCCCCCCTTTGGCCAGTTCTGAGGGCTGGGGAACGACATACCTGGCTCCGTTTTGCTCCGTTTTGGCTCCATTTTTTGTAAGAAGTCAACTGGCACTGAACCAAACCCCTTCCTCGGGCCCGGATCGATTAACGATGCTAGACCCTCCAGAATCTCACTAGGGATGCCTTGATGTGACGATGCTGGCTTGGGTAGCTGGGGGCCAGACGTAGGCTGAATTGTTGTTTTTGCTGCGGACAACATCGCCACTAGCTAGCTGCTGCTAACATGGCGTCGGTAGCGCGAGGGAAAAAAGATAAGAGGAAGAAGAAGAAGTAGAAGAAGAAGAAGAAGAAGAGGAAGAAGAGTTTCTTTTCTTTTCTTTTCTTTTCTTTTCTTTTTTCTTTTTTCTTTTTTTTTTTTTTTGGTTCCCAGACATTTATTGCTGTGGAAGAAGCAGCAGAGAAGATGAAAGAGTTGAAGAATTAAATAAAGAGCAAATCAAGGAGAGTTGGAAAGAGAGAGAGAGAGAGTAGTTAGTTTAATCCATAATAGTTGCATTAATTATTTTATGCAATCCTCTGTTTAACTCAAACTCCTTTTCCCCTTTTCTCGTTCCAACCCAGACACACAGAGAGAGAGAGAGAGAGAGAGGGAGAGGAGAGACACTTTCCCACCCACACGCACCACACACCCACACCCACACCCACACCCACACGCACCCACCAACCAAACCAACCACCAACCAAACCAACCACCAACCAAACCAACCACCAACCACCAACCAACCAACCAACCCAACCCACAACACAACCAACACAACCAACGCACTCTCACTCACTCACCACTCACTCACTCACTCACTCACTCACTCACTCACTCACTCACTCACTCACCACTTGCCCACCACCACATCCACAACCCTACCACAGCCCAGATCGCGCCCGCCCCAAACTGTCAGCAACCGCCAACTGAGCACAACCAAACGAAGCCTGTTGCAACTGTCGATGACACCGACAACCAACAACCAACAACCTTCAACTTCATCGCTTCTCCCTCTGCAAAAACATTTGACAGGCTTCAACCCTCCCAACTCCGCCATCCTCATTAACTAATCCCCCCCCTCCCTCGCTCTGGCTCTCACTCTCTTCTCTCGTTTTACTCTTTTATTTTTTTGTATTATTATTATTATTATTATTATTATTATTATTATTATTTTTTTTTTTAATTGGCCTGCGATCCCTCTCCTCCTGTGTTTCCTGGTCTCGATCCTTCGCTGGTTCCCAATCTTCAGCGTCTCTCGATCGTGCTACCAATGCAACCACTCCTCCGAGGCTGCCAGATACGGATTTGGGCCCCGATGATTCGATGAGCTTTGAGAATATGTTTGAGGGGTTGGATAAAGAGGCTGCTGGGCCTTTGTTTTGCTGCTGGTTCCCTTCCTCCCGCACCCCCCCCTCCCCCCCCCCCCCCCCCCCTCCCCACACAAAAAAAGGTGAGTATCAACCAACATCTCTCCTACCTCCTCTATTTCTTCTATCCTCCATCAAACTAACTGCCATAGCCCACTGGGAATTCCCATCTCCTTGGAGGACTCTTAGGCCCATGTCATCGTGAGAGAAAAAGAAAAGAAATCAAAACACATCTCCCTCGCTTCTTCTACAAACGAAAGCCAGAATTTACAGGACAGCGTCATGGGCCGGACGCATTCGAGGGAGGACGATGCTGTGGTAGCACGTCCGCTTGCTGTCCGCACGAGGACTTCAGGAGTTGCCGACACCAAAGGCTCCCTTTCACCAACGCACAATGCGCTCTCCAGCCCTAGAAAACATAGAAATACCGTATATCTTGAACGCACCGCCTCTGTCGAAGATGAGGATGCCAAGATCGTTAATAGTGCGGTCTCTCACAGACGGACGCAGACCTCGGATATCTCTCCTGTCGGGGAACATTCGGACTTCTCCGGAAGCGGATGGCAGCAGCGTAGTTCCTTGAGAGAAACAACGGACTACGACGACGATGATTCCCCTGTTGCAGCTTCAATAGCCGAGGAAGTCATTCTGGCTGAACGGTATGAACAAAAGGCTAGCCATTCGGACAACCAGCCTAACAAAGTGATGACGCCAGCTCAATTCGAGCGCTATCGACAGCAGAAGGAAATGACAAGGAAGAAAACAGACACGTCCTCTAGCTACCTTTCGGACGACGACAGTGACCACTATGATGACGAGGAGGACGAGGTGGAGAAAGCTCGTGAGGCTGCGAAGCAAAGAAAGAGGCAGGAAGCTCATCTGTCGGTATACAGGCAGCAGATGATGAAGGTTACGGGAGAGCAGGCCAAACCACAAGACTCGGATTTAAATATTAGCATCGCAGGCTCACTCAGCAACCTCAGCCGCACATCATTCCTTGCTCCAGAGACATCTACCAACGGTAATTCCACCGGAAACGGCAAGAGCAGCGACGGAGAAGAAGACGAGGACATCCCACTGGGCATCCTAGCCGCCCACGGCTTCCCCAACAAAGTCCGGCCACCGGGCCATCTAACTCCCTCAATCTCAAACCCCAACCTCCGCTCCTCAATGGCGTCCTTTGTCCAGCCCCCGCCCTCCGTCTCAGGCGAAGCAATCCCGCAAGCCAGCCGTGTCAGCCTCCCCGTCTTCGCACGCAACCTCCCCCGCGATCCTTATAACATTGGCGCGGGCCTTATCAACCCTTCACACCGCGAATCATTGGCTCTGGGCGGTGGTTCGCCATCGGTCTACGGTGCGCCGCCCGGTTTGCCACCCGGAGGACTTGTAGGGGTTATTGCGAGTGAGGAGAGGGCGAAGGCTATGCGTAGGGGAAGTCCGAATGGGGCTACTACTCCGAATAGCTTTTTAGGGACGAACGGACCCCAGGGAAATTGGAGTAATATGATGGGTATGAATACACCGTCACCGCATTTCCTGAATGTGCCTGGTGGAGGTGGCTCGCCTATGGGTCTGGGTCCGCAGCAGATGTACTCACAACAGCCACAGCCGCAGCAATACTATGGCCAGGCGCAGATGATGACTCAAATGATGCAGACGCAGATCCAATGGATGCAATCCATGATGCAAATGCAAGGCCTGCCCACGCAACCCATGCCTGGCGCAGGCCCGGGTCAACAGATGACCGCCCCCGGCAGCCCCGTTCGGCCCGTCTCCATGCTCTCCATGGGTCCCGGCCCCAACGTGAACCAAGGCCCGCCACAAGTCGACCATCAAACCCTCAGCCTCCTCGATCCGAGATGGACCAATCGCCAATCATCCTTCCTCCCCAACTCTCCTTACCAAACCGATTTCAACATGAACATTGGGCCTCTGCCAGGGACGGCCACTGCCTACGCACCATCCGTCGCGCCATCGGAGCGCAGTAACGTCGGCACGGCGTCGAGGTATCGGCCTGTTTCTACGGGGTCGGGCATACAGGTGGGTGGTAATGAGCGGACGATGAGCGAGAGGTCGTCGACGTTTACGTCTTCGACTCTTAAGCCGTGGAATGAGGGGAAGAGGGGGATGAGTTTTTCCTCGGGGACTGGTGTTGCCGCGGCGAGACCGTTGAGCCACTTGAGGGTTGAGACGCCGGTTGGTGATGGATTGAATGGGAATGGAAAAGGGAATGAGAATGAGAATGGGAATGCGGAGGACGACGATGAGGATGAAGGGTGGGCGGAGATGATGAAGACGCGGGAGAAGAAGAAGAGTGGATGGAAGTATAAGAAGACGGCGTCATCGTTGGGGGAGTTGTTTCATCACCATCATCACCATCATCACCATAATACTACGGCAGCCTAAGGGATTGTGTTGGCATGTGGATTTTGGAGTAGGTGCTGTAACACCTTTTTTTGGGTAGTGTGGGAGAGTGGGATTCGCATCGATTGAAAGACGGGTTACAAACATGCATGCATGCCCCTGGAGCATTGGATGTGATTACTATCTAAGTTGCCAATATAAATCCATTTGGAAGCACATTTCGAGATTGGAGAGGTACAAGGGGGAGGGTGAGAACACAAAAAGCTAGGAGATGAGTTGGATTTTTCTTGGATTTATTTTCTTATTGACCTTTTTGCACTGGGACATATAGTATCTTGCTGTTTTTGAGTTGATTTTTGTTTTGCTTGATTTTTGGTTTTTTGTTATGGTGTAATTCCTCACTCCACTTTCCTGATCTCTTTGTTCTTCAAAATTCCTTCTTGTCCTCTTTCTTTCTGTATTGTGGTTTGATGTGGCATTTTTATATTTATTTTTGTTATATTTTATGTTTCACTCATATTGGCGAATATATGGCTCGTTGGTGGTTGTGTTTGTTTCTGTCATTCTCCTATTGAAAATTGCCCCCCCTTTTGGAATCACATACATACACACATACATACATCATCTGTAATAATCATAATTGGATTTCATTTGGGCAGATAGAACAATAAAAATGTATATATATATACATCAATCATTTTCTCCTCCCAAATCCTCCCTCACTCGCAGAACCTACAAAACCCTCGTTAACCCCATCCACCACCTTCCTCGCCTCCGCCACCGCACCCCTCACAATCTCCCCCGCCGTGCTAACCTCGTTTACCAACCCAATCCCCGTCCCCGCATATGTCGTCAACCGCCCCTCGGGCCCCCACCCTGCATCGCCCTTCTTCATCTCCTCCTGATAAAGCTTCTGATTCTCCTTATCATCCATCCCCTCCTCCCGGTCGCGGACCGTAACATTCTCCACCCCGCGCCCACCATACCGCTCCGGCCACGCATTGTACCCACGCATAATATCATACACTGTCGTGCGCACAGTACTTACCCCGCCATCCGTCACCCGCAGCACCTCCCGCTGATAACCGCCCGAGATCGCCGCGTCCGAACACGCCAGGAACCGTGTGCCCATCACCACACCCTGCGCGCCCAGGCACAGCGCTGCGGCGACCCCGCGCCCATCCGAGATGCCCCCCGCAGCCACGAGCGGGATTCCACCATACCCAGCATGGGCGAGGGCATCTCTCGTCTCCGGCACCAGCGAGATGATACTCGCGCCCCGCGCCAGGCCATGGCCTCCTGCATCACTCCCCTGCACGACCAGGACGTCCGGCTTGGCTTTCTCAGCCACGTCGAGCGCTTCCTTGACGGAGCCGATTTGGATCCAGATGCGGGTGCGGTTGTTTGTTGCGCGGCGGATCTCGCTGGACCAGGTTGCCAGGGTGTCTTGCGGGTTTGGGTCTGGGGCGGCGAAGAGCCAGACTGCGGCCGGGGTGTGCTTCTGCAGGGCAGGGAGGGCGTCGGGGAGCGTTGCGCCCCAGTTTAGAAAGCCGATGCCGACTGGGAGGGGGTCGTTGGCGGCTTTGTTGTAGCTTGAGATTGGAGAGGAAGAGAGGAGGTCTGCGGCGGCAGAGAGGAGGGTTTCGATCTTGGTGGAGTCATAGCCTCCGCCAATAAAACCCAGGCCGCCGGCACGGGTGACGGAGACGGCTAGGTTGGGGGAGGCGATGCCGAGCATTGGTGCAGAGACGATGGCGGGGGTGTTGGCCGCGATGGTTGGGTGGAGGTCGTGGATGGTCGACATGGTGGATATTTTCTTCTTCTTTTGTTCAAAAGGCGTTTACGGGAATAATTGTGGTGGTTGTTGGATCTTGTATTTTTTCGGGGAATAATGGGCAGGAGAGATCGTATCGGACTTCCGCCGCGGTTAGGTGGAGGGATGTAAATATATATAGAGCTGAAAGGGAAGTGCGGGGTGCGGGGTCTAAGAACACAATTCACCCTTTCATCCTTTCCAGAGCACGAAAACACTTGCCGTTGGTATCCTCTCCCATCTCATATGGGAATGGTCCTAATCGCATCCTGGAGCTGCTCTGTGGCTCAGCATCATGTGCTCTGCAGTACGTATGAATAATACTCTGCCGGGAACTAATAACTATCTCCTTGGAAGGTTGTGATAATAGTTTCCTAAGCGGGAGAAACACCATTACAATTTACCTGGGAAAACTGAGCAAGGATGCAGCCAATGGCACCACGGACATGACATTCAGCTTGAATCCTGCTGCCAATTGACCACGCTGCTGAGACATATGTATTTTTATACAGAGTACTCGACACTTGGAATGGTCTGATGGATGTAGGACAGGGGTGTTAGTTGTTAGGCGGGTGTCCGATGACGTAATGGCGTCCGGATTTCGGATATATATATAAATCCGAGTGCCTTAGTAATACATCCACGTGACATGTATTTGCCTTTCCGCCCGCTTATCAAAAGAACAGAAGAAATATCCAACGCCGGGAAGGACAATGGAAGCACCGACATCTTGTTTATATACATACATACATACATATATATATATTATATATATTGTATTTGCTCTGGAGAGTAGATAATAACGACTCCATCTGTTTCTTCTTGGGATACCCTCTACCCGCAGATATTATCCTTAAGTTATTAACCCATTCTGGAACACGCATTTGGTCTGCCTCTTTGGTTTCTTTGATTCTTTCTTGTCGCGGCTTCCAGCAGTTGCAGACACTTGGTTAAGACCTTTTTGGATATCTCGTTTTCTCTCTCAAGTTCTGGTCTGGCGAAGTCTTCATTCTTAAGGCTAAGGGTTTCTGGTATATTTATTCACCGCATCAAGGGGAAGCCTGGAGCAGGCAGCCTGCGGGCCAGTATCCTCGGTCAAACTCCTTCTGCTGGGCAGCAGCAGCACAGGAGGTTTATCATTATCTTTACTCTCCGGTCTTCTCCTTGCTGTTTCCCTAGTCTCCTATCGTCACCAGGCCATCTCCTCCAGCAGCTGGCGTAATTCAAGATGAATGCCCCCGAGAGGTAAGATATTAGAAGTTCTCTTTTGCGTGTTTCTTTTCTCCCCGCTGTACGGTTCCCGGGTGCCAGTCGATCGCTCTATATATTTTTTGTTACATTTGCCAGAAGGAAGTTGAAAATCAGCAACGGGATGGAGATTGAGTCGTTCGGCCCGGTCATGTTGTCCTGTCAGCCATCCCTTCTTGTTTGTTGTTGTTGTTGTTGTTGTTGTTGTCGTTGCTTGCTGCGTCTCCGTTGATGCCGCCGCCCCCTTTCATCTGTCTCTTCCTTCTTCCATCATCCTCCCATTCATTCTCTTGCCACCATCATCACTCTGCGCAACCAGCATCCAACAACCTATCATCTTAACTCCTTTTCTGTTTATATTACAAAAATACCCCTACAAATCCTCTCCATCACATCACCCCCCCCTCTTACGCTTGATCATGGACATCACCCGTCTCCCCAGGGAGCGCGATCCCGAGCGTGAGCGCTCTATGACCTTCTTCGACTCGTCTGCAGCAAGTTACCGCCAGAACCCTTGCAGGACTAAAGTCCGTCCCCATCTGGACAATGTGTCTAGGTTCGGACATTTCCATGTTTTGTTTTCTATGCGTGCTTTCTTCGTTGGCCTTTTTGGTTTTGCTGTGTTTCGTGGCTGTTGGCTTTATTTTGGAGTTGAATCCTTGCGTTCCATTTTCTCTCTGGTACTTGTTTTATGGGTGCAACTATTACGTTTTGCGATAAAATGTTACATTCCTGGCTGACACGGTATGTTTGATGAAATCAGATTCGAATCCTTCGTCCTTCTTCCTGGTGAGAAGAAGGTCGAGGTTGAAGTCGATACTCGTGAGTTTGATACCCCTTTCTTGCCCATCAGCTCTTGGGACATGTTGGTGGCTAATCTACCCATCAATAAGGAGTCCCATCCACTGCCATCTTCACCTTTAACAAGGAAGACCACACCCTCGGTAACATGATCCGTTCACGTCTCCTTAATAGCTCCCATGTCCTCTTCTCCGGCTACAAGGTATACTCTCTAATCCGTCTAGTCCCCGCCCACGAACTCTTCATATTTTCATCATTTCGTATTAATTCCCCCTCTCCCCATTTCCACAGGTCCCGCATCCCCTGATCCCCAAATTCATTCTTCGCGTGCAGACAGACGGCCAAATCACCCCCAAGGAAGCTGTCATCACTGCCTGCCACGAACTGGTCAAGGATCTGGGCGCCCTCAGCCGCGAGTTCACCAAAGAATACGAACTGCGCAAGATGGTGGGTGCTGGTGCTCAACAGCAGAATGCTCAGAACGGGGCTTAGTTGAGCTGGTTTTACGGCTTTGGAGGTGGACATGCAGAGTGACTGACCAATAGACCGACTTCAATGGGGTGACTGGCAAGGCGCTGGGATGGGATAGATATCATGTCGTGTTTTCTACTTTTTCATCTTTTCTCGGTGAAGGGTTCTTTTCCTTTTTTCCTTTTTTATATTTTATATTTTATATTTTTTTTATTTCCTTTTTCTTTTTCCTTTTTTATATAGGAACCGGGTAAGGGATGGCGTGATGGCGTTGGGGAGAACCAAGGCGGGTTGATGATCTTTTGTGGGCCTTTTTTTCTTATTTGATTTGCCTACTTTGTCTCAATATCTGTGACCAGGCCAATACTTCGCCTGGCTGGGCAGCTATCGTTAATGTATCCATCATAGTTGGTTGGCATGAATTCACCCATCCCATAAGTGGGAAATACACATTAAATGATAAGTTTCCTGACTGAATTCTCCCTCCTGTCTCTATAATTATCCGACTTTCCCGAAGTAAACGTTGATGACGTAAGCCCACTTCACTTGGCAACCGTCCAACCGCCAGCATCGATCAACAACTCCCAACCTCGAATATCTCGTAAACGTCAAAACTTCCCCTGAGCTGAGGCTTGCTCTGCCTCATCCACAGCCTATCTCTGTCTCCTCATTCACTTCTTTCATTATCTGTAATTTCCCACTTCCTCTCTCTTTCCTTCTTTTTCTCATTTCCACAGCATCCAGCGTGTTTTTTTGCAACCAACCATGTATTCGAATGCCTACTATGCCGGCAACAACAGCCGCCCAGGTCAGCCCCCCTATGGCCAACAGCCACCACCACAACAGCAGCACCAACAGCAGCCTTTCCCTGGCTATTCCCAGCCTCAGCAACAGAATCTCCAGCCAGGGCCCTTCATACCCCAACCGACCGGCTATGCGGGCAACCAGATGCAGCAAATGAATGTGCCGATGCAACAACCACAGCCCACTGGGTTTCCTGCCGGTGGCCTTCAACCCTTTCAACCCCAGTTCCCCGGCTTCCCTCCTCAAAACCAGCAGCCTACTCCGATGGCACCTCAGCAGCAGCAGCAGCAGCACCATCAGCAGCAGCAGCTCTCGGCGCCTCAACCTATGCCCCCTGCCCAACAAACGGGCCACACTTCGTCGCAGATCGCGCAATCGTTTCAACAACCGTCAGGCCCGGCTCCTTCAGTGACACATCATGGTGCTTTAGGTTCCAAAATTCCAAATATGCGCCTTTCTTTTATCACCGCTCAGGATCAGGCGAAGTTTGAACAGCTTTTCAAATCTGCTGTGGGGAATAATCAGTCGCTAGATGGTGGGTTCTGTATATGGGCTCTATCCGTTAATAGAAGTTTTGGTTGGTTACTTAAGACTGGTTCATGACTGACGCGTGTTCCACAGGAGAGACGGCAAAGGATCTGCTTCAGCGCTCCAAGCTGCCTGGAAGTGACCTTTCCAGAATCTGGTTCGTCATGCCATCACGTTAGGATGTGTGAGAAAAGTATTATTATTATTTTTTATATGTTTGCTAACAATATATGAAATTAAAGGGTGCTCTCTGATACCACGAAATCGGGCCGTCTCCTTTTCCCCGAGTTCGCATTGGCAATGTACCTGTGCAACTTGAAGCTAACGGGAAAAGAACTCCCATCCACTCTCCCTGAACGGATAGCGAATGAAGTCTCCAGCATGGTCGATATGATATCCTTTGCCGTCCCGGATGATGCACCAGCATCGGCTCCCAAGACAAACGTTCCAAATTTTGATGCTCCCCTCATGCAAAACGTGTCTGCACCGCCTGCACCCCAGCATCCTCAACCCCAACAGGCTTCTAATACTCAGCTTCTATCCCAATTGACTTCACAGCCGACCGGATTCTATAACCAAACTACAAGCTTTCAGATTCCTACAATTGTGCAACCTCAACAAACTGGCTTTCCCGGTCAGAATACTGGCCTCCACCCACAGCAAACTGGGTTTACGAATAACCCTCAGCCAACTGGTTATAGCGGACTGCGACCTCCAATGCCCCCCATGCCGGCTGAATTTGGTTCGGCCCTTTCACCTTCCCAGACCGGACTTGGTCCGCAGAACGCTCAACCAACTGGTGTCCCCGGGCAGTGGGGTTTTGTCAATGCCCCTGCAACTGGATTGCCCAACATTGAAGCGTTGAAACAGCGATTAATGCCTCAGTCTGGTCGTGAAGGCGGGTTCACGACTCAGGGTCTTTCAGGGAACGCGACGATTCCATGGGCAGTGACGAAGGATGAAAAGAAGATTTATGACCAGCTTTTTAGAGCGTGGGATGGGCTCAATAAGGGGTTTATTGGTGGTGATGTTGCAATCGAAATCATGGGCCAAAGTGGTTTGGATCGCCAGGATCTTGAGCGCATCTGGACGCTGTCAGACCCGAGTAATCGGGGAAGGTTGAATATGGATGAGTTCGCTGTAGCGATGCATCTGATATACCGGAAACTCAACGGATACCCTGTACCCAATAGACTTCCGCCTGAACTTATCCCTCCATCAACGAGGAACTTGGACGACTCTATTGGAACCGTCAAGTCCCTTCTCTCTCAGGATGCGGAATCCCGCAAGTCCTCTGGCGCATTTTTACAGCCTCAACAGACGGGCGTTAGTTATTTGAAAAACCACTCTTTCCGAAGCGGATCCGCATCGCCTGGTGTTGGTCGAAAAGATGCAACAGTTTTCAAAAACAACGACGACGCCATTGGTTATAGGTCAAGCGCCCGCCGCCGTGTTGGCGGGAGTAGCCCCTCACCCACCCCGTCACCCGCCTCCGAGCGAGCCGATGAAGATATTTCACTCGAGCAGCTGAAAAAGAAGATCCGCGAGACGAAGATCATGTTGGATGCTACTGATTTCCAGGACGAGAATCGCGCTGAGGAAGAAGAGGCGCTTAACCGGCGAGATCGTAAGGAAGCTGAGTCGCTCATGGAAAGAATCCGACGCGTTCAGGATGACATCGACACCGATTCCAAAGCTCCTTTCCGCAACACAGACTCTGGCGCTGAGCGCCGTGCGCTTCGCAGACAGCTCCAGTCGTATCAGGACCAACTGCCTGAAATAGCTTCGAGTGTCCGAAAGGTCGAACGGAACATTGCCGACGCCAAGCTCGAATTGTTCCGGTTGAAGGACGCAAAGGCCCATCCTAATTCTGCCTCTACGATTGTTGGAACGGGTCCAGGTGGCGCCGTTACTGAATCTGACCGTATCAAAGCCCGCGCGCGTGCGAGGATGCAGGCCAGAGCTGCGGAGTTGGCCGGCAGACCGCCACCGTCTACGGGTGATGATGATGCAGCTGCTGCGCGACGGCTGGAAGAGGAGGCTTCCAGTGTCAAGGCTGAGCAGGAGCGGAATGAGGCTATGACGAAAGATGTGGAGGAGAGTGTTAAGGAGTTCACGCGTAGTCTTGAGGATGGACTTAAGGAGGTTGATGAGAATTCTACGCTGGAGCATGAGAGGAGGCGGTGGGAGGAGGCGCTTGGTGTTGAGGATATGATTCGCGATTTCATTTATGATTTGCAGCGGGGAAGTAGGACGGCGAAGGTTCGGAAGGAAGAGTGAGTACCTTTTTTTTTTTTTTTTTTTTTTTAATAAAACCTGTTTGGTTTTTATCCATCTGTTTCTGTCACCTCTCTAACTCCTTTTTCGTTACAGGAATGCTTCTGCTGCAAGATCTCAGTCGTATAACCTAAACAATAATGCATCGCCTAATGGCAAAGCTGCCACTACGCGACCATCACCACCAGCTTCCACTGCTTCAACCTCATCTCTTACCGGCCTTACGCATCAAGAACGTGTGGCATCAGCCAAGGAACGAGCACAGAAACGAATTGCCGAGCGAATGGCAGCTGCAGGCCTCAAGCCAAGTACAGACGGAGGCGAAACTCTCCTCGAACGCCAGGAGCGAGAGAAGCGTGAACGAGAGGAGAGGCGTAAACGGGCGGAGGAAGAAGATGCCAAGCGAGAGCAGGAGAGGCAGCGTCGTATTGTTGAAGAACAGAATAGTCCGCTGGTCAAACCTACTAACAAGAAACCACCTCCGCCTCCCTCGCGCAAGGGTAGGACTGATAGTACCGGCCATCTAGAGGCTAAGAAGGTTGTGGATATTGAGAAACTTGTTAGAGTGAATGCGGAGTCGGAAGAGAGGGAACGTTCGCTTCGAGATGAACAGCAGGCTCAGGAGGCGGAAAGTCGTCGTTTAGAGTAAGTTGTTTTTAATTATTTACCGTGCACTTGATTAATGCTAACTGGCTACGCTAGGGCTGAGGCTAGAGAACAAGAGGAGGAGCTTGCACGAGAGCGGGAAGCTGCCCAAACTCGTCTCAAGGCGTTGGAAGAGCAAGTTAAGCAGGGCAAGATTAAGAAGCAGGAGGAAAAGCGCCGAAAGGCACTTGCTGTGAAAGAATCTCAGGAAAAGGAAGCGCGGCTTGCTGCGCAACGTGCGGAGATTGAAGCTGCACATGCGCGGGAGAGAGAACTCCAGCGACAGCTTGAGGGCCTGGATGAGGAATCGTCAGATGACGAGTGTGCTGTTGAAGTCACGCCGCAGAACAGCACCCCTATGCAAAGCGCTGCTCCCCCTCTATCTACAACCGCCCAACCGCCACCACCTGTAACCGTGCCGCGTCCTGCCACTCCTCCGGCTGTATTTGAACCAGACTCTGGGCCACCACCAGCTCCAAATGCGGCATTTGCAAGTCCGAAATCGGTCAAACAGAGCGCTGCTGCAGATACAGAATCGAAGAACCCATACTTCGGCAAGTTCAGCCACTCTGACACTCAGCCGGGCTTCCACACGCCACCAGAACAAATTGCAGATCCTCTGGCGGCTGCTGTAGCTGCACCCACAACCACACCCGCCCCTCCAAAGACAGAAATCCAATCCACGAACCCCTTCCACCGCCTAGCGCAGCAGCAGGAGAGCCAGAAATCCGCCTTCACAGCAACACCCCTCCCAGGATCGCTAGGGCGTAAATCTCGCGCCCGCCCAGAAGACGATGAATGGTCTGTCGCTGAATCCGAAAACTCCTCCGATGACGACGACGGTCGAGCGGCCGGTGGCAGCGCGAAGCATCTTGCCAGCATTCTCTTTGGCACCATGGGTCCTCCCCGTCCCATCAGCGCGGCGGATGAGAAAGCAGAATCGAAACCTGCCACACCCGCGCAGGCAAGTCCCGTTGCTGCACCACCACCACCACCCCCGCCGCCTCCTGCGGCACCACCCGTGCAAGCCCAAGGTGTAGAAGACGACGACGATGATGATGACGAAGCGGAATTCCAAGACGCACCGTCTATGCCTCCACCTCCTCCACCCCCTGCGCCATTCGCAGAGGCACCATTTTCGCCCCCTCCACCTCCACCACCAGTTCCCAGCGGTGCCGCACCACCCGCACCACCCCCACCTCCACCACCAGCAGGCCCGACTGGTGCTCCTCCTCCTCCGCCACCTCCACCAGTGGCTGGTGTGTCTCCTATGCCTACGATTCCGAAGGTTGGTGGTGGCGCCGTTGGAGGGGACGTTCGAGGGGCGTTGTTGGCGAGTATACAGGCTGGGAAGGGGTTGAGGAAGGTGGAGACGAAGGATCGGAGTGCGGCTGCTGTGTCGGGGAGAGTTCTTTAGGTGGTTTTGGCGTTTTGAGTTGCGGGGAGCGAGGGGTAGAGGGGAGTGGGGCTGTGGAAGTGTGTTTATGTGGTAAAAGGTTTGTGCTGTTGGTGAGTTATGTTGATTTTGGAATTGTGATTGCTGAGATTGAGATGATAATTAAGTTTTCAAGATGGTTATTGGTGTTATATTTATATAGCTGATTGAGTTGATAGTTTGATTTTTATAGTTTTTGACATTGATTTGTCGAGAAAGGTTTCTGAATTGATTGCTGTGTTGTTTATACGTTGGTTCTTGATAGAGAGACCCGGTAATAATATTTCCATGTCCTAGCCTATTTTTTGTTATTTGTGAAATCGAGCTGATTGACTGTTTAGGATCGGGTCTATTGCATCTGAGTTATAAATGATCTGATTCCATGGACGTGCGTGCCTTCAGCCCCCAGCTCAAGATTATAAGACGGAGATCGGTTGTTTGATTAAAAATAGTTAGTGAAAGTGTACCATTTCCATTTAAGACTTGACTAAACCCCTACCTACCTGGTAGAGCACGTAATTTTCATGTTTGTTTATTTTTATTGCATATGTTTTAAAAAAGTCTTAGCCAGAATTGACATGCAGAAATGCCTATGTAAGGAAGTTTGCAACAGGGGAGCTTCGTAGTCGGGTATCCATATGAGGTAACCCACCTTACATACCTACATTGTAACAATACCTTTGCCTACCAAAAGAGAACCAAAAGCCAAAAGCGAGGAGATGAGGCAAGAGGATTTCTATAAGGAAGCTAGTGGAATAGGATATGAAGTGACTAGCTCTTCCAAAAGTGAAAGAAAAGTGGCGACATATTTTCCGAAAATATCAAGATGCTCATTATCAAATGCCATAAAAAGAGACTATTAAAGCTAAGTAAGGGGGTAATAAAAGGATACCAGAAAAACAATGAACCAAGGCCAGATGTCACTATTTCCGGAGAAGCAAACCGGCGATGCTTGGAGTTAAAACACGTATAAATTTACCCGGATATAATAGCCACGTTGACCTAATTTGTAGACATTACTTCCATAACCACATTTGCAATAGTAGTCACAGTCCACAATGTCACCAAACTCCAGCCGATCTTCCGATCCATCCACCACCCATTCAACGGCACGAGGATAAGGACCAGAAGAAGCGTCGCCAACAATGTCGCGCCGCTTATCAGCAACGTTGTGGAAACTTCGATTTCGTACGCGTTGGAGGTGGCTGCTAGAGAATGAGCTACAATATTGCTAACAGAGCTGGGTGATGACTTGGTGGGGTGCAGGGTCATGTACAGCCCGCCCACACCGACCCCGAGCAGGATATTCAGCATCGGTCCGCCGAAGCAGGCACTCAGCGCCATTACGGGGTATCCCAGTCGTGCTACGGTGATATCAGCGACCAAGTCGCCTAGGGAGTTACCCACGGCAAATATGGTCAGGCCAAGGAGTGAGTCGCTGATGCTGAGGATGACGCCGATTGCCTTTAGGAGGTTCACCACTTCGGATGCAAGGGTTGATATCCAGGCGATGGAGACGGCGAAACCGAGGAAAGCGAGGAATGGTCGTGAGCGCGACGGGATTTTGGTGTTGTTGCCGTGCTTGGTGCTGAGCATTAACGTGGTGAGGAGGATAAAGGATATGGCGAGAGCGATGAGGGCTGGGAGGAAGAGGTTTCGCGGATTGAGGTCGCCGTCAAGAGTTAACCAGCCAGTTAGTGTTACGAAAAAAGGGCCCATAAGAAGTTGGATGGCTAGAAGCCATCTGTTCCATTCCTTGGGTAATGGGGGCATGCCTTGCTCTGCTATCGTCTGTCTTGGGGGAACGGGGGCTTCTGAGTCTTGTCGATGGCGATTTTCAGTTGTGAGGGGTGACGACCTTGCATCGCGGCCATTATCTTCATTCAATTCATCTGCATCCGGTATTACGGGCATTATCTGAACGTCAGGCATAGAATGGGTCGGTTGAAGGCCTGTTCCGTCATCCTGGGGTCCGGAGCCGTTAAGATCTTGTTCTGAATACGTTTCAGGCTCTGAATTCTTTGGCTCAACCACAGGAAGAGTGATAGTTAGGAGAAATACGCTGGGTGCGGCAACTACTCCAAGACATCTATCCCATATAGGCTTCCTTTGCCAGCCATATAAGGTTGGAAACAAAGCTGCAACCATCGCGTAAGGGGAGGGCAGATATCTATATGGCCACCAGTTTATTGGCTTGGGCTCCATTTCGGAGTCCGCAAATCCCCGATGGGTGTATGAAGATGCAACGGACAAATCCGTACGTTGAGGATGTGGAATAGGTGATTGTGAACGGCTTGAAAAATTGTCTGAATATGGAGGAAAGGGGCTGGTCGAGCTCTGTGGCGACGACACTGATCGCGAGTCGGACATATCATCCAGTAATTTGGATCTTGGAGATCGTGCGATATCACTATCGCGGTATTTAGTTGGTTCAGAGAGATAGTTAGGAGACTGAAAATCTTGTTCCGGAAGCGTTAATAGGTTTAGGGACACGGGTTGACCACGAACAGCTGGGCTCTGCGATCTTGAGGGAAAGGCAGTTGACGCAGGCGAAGCAGTGAGACCTTCTGGTGGTGCAAAATGCGAGGCCGTTGCAGCGTAGCCACCAATTCCCTGATCTTGCTCATCCGGGACACCAGCTTGGGAGGACGTCAACAGTAAATCAACATTCGGTGGAACTGGATCTTGCCTGTTTATGACACGATTTGAGGGGTCATTGGCAGAAACAGATCGCACACGGGTATTAAAGGATCGAACATGCGAGTGGCGCACCTGGTCCGACTGGGTGTCCCTCGGCGGTTCTGCAAAGGTAGTTTCATCAGAGTAACTTCGAAGATGGATTGGCCCTGATTGCAGTCTTGATTTTTGCAGAGAAGATAAGACGGAGCGAAATTCAAGAGCACCAACCAAACTAGGCCGGATCGGAGTGACGGTAGGCCGTCGTTGGCCCATTGTAGGGCAATTGATTCGCATGCTCCCCTGGATTTGGGCGAGATCTCGAGTGTCTGCATCTTCATCAACATCATCTATCCTCCAGGCGGGTACATCTCCACGTTCCAAAGCCCCAAAATCCTCTGTTGAGGCTCCATGAAGCAGGGGTCGGGTTTGCCCAGCCACGGGATCATCATCCTCTTCTTGCTCCTCGATCTCCAGCTCCTGGTTCTCGGGTATATGGAAATGAGCTCTCGCAGCCATATCCCTCTCCCGCTCTCGCCTTTGCTTGGCCAAGTGCCAATGCCAAGTAACGACAATAAGGACGTAAAATCCATAAAATGCAATCATTGCGGCACATTCCCATACGTGTAGTTTCCCATCGGCTAGAAATATCAAACTGAAGCTAGCAGCAAAAATAAAATATACGACATCACGGACAAAGCTCCTTCGCGCCACTCTAAACGGTCTTACCAATGCCATCGATCCCGCCACAACAGCTGTTATAAATCCTGCTGCCCCGATAAGTTCACCCACTGCCAAGCTTCCACTGTTCGAGCTCATTGCAGCAAATGTCGAGAATACATCGGGACTGCCATTTCCAAAGGCCAGGAAAGTAACACCGGCCAAGCTTTCACTCATTCCCAGGATGCTCGCGATGGTGCTTAGGTTGACACATAGAAAGTCGCTGGCGGCAATCCCGATGGTGTTGAAAAGGACTGCCAGCCATACGGCTAGAATGGCAAGCGCGATTGGTTTTACGTTTGCGAGTTTGCAGAAGTAGAGCTGTAGGTAGGAGAAAAGGCCTACTTCATGATCGGCGCAGTATTGGCGGACGAAGGCACATTGGTCTTGGGCTCGATGGACCAAATTGCACTACAGAGAGCAACAGTTAACGGATCGTCAGTTCCGTGCACATGACAGGAACATGGAACATTTTCTGGATGCGTACCTGGTCTAAGTCCTCTTCCGTCGACACCAGCCCGTAAAATCCCCCAAGAACGACATCGTGCCGCTTCTTAAGATATGATATCCCGGGTGATTCGGATGGCTTTGGAGCTGTAGTTAACAAGATGCTCGCGCCAACAAGAACTGAAAGGATGAGAAGAGTCAAATAGAACGATCTGCTCGAATAACGAGGTTTAAATCTGCGGAGAGCGGGTGCTCGGGGGAGCAATAATGATGGCGCTGCAGCCATCGTAGATGCATCATGGGCGACCACAACTTAAGTGTTTGGAGATTTCGGTCTATTGCACGATATGGATGGCTATAGGGTCATGAGGATGATAAGTGATCCAACTGATGATGCTTAGAACCTGTCATAATTGATACTTTGTTGCGCGGAGCTGATTAGTCCGTCGGTGTTTCTTTGTAAACCGGTTTCTCCACAATTTCGAGAAATTAAGAGTAGGTTGACGTATATCGATATCACGTGATATCACTCATTCCCCCTTACTTACTCACTAGGGGGGAAACCTCCAGAGTGGCAGTGCAAAAAGGGTCGAACGAACTAGACACCACGACAAGAAACGAGCTACCGTGGCCGAGCAATATCAAACTCGCCTCCAGAAAACAACCTTTGGGGGACGGGGGGCAATGGGATAAGTAAGCCTACACCGTCCGTTGCATCCGCGGCATCCGTTGTACCTTATACTGCAACTCCGCAAAGCATCCTTGAACAACAGGAATATTGCTGGGAATATGCTGGAATGTCCTACCTTTTGTGTCTCTTAATGGATCATTGACTTAACTAGTGGCAAGCTGGCAAAAAAGAAAAGAAAAGAAAAAAGAAAAAAGGAAAAAAAGAAAAGAAGATGGAATCTCAGGGCAAATTGCAGGCTCCCACTAACGTGCCATAGTAGAAATACAGCAAGCAGCCCGCCTTAGTAAAACACCCACAGTCATTGGTTTTACCATACTTTGTACATTTGTCATCCATCCCAATGCTTAATCAAACCCGCAGAAGTCTGTGACGTTACTCTGCAAAAATTCTCTCGGAGCACTGGGGGCAAAGTCAGAAGTTCTCATGGTTGGTGGGAATAATGGAGGAGTCATAGAGTCCAATACGTACGATGTTCTTGTTTCTCTTGCCAATACTTCATGCGTAGTTTTAACTCATTCCCGGCAATACTTCACAAACCCTCAAATCGCATCTTCGATATACCAATAAATAATTAAATAAATAAATAAATAAAAATAAAAATAAAAATAAAAATACAAATAAAAATACAAATAAAAATACAAATAAAAATACAGATGCTAAAAATTATTATCGTCCCAAAAATCATGCAGAAAATATATACAAAAGCCCAGATTCGCAGGTAGTCTCTCGCCCGAGTACTAACAGCCCGGCGAGCGGTTTGTGTACCATATCTTCCACTCCCTATGTTCATATGCGCTGGTTTATGCTGGTCGACAGGATGACAAGAGACTATGGCTGATATTCGAGCAATCCTGAGCCAGACAGTGTGATCCTCTAGCTGGCAGAAATTCATCCAACAAATGGTGCAACTCATAACGCAGAACTCTCCGAGGCAATCAGCCTCAACGTTCGCCCCGGAGCAATATCATCATGCTTTTAAGCAGGAGTAATAACAAGTATGGTCAAATCAAGGGATCCTAAATAGCTCGATCCATCTCCTTGGTTGACCGTATATAGTTCACATCGGTTTTGATAAGTTGAACTATTCCAAACATAGTCAAAATTTTACCGGCTTTTAATGTTAGATGTCGATCGTCTCATGTCGCACTAGTCTGTAAAGTTGCTGCATGCTTATCGATTCGTGGCCAAAATGCTCCCCCACGATTCGCCAGAGCCAAATTTGCGAATGATCAGCCCTACGATGCAGCAGTTCGGTTCGCGGTTGTTGCAGGTCGTTCTGGATTTTATTTTATTTATTTCAAACCCTGCATTATTGCTGATATATGACGCAGGATCAGGGGACGTTTATTTCATTAATGGCATGGCCGCATTCGTTGTGTGCTCTTGATCCATCTTCTCTCACACACAAGTATGAAGTTTCGGTTGCCTTCGCTTCATGTTGAGCAGCCTCAGTCCGCCTTTGCTGAAGGAAACATGCGGTGGACGAATAGAGATTTGGATCCGATCCCACGTCACCTGCGCAAATGGGGAGTAGCCAGTTTAACTACCTACTGGATTTCCGATGCAGTCAACATTGGAACCTGGCAGTTTGCCAGCGGCATCATAGCTGTCGGATTGTCATGGCGTGAGTCTCTGGGAATCGTCGCGCTAGCATTCTTCATCATATCATGGGTCATTGCTTTCAATGGCGCGACTGGGGTGATTTACCATTCCCCGTTCCCTGTTCTCGCCAGAGCTAGCTGGGGTTTCCGGGGATCGTTCATCGCTGTTATCTCACGAGTGATCCTGGCCGTTTTCTGGTTCGCGATCCAAAACGTCAACGGAGGCAATTCCGTTCGAATCATGATCGGTGCCATCTGGCCGAGCTTTCTCAGGCTGCCAAATCACATCCCAGAGAGCCAGGGTATTACGACGAACGGCATGGTTGGATACCTTATCTTTTTCGTCATTCAGTTTCCATTTTTATGCATGCATCCAAATAACCTGCGGTGGCTATTCATGGCGAAATCAGTGCTTGTCCCTATTGCGTGGATTGCGATGCTGATATGGGCGTTTAAGTCGACCAACGGGGGAGAAATCTTCAGCCAGCCACGAATGGTTTCCGGCCCAGCATATAGTTGGGCATTTCTGGCCAGCCTGACTTCAGTCATAGGTAATTTTTCCACGCTGAGTGTTAACCAGGTCAGTAGCAGTTTTCTCTTGATGTTACCTGATTCGGTCAAAATTACATTTCAAGTGGATCGAAGCAGTCACATGAGGCGGCGCGCTGGGACATATAGAATGTCTCGAGTTAACACATTTTCGACCTGTCAAAATACAGGCTGATTTCTCCCGTTACTCACGGGTAAGCGTCAAATGGCAAGCGCTGTACGTCCCGATGCTTCCGATTGTATTCACCTTCATTTCATTCATTGGAGTTGCCGTGTCCTCTGCCGCGCAATCGCAATACAAGTTAGCCGATATTCCGTGGGATCCTAACGTCGTGGTTTCGTTATGGGAAAACCGGGCCTGCCGGTTCTTTGGCGCCTTCTCCCTGGCGCTTTCATCCCTGGGAGTAAATATCTCCGCCAACTCCATATCGGCAGCGAATGACCTCATGGCACTGGTCCCTCGCTTTGTCAACATCCGACGCGGGCAATTGCTCTGTGCGCTTCTCTCGTGGACCCTTCTGCCCTGGAAAATCCTCAAATCCGCGGGTAGTTTCCTCAACTTCATGTCCGCGTATGCGGTGTTTCTCGGGCCAATCGCGGGCATCATGCTCTTCGATTTTTGGGTTGTCAAGGAGAGAAAATATGACTGCGTCGCGCTCTATCAACCGGACAACATCTACTGGTACACCAATGGTGTCAACTGGCGCGCTATTTTGGCGTTTGTCGTGGGTGTGGCTCCCACTTTGCCTGGGCTTTTCAATTCAGTTAACCACAACATTGACCCTGGTGTGGGTGTGCATGTGTATCAAGTTGGATGGTTCGTGGGGATAGTGGGTGCGAGCTTGGTGTATTTGTCCCTGTCGTACGTCTTTCCTGCAACGGAAACGCGGATAGAACGTGCTATCTTGCCAGATGATATCTACATGCCACAGAATGGAGATGTGGACGGCGTGCCTACTGCGGAACAAGTGGAGAGCAGTGGGAAGAGTAAAAACATCAGCCGAGATGCGGTGGTTCAACCAATTTATTCAGTCGACAGGTCGGATCCTTTGAGCGTCTGCTACGCGATAACTAGTAGCTAGATAACTGCATCCCATATACATATATGTGTATATATATTAATATTAATCCTGCTTCTGATTACTGAATAGAACATATCAACAGGTTGCTGGTTAACCTAAAAAGTCATCACATGACCTCAATCACGTGATGTTGATGATATAAGCATAGCTGCGCATGTGGTCTTTACAGCGCCCCGAATGTTTATGTTGATGATTGTTCCGAAAAGGCTCGCGCGTTGTTGCGACAGAAACAGACGACGTGCCGTCAGGAACCCTATCGAATATCCGCGCCCCACTCCTTCAGTAGCTTAACGAGAACCATATATCGCGACCGGGGATGACAGCACAAATTTAGTTCCTGCCAATATCTTTGTATTTTTTCCGTGTTTATCTCCATTTCTCGGTTTCCACCTCCCACAACCACCCTCCCTTGCGACCCGCCATGCCTCGAGTCGTGAATCCCCCGCAAAAGGGACATGGTCGTGGGCCCTCCAAACAAGCCACGACGCCGCATAAAAGTTCTCCGATGAAGTAAGCTCTTGCCTTTTCCCAAAGGGGGCGAAAGAGGATTGTATGTTGAGTGTGCGCAGGAGGAAGGCGCTGAGTGGGGAAGAAAGGGGGGGGAAGAACTATATCGTTGTATATTGATTGTTGACGCGGAGTCAATAATAACCCTTACTTATATCTTCGCCAAAACTGTAGGATCCCACTCAACGACGATGCGGGCGAGAAAGTTATGCGCTTTCAGTCCCGCCAGGCCCTCCATGATCTCCAAATGAACCAAATTAAAGCCGCCGTAAAGACCCCTATGCCGCCGATTCGCAAGGTCAACAGCTACGAAAGAGCATCGAGCATCAGTCCACTTACCCCACGGGGCTCCGGCACACGAGGGGCAAGAGAAACAGATTCAGATGGCCGGCAGATTGTCAACGGCAGGGCAGTCACGCCAATGAAACGAGTACCAATTCTCGCGAACTTCGAAGAATGGATGAAAATGGCGACTGACAACAAAATTAATGCGACGAATTCGTGGAATTTCGCCCTCATTGATTACTTCCACGACATGTCCCTGCTAAAGGAAGGCGACGGTGTCAATTTCCAGAAAGCTAGTTGTACGCTCGACGGATGCGTGAAAATCTACACCAGTCGGGTGGATAGTGTTGCTACTGAGACTGGCAAGTTACTGAGCGGATTGGCAGATAGCAATAATAAGAAGAGACAGCAGGATGAAGGAGATGGCGGCGAAGGAGGTGACGATGAGGAAGAGGAAGAGACTGGGGAAGACGGTGTGAAAAGAAAAAAGCAAAAAAAGGTACGACTCGATATTCTTTTGGTTCAGATCCTCTAATATTTCGAACTCTTACATGCTTTTTGTGTCAGACCCGATCGCACGAAAATACCCTGGCTCCGTCGTTTGCCTCTCTGCAATTAAAGAAGTTCGAACTAGAATTTTCAGTGGATCCCCTATTCAAGAAAGCTTCCGCAGATTTCGATGAGGGTGGAGCTAAGGGACTTCTTCTCAATCACCTCTCGATTGACGGCACCGGTAGAATTGTATTTGATAGCAGCGACGATGCTGGAGATTCCACAGCAGATGGCGATTGGACCTCTAAAAATGATGATCGAGAAGGGACCGTTGAAACCGATGCACCTCCGCAACCTTCTCCCGCAGCACAAAAGGGCGATTGGGACGACGAAAACATTGAAATTGACCTTGGACCCCTAGCCAACAAATTCTTTTCAAGCTTAGATAGCCTGGATGATCAGGATATCTGTCCCTCCCTGAAGGATTTCGATCTTGGTGATCCCAGTGGTTCACTTGATATTCCGTTCCTACGTGCACCTGATGATTGGCGACAGGACAAGTCCCAGTCTGAACGAGGAGTTGGAGAAGCCTCTGGAATCATGCTCGATGACGATATCGCTGTTGGATTTGATGATGATGATGATGATGATGTGACGATAACCGGCTTCGACTTGGGAGGCGATACGGGCTTCGGTGAAGGTGGTGAGGCATGGGCTAGGGACGCTGCGCTTGAACCCATGTTAAAAGTCCATCGTGTCGATGGTGGTGATGAGGAAATGGATGATTTTGATTCTAATGATCCATATACTATCTCTCTCTCTCATCAACCTGCCACCAATGAGCATAACAATATCCTTAGTTATTTCGATAATGCTTTGCAAAAGAATTGGGCAGGCCCCGAACATTGGAAAATTCGACGAATCAAAGAGACAACCACCGCATCTAGTGCACCTCCTCGGATACGTAAAGAGAAGGAACCTTTTGAAATCGACTTTGCTTCACCCCTTGATCCAACGCTCGCGGAGATGATCTATACTTCGTCAAGCTCTAACTCAGCGATATCCTTGCCGAAGGCACAATGGAAGACCAAAGGCAGGAACCTTCTGCCAGACGATAAACACTTTAACTCACGAGAACTTCTCCGCTTATTCCTCAAGCCCAAGGCTAGAATGGGATTCCGATCTCTTGCCAGAAGTCGACAGAATATGAGCCAACAAAATATTGTCAACAACAGCGAAATGGACGAGGCGTTCTGGGCTGCTCACAAAGCAGGCGGTGAACAAACTTGCCTGGAAGAGAGTGCTGCTCCTACCGGTGCTTATGACGCTGACTTCTTTGCTGATGATGAGGGTCTTGCCTTCCCTCACGGCCTTCCTTTGGGAGGTGATGATGACGACGAAAATATGCCATTCGCTGATGCGAGAGAAGCTTTTTCACCCAATATTGACTCTAACGCCCCGCCAGGCACTTCTGCAGGCGAACCAGGTGGTCTTTCAGGGCTCACTGCTTTGTTAAATGCTGCTGCAACTCCCGGTGGGGCACTGACAGGTGCTGGTGGATTTGGCTCTCAACTTGTCACTCAAGGTGGTCGAAGAGTACGCCCCGAATATGTGGCCTACGCAAGAGTGGCCAAGAAAGTTGACGTACGGCGACTGAAGGAAGAAATGTGGAGAGGTATTGGTGACCGATTAATCACATCGTCATCGTTCAGTTCAGCCTCACCTTCAGCAGCCGTAACATCTCTAAGCTCGCTAACGCCCGTCCCTGGGGAAAATGACACGGAATGTCCAAGCTCCGTTTCGTCAAAGATCCCTAAGCCAACAGAAGATGATACCAGTACGGAAGGCGGGGTCCTTCGATTTACATCCGTAATGCAGGGGCTTAAATCTTCCTATCCTGAACAAGCGTTGCGTGATATTAGCACGTCCTATTGTTTCATCTGCTTGCTCCATCTGGCTAATGAGAAAGGCCTTGTCCTGCAAAACAAAGGCGGCATGGATGGATGGGAGAACAATGGACTGGAGGAAATTTATGTTACTAAGGATGGAGGCGCTGTTATTGAAGGGGAGGTCTAAAGTACCCATCCGTCTCCTAGGTGGACAGATATGTGTGTTTTCCTTTTTCACAGTTTGAGTTAGTTTGCAAATTCCCTTACCCTACTAGAAGGCTGGGTCTAGCAATGTTTACCACCGCGCGAGACGGTTCTTTGGAATGGTACAGTGCAGAAGAATTGAGGTCTAATTCTTCTCATCTTATACATATTGGATATTTTTTTCCCTTTTTGTCTCAATTTTTGTTTCGTATTTCTGGTTTAACGGATCGGTACATATTCATAGAATTCGTCTGCTTTTCCTTTGCTCCCTATTTCCCTTCTGTTTACTGGCGTTTGGAATTGGCCGATATTTAGCCCAGGTGATTTTCCTTCTTCAAAGGTGACACGGTTATATTAATTGCTATATGTAATCCATGGTTTCTCCCGTGTCTGACCTGTACACCTAATCTATAAAAACAGAGCGCCGAAGGAAGTTTAAAAATCTACATGAATAGGCGGGATTTTTAAGGCTGTTGGCCAGATGAACAATATAGGTGAGACTTCTAATACAGACAGATATATAGTGTTTTCGTTTGCGGAGCCACCCTTGAACGCGCACATCCCCGACGCAGAGGATCGTCCTGTTAAGGTTGAGTTCGGCGTGAAAGGCAAGATATTATTTTCCTTTCACTAATCCCCGGGGTACTTTAGGTTTTGGCCGGCTCGAAGCGTCATAGAGACCCTCGTTTCGGTCAGCAAATTTTCAGTTCGATTGGTCGTTCTTAGTCTTATATCATCGAGATATATACTGGAAAAAGGGACATCAAAGGAGGGGTGAGTGATGGCCATATGAAAACAATATGCATGTTGGGGGGGGGGGGGGGGGGGAAGGAAATTTGCGTGCTAGCACAGAGAGGTGGTAAGCGTTGAAGTGAAAATATATATCCAAAAATAGCTCAACTAAGGAAAAGTTGAAAAGAATGGGGTATAGAGCATAATCAGGTTACTTCAACTTCGCCATCTCCTTTTCCTCTTGCATATCATCATCTCGTCACCAAAAGCAGCCGATTAATATCCCCCGTGGAAATTCTGTGGCTAGTTATAACTCAAAAACACAAAAGGAAAAAGCATGGTGTTCACAGGCAACTATTCAAAAAGATGGAAAGGGGTCAGTATTTTGAAATTCGCTCGACAAAGGAAAGTTCCCAAACAATATTAATCATGGATATATATTAAAAGAATAAAAGATGAAGTAAAGCCGAACAACACCAAATGCACCTCGATTCTCCCTATATCGGAATACTGGGTCGAAGCCACCCCATGAGCCACGAAATAACAAACAGTAAGCAGGCGTCCCAAGCCAACCTAATAATAGTTCCCGATTCCAATTCCCTTTGTTCATTTCGTGAAATCAGACTTAGACGACTGGCTATGAAAGAGTGGGCTTGTTCTCTTTCTGCATCTAGATATGTGATTCTTCCCGGTATATGCAGTTTGAAATAAAATATTGTACAGTATGTGACTATCTCTCAGCGTGACAAGTTGATGTGCAAAGCTGGCGATTGGGGAGATTCATCACACCTCTTTCGGAATTTAAAAGATTTCAGCAGATCATGAGTTTGGAGATGACACAATGCGGTCTTGTGTGGTTACTGCCATTCCAGGGGCGACGTCACTGCCTCGAGTTGTCGGAGCGAAGCTGGGACTTGTAAGGGGCGTTGCGTAAGCGCCTGGGATTGGTACGCTTGCATATATCTGCTCACCAGGCGCGGCATCGACATGTTGGTTCCTTCGTTCAAGGGTGGTCGGGGTCATCGGTGTTATGAATTCATCCTGTGAAAGTTTGGGGGTCGCATCTTGGACACGGATTGGGGGCGGGCGGAGTTGGAACGGTCGTTGTCCAGAAGCATAGGTGGCCTCTGGGGATTTGGGAGTTGCGTACTGTGTCGCATAGCCATCCTCAGCGTTGGAATAAGGATCTCCTCGCTTCATGGGACTCATTGGTGGTGATGCGAACCCAGGCGTGCGGGCAAATCCAGGGGTATTGGGAGCAGACTGGCTGCGGAGTTGGGCAAGGTAGAGATCAGATCGGGCTTTGTCGCGCACATCCATGGATTTGCGGAGCTTGCGCTTCGAGTAGAAGCGGTAGAAAACCACGGCATAGATGCAGATGACAAGCACTTCAATGATAACCTCAATGACGCAACATACAAGTGCCCAGTCCTAAAGAAGAAATTAGCTCTATTTTTCCCCCCCTCAAAATGGTAAGGAATAAGCCCGCGCTCACCTGCATGCGGCAAACAAGTTTATAATCAACCTCGTTCTTGTAGAACTCCCTTCTAGGACCTTCGGCACAGGCCCAACTCCAGATGTCTTTGTTCCCGTTAGACTGTTTGCTATTCTGAAGCACAGCTGCACCTGTAACCCACATGACTAGCGTGACAATGAAAAACATGACAGAGAAAACGGTATAGTAAACGGCTACCTTTTCTGCGCGTTTGTGGCCGCCACGGAAGTAGCCGTAGAAAACTCCAATGCAGAAAAGTAGAGATATCGAGGCAATAGAGAGGATGAGTATCTGGGGCCACAGAGGAGTGTTTGGCGCCCAGGCATTGAAGCTGTTCTTCTGGGCCAGATTCTTTGTAGCATTAAAAATGACAAAGCTCGTCGCTACCAAGGAGAGAATGATCAAACTGCAGCCGAAGCTGACACCACGAAGCATTAACTTCGCCAGTCGCACACGGGTTTTGATTTTCTTAATCGATGTCAGTGCCAAATTGTTGGAAATCCAAGGGATAAAAAGTAAATGAATCACATTTGGAGAAATGAGGTGTTGAAACGTACAAGATCTTTTGCATTCGCCTTCTCTGTGTCCTTTTCATGGTGCTCGAGTATCTGCTCCTCACGGAAGGTTGGACTGAGCATGAGTGAACGGCCAGCAGCACCAGGGGATTTCATGGCACTTTTTAAGGGTGAGTTTGGAGGATTTAGCCGGGTTGTTCCGGTCTGAGATTGATCTTCATTACGATCAGGTTTGTTTTCTGCCATATATCCAAAGCCGAGGTCCGAGACCTGAGCATGCTGGCTGGTTTTTGACATAGAGGGCGGATCCGCAAATGGAGATGGTCCAGAAGGTTCAGATGGAGAATGGACTGATGTGGCTTCTGCGAAACGAGCTGTCCGGGGAGATTTAAGGCTAGGGGCACCAGGATTCTCCTGCTTTTCGTTCATATCTTTGTCAGAAGACATCGTAAAACCAACAGCCTTGGAACGTTGCGGCTGAACAATGTCTACGGGGGAAACTGGCTCGCACTGCTCAAAGTGATCGCTACTGGAGTTCGAATATGTCATAGCAAAAGACTTGTGTCGCCGTCGCTCGAGGGTTGTTGGTTATCGTCGAGGTCCTTCCTTAAACCACCACAGATATGACTGTGTGTGGGTTACTTCGGACTCGCGATGATGAGGTATATGTCGAAGAGACCAGCTCGAGGGGAAGTAACGGATGGCAGGCTATACGCGGGAAGAAGTACGAATTTCGCAAACCGTGGGAGAATGGCAGCCTCAAACGATATTATTATTGAACAATGGAATGACAACGATGTTCTTGAAAGGGGAATAACTATCAGCAATCTATGTCTCTGAAAAAGGTAGATCAATGGCATCGAAAGCCAAAAGTAAAGTATAGAATGAATCAAATGTTCAAGTTGCATACCTGGTGAAGGAACGCCAGCAAACCTGCTACAGGTGATATATAGAAAGTATCACAATCTTCACCAATGTTGGATGAACGAAGTAGATTATTGTCTTCTGTGAAATATCTGCCAAATGGAACTTCTTCTCGTTCTTCTTACCGAATCATTAATTATGTCGGTCAACTAAGCTCAGCTCTGGAGAGTAAGAGTGCTGATTGTATCCGCGATGCCGGCCGCAGAGTAAAGAATGTAAATGGTAGGAAATCAGGGTTGATAGGTAGGAGGAAGGGGAAGTAAGAAGAGCGAGGTTGAATGGTCAAATCGAGAGATGAGGAGAAACGGGGAAGAGGGAGGGAGAGGGCTTAGAAGAGGAGGATATGGGAGACGTTGACTCGGTTCTGCGCAAACCAATAAAAAAAATCAATGCTGGCGAAGGAAGTGCTGGTTAAGCGCCCGGGTGGGTTGTGTGGATTGAACGGGGTTAACTAGGAGTTTTCATTCGGGAGTATAAACTCGCAATCTCCAAATAGATCTGAGGAGAATAAGACGGGAGGATGGAAGGAAGATCGGCAAGAGAAAAGGAAAAATGGAGGGGAAACAACTTGAAGGTTGAAACAGGGCCAGGACTGTATTTCATCCCTCTTTGCAGCGAATAACGAATGTATCCATGGATGCCCGGTCGGTGGCCGCAGCTTGACCGTCCTGGGCGAGTTCTTGGTTCTCACATTTCTGACTGTCCTTGTCGGCGGTTACATGCAACAGCCTCGATCAGTCCCTTGTTTCCGACTTCCCGTTCGTTGGCTGACGAAAAGACTGCCCCAATCAAATATGATCTTCTCCACTCACAAATCTCTGTCGACCGTAACTTAGCGCCCAGAAATGGACGCATCTTTTCTTCCCCTCAGCTCATAGGCGGGTAGTGAACTGCATGTTTGTTGGCAACTTGGCAACCGCCGGCCAATGGACGTCCAGAACCTCCAGTTGAACATCCTTTAGTTCAGCGGCAAAGGAGGCAGGGATACTCCAATCACAGCCAGTAAACAGACCAAATGGATCGACCGATGAGGGAACATCTCCATCGCACATGGTGTTTGGTTGGTGCTCTGTGCGACTGGTGAAAGTGCAGGAAAAGCACTATTGAAAGCCACCAATCACAAGGCTGGAGTGGGAGATTCCCGTTGATCACAGAGGCGGGGAAGACAGGCTCAGTGGGCTGGTGCGAGGGTTCCCCGTTTCCCCTAACTAGTTCCACTTGCAAGTGTGACGGATGTTCATGGGAGCAAGGGTTGAAGAATGCTGTAGTATGAATAGAACAGCTAGATATCTGGCACGATTAAAGAAACAAAAGAAGCTCACTTTCCACTGCTCTAGCCAAAATTTCCCTCAGTGGGGTCTGAATGTTTTGGTTTCTTTATTATTCGGCGATCCGATTTTCATATTGAGCCCGCACTGTGGTGGCTCCTAACTTATCATAACTATATGGCAGAAGTGAGCTTCCGGCCTGAGTAATCGCACCTGAACCTCGAGGGTTAACAGCTGGGGCTATCGTGTTTGAATGTTACGGTCATTGATTGCAAGGGAGGCAATATTCCAAGATTGAGGACGTTTTGCAGGGCTTGCTTATCCTTCAAGCGAGTTCATTGAACTAGTCAGTAGCTAGCTCGTTGATGAATACACGTCACTTGCCTATGCCCAAAGCCAAGACGAAACAATGTTGTATTCAATGTGGTAATGTGGTGAAATGGCGATAAGCGCATTATTCCTGGCTTAATGCGCACAGTTTGGATTCATGGATATGCCATCAACTTCGGCACAGTGGACGCATCTATGAATCCATCTGTGGATCGCAGATAGACTGCATTCCTGTGTTGGCACCAGGATTTTTGCCTGGCTTTCGAACAAAATTTCCGAAACGCACAATCAACCACAACTCCGAAAATAATACACTATTTTAACATCGCGGCTGAGATAAGTTATTGTATTTCCAACTGAACCAGTTGCAAAAATAATGATCGTGTTTGATTTCGAGGTTGATGGTTTAAGGTTGATGGATGCCCCATAATCTTATCTTGGTCTCCAGAGATCAACAACGATCAATCTGTGGTTTGTAGTTTAACTGGACTTTCAGACGCCAGTTCAGCAACAATCCCATTGAGTTGGATTGCACAGTCTCTTGCTTCCTAGTTTGCTCTTGTTTCTGCATGTATTGGGCATGCATTCATGTACGGACGTCAGGGGACATACATACATGACCTCTCTTCTGATGCAGAGTTTGTCCATGATGTCAGGAGATTGACGGAGGACCAAATACCATATAGGTATTTCAAACCCCTCGCGAGGAAGCATATGGAATCCTCACATCCATCGCAAGGGTTCCCAGGACAAGCAAAATTCCCTCTGCATCTTTAGCTGGTTGGAAAGAAACACTATTTCTTTGTATAACGCAGACAGTTAATCTCGTGTATTTGTACCCCCCGATCTGGGAAGGGAAAGGGAGGATGCTTCAGTTTCTCTCATAGGGCAAGTCGAGTCGCGATTCCAGGAAAGTTGATTCACATTGCGCGAGACACGCTCGGCTCATTCCATGTCCCACTTGTATTGAACCTATGCTTCAGGTGCGTAATGTCCCTGATGCTACCCAGGTGAGTGCTCTGTTTCCAGACAGCGGAGCACATTGGCTATCGGCTTCAGAACAGTGGTGGGGGATAGTAACTCGGGTGGAGCTGAATCACCGTTTCCCAGATACTGGACTTGTCGCCTGCTTTGGATCCCTGATACCGAGCGTAAAGTTATGTCTGTCATTTTGGGTTATATATAATCGGGGAGCCATCTAATTTCCATATGAACGGTCTGAAGCGGTCAGGGGGTGCCATTCTCTCGGGTGTGGACCGCGTTGTCAACCGTTGCTAAGCTGCAAGCTGGAGGAGAAGACGACAGTGTGTATATTTTTGAGATAGAGCCGGGGAATTGAGGTGGACGTAGCTGGCCTGGTATAAAAGCGTATCCTGTCATCATCTAGAGATCGAATTATTCGGCCCTTATGCTCATGAGATGTTAACTATACCATTGACATCCAGCAGTAGTGTACATATCTAAATATCTCTTCCTATTTCTTGTTATAAACTAGTTATTTCGTTAACTACCCGTGAGAAAACAGCCGCCCAAAGATATCAAAATATCACAGCATTCGCCAACGCAATGATGGAATAAATAGAACAATTGTCTCACTCTTTAAGGACGCCATATTCGTGGAAATTTTTAATATTTTTGGTAAATTTGTAATATCCAGCTGTATGTGCCAATGGGAACACCCATGTACCCCCCGACCAAATTCTGCTGGTGAGGTACATACATAATTGCAAAGTCCTCGGCGTTTTTCCAGCCAACCAGCTTCCGTGAAAAATATTTCTTTTCCTCAAACCAACCGTCCATGCGAAAAAAACAACACCCAACGGTTCAACTTCTCTTTATATTCCAGTTTACCACTGTCAAGTAGCAAGGAATGCCGCTCTCTTTCCCTCGTATGCTCACTAGCACATCTCGCCTTGCTTCCACGCGGCTCAATCTTCCACACCGGGTTGTGTCCGACTCTCCCATCCTCAAACAACCGCTTGCTTCCTTTTCATCCCGCTCTCAATTCTCCTTCCCCTTCCCCTCCACCGCCTCTCCGAACAAACCACCCCAGAAACCCTCTTCAGAATTCAAAATCATCCCCTGCCTCCTAATCATCCTCATCGGCAGCGGCTCCTACGTCTTCCTCGTGAAATCTCGCCTCCCGAAGAATGTCCCAACAACAACAACAACAACAGATGACTGAAATACCCACAACCTCAATCCCCGCCGAACTACCCCCACCCCAATCCTCAACAAATTCCACCCCGAAATTCTCTCCGGATTCCATAACCGTAATCTTCGTTCTTGGCGGCCCCGGTTCCGGCAAGGGCACGCAATCCGCAAACCTCGTCCGCGACTATGGGTTCAACCATCTGTCCGCTGGCGATTTGCTGCGAGCCGAGCAACAACGCAAAGGCTCGCTGTACGGTGACCTGATCCGCCACCATATCCGCGAGGGCATCATTGTGCCCATGGAGATCACTGTGGCGCTGTTGTCCAATGCCATGGGGCAGATATTAGAGGAGGAAAAGAAGAAGAAGAAGAAGCAGCAGCAGCAGCAGCAGCAGGATGTCGATAATAGTGAAGTGAGAGCGCGGTTCCTGATCGACGGTTTCCCGCGCAAGATGGACCAGGCGACCTTCTTCGAGGATACGGTATGTCCGTCCACGGCTACGCTGTTCCTCCGCTGTTCCGAGGATGTCATGTTGGACCGGCTGCTCAAGCGTGGGGAGACGAGCGGACGTGATGACGATAATATCGAGTCTATACGGAAGAGGTTCCGGGTCTTTGAGGAGACGAGTATGCCAGTTATTCACTATTATGAGAAGGAGGGGAAGGTGATAAGTGTTGAGGCAGTGGGGAGTGTGGAGGAGGTTTATCAGAAGATTAGGGAGGGGCTGGTGAGAAGGGGCATTAAGAGGGTGAATGTGGACAACTGATTGATTTCATTTTTCTAACAGTTGTGTGTGTGTTCTGATAATATATTTTTGTTTTTGTTGTGAGCATTGGATTGCAGGGTCAATCGATAAATCTCCTAACTAGTCATTTCATTTTCTTTCAAATTACTTTAATATATAATTAGATATACGGAAGGTTCCTCCCCATGCATATTGAACTTTAGAAACGCTCTCTACCCAAAGAACCTGAGTATGTGAAGAGTGACTATGTGGTTTTTATATTTGGATATTTCTGTCCCCAGGATGTATCTGCACACCTAGTGTTTGCCTATAGAATGGCAGGTAGAGTCTGCTTTTCTGCTTGGGAAAATGGAGATGCATAGAAACAAAGCATGAGTTCGAATGCATCTATGCTTTTAAAATTATCGTATTTGTTGTTCCTCGTTTTCCTCAATTTTATCTCATTTTCACTAATCTCTAAGTCGTTGCATTCGACGGGAACAAGGTCCAACTCTGGCACTCCGGAAAGCAGTAAGGAAAAGCAAAGATCAAGACAAGCCCCAAGCTGTATTTTTCTCTCTGGAAGAGAGGTACAATAAAAGGATAGAATTTTGGATGGCAATTGAAAGAGAGCAGAAATGGTCATTTCTTAACACCATTCGAAGGGAAAACTGAGGAAATAATAATAATAATAATAAAAAGAAGAAAAAAAAGAGTCAGCAGATTAAAACCACAAATATTAATCCACAACGAGCAAGGGAAAACGGTAATAAAAAAGACAGAAAGGAAAAAAGAAAAAGAAAATATCCCTAATCACCTCCACCAACCAAATCAACCTCCCTAGGCTGATGCTCCTGCTGCTGCTGCTGTCTCTGATGATGCCCATGCCCATGGCCATGACCATGCCCATGACCATGTCCACCACCTCTCCTCCTATCTCCACCACCCCTCTGCTGCGAACCTCCCTCCGCATTGGCAGCAGCAGCAGCAACGGTGGCGGCGGCCGCTGCACTTGCCGCCGCCATTTCCTCGCGTACAAACTTCTCCTTCTCATTCCTCACAACATCCAGCACATTCTCCAGACTGCGTCTCCACACCATCAATCGCCCCTGCACCTCCGCCCACTGCTTCTCTCCAAACACCCGGTACGTCGCGCGGTGCACAAGGAACTCGCCCTTTAACTGGCTCAGTTTGCCCTCCACCAGGCCCGCGCGGATGGTGTCGATGACCCACTTCTCCACGTCGTCGCGCGGGATGCGCAGGGCTGATGCGATGGTATCGTATGGCAGGGAGCGCGAGGGGGTGGTGGAGGACAAGCTTGCTAGCGTGAGCAGGCGCATTTTTGTCTGCAGGATGTCGGCGGAGGCGGCGAGGTTGTGAATGGAGGAGAGCGGGGTGGCTTTTATGCTGTCTTCGTAGGCGTCTAGGGTGTCTGCGGCGAAGATCTCGAGGAGCTCGAAGAGGTGCGGTTCCGTGGTGCGGAGTGATTGGATGGCGTCACTGGCTGTTAGGGGGGTGAAGTCGAAGACGGAGGGGGAGGTGAAGGCGGATAGGAGGGCGCGGAGGGCGATGTCGTGCGCTTCAGGGGTAGAGGATTCGGAGGGTGGGATGGCCTGGAGGGCTGAGACGAGGTGCGAATGAGCCATGTCACGGTCGCCGGCGTCCTTAGCTGCGTCGGAGATGGCTAGGTGAAGGCGTTGCAGGTCCTCTTCGTCCAGACCCCAGGAGGAGATCCAGGAGGGAAGTTGGGTGTTAAGTTGCGACTTGAGAGCGGCGAAGGCCAGGGATGAAGGCGCCTGGCGGATGACAGCGAGGATGGCGAGGAAGACGTGGTAGCGGCCCATGTCTTGTTGGGGGAGGGTGTTGAAGATTGTTGAGAGGATGGAGATGGAGAAGGTTGAGCTGTTCTGTGGGGAGGAGGTGAAGGGTTTGGCCAGGTAGCTGCAGACTCGCGGGAGGAACATGTTCACCGACGAGGATTGGCGGATGAGATGAATGAGCAGCTTGTAGGCAGTGGATATTTCTGTAGTTTTTGTTATATTAAAAAAATTAAAAATTCATGAGTTAGTCTATTTGTTCAGATATATAAAATGTTTCAGGCCAAGGGAAAAGTTGCGATTGAGAATCTAGGGGGCATCCCTCACTCACCCTTCTCCGGCGCTGCATTCAAGGCCGCAGCAGCGACCACAATTTTCTTCAGCACCTCATCCCTCTGAGAAAGAATCTGCTGCTTCTGCGCGGGACTGGGTTCCTCCTCAAGCTGTTCCTTTTCACGCAGAGCCTCGAGAGCCGGAAAAATCTCAGCTTGGACTCCCCTGTCCGTTTTCCGGATGGCATCGATGTACTGGGCCAGCTCGTCGGCCAGTTCAGTAAACGAGCCCTCGACCAGGAGGGTGTTGGGTGCAGCAGCCATCCTGAAGGTGCTGCAGGGAGTGTAAATGGTGGCTTGTATCTAATCTTGGATACTGCGGTTGGGCTGGGGGTAAGGGAGCGTGTCTCTTTTGGCTGCGGAATGGAAGATTTTTGGTTTGATGGAATTCGAGAATTTCGATGTGTGGGCGGTCTTGGCGAGGTTGCGATGTATCTTTTGGCGGGCAACAGAGAGCTCTGTCCCCACAAAATGGCAGCGTAAAAATTAGGAAAAATTAAGAAAATTAAAAAGATAGTCTAAAATAATGTAAATTTAATAGTAAAATCCTTTTGAATATTTTGATAGTAATTTTACTCCGAGATAATGAGGATAATACTAGTACATCTTCTGTGTACCACCAGATGGATTCACTCAGTCTATTTCCTCCCAAGTCAAACGTCATTACATGTATCATTTGAGCTCTAAAGTTGACCCGCGCCTAAATAAAAACTGGGACAGAAACACAAAAACTATTTCGGACATGTTGGTTTGTTTCCGCAAAGAATTTCGGGAGGCATATTCAGCCAAATCAAATGCCATCACTACCATTTTGCTGCAGTGGCTGATGCACGCATTACGTCTCATCATGAACACCTACGGAGCACCATCTGGAAATTAAAGAAAGGAAAAGAAAGGAATGCTCATAGCATTGAGGTTTAAGGAGGCTAAGAAATATAGGGTGAGCAAGCATACAAGCAAAACAAAAACAAATCATTATCGCAAGAGGCATCTATCTTGCTGCGACCATTTCATTTCTTCCTTCAACCATTCCTGATTTTCCCACCCTTTACTCCAGTCCTGCACACACATCAACAGGGCATGAACACATCTCATCGTCGTCATTAAAAATAAGAAAGGTTCTGTCCGCTAAACAACATAAACACCACGGTCAGGAGTCTGCCACAGTCAGGCGGCTACATGAAAAGCTTGAAAGCCGCGAGGAAAGCGGCAACTAGGATGCTAGCAGAGGAATCATGAGGCACACGGAGGGTGGAAGCTGGGTTGCTGGTCTTTGAGGAACTTGTATTTTGGGTGACGGTGGGGATGTTGCTTGAGATCTGCGCTTCTTGGGTCTTGGTTGGTCTGGCGCTGGAAGTGATCTCCCCCTTTGATTTAAAAGGATCCTGAGTGCCGAGACATTTGGACTGGTTCTCCTTGCAGGCTCTCTGACCCATCAGGTCATCGGGGTGGCTTGCAATACATTGGGCAAAGGTCGAGGTGCAGATGAAGAACGGCATCGTGCTCTTATACTTGGTCAGGTCGGGGGTGGTTCCGTCCCCGCAGGTGCAGGTGTAGCTCAGATCACTCTGATGCGGTGGGTTAGTATTATCTCAAAGCGACACTTGATATGTGATGCAGGAAGGAACACCAAGAAGAGAATGGGAGACAGGGTCTTGGATGCATTGGATTGGATACATACTGCGCTGCACTTATTGACCGAGGCAAAGTTCTGGCAGATGGCAGGGCAAGCGGCGGACTGGGAATCACACCAGGCATCTGACAACCAATTGGTTAGCAACACATGCCCCCTAACGCGAAAATAAGACAAATTCCTGGAAGCTGCTGGTCACTAACATTTTTGGTCGGTCGGGACAGCACCTAGGTTGAAATCAGGGGGGAAAGTTTGGGCAGCGATACCCGTCATCACCAGCAGAGACACAACAGAGAGGAGAACGGAGAGCAACATGATGGTAGCTGTGTTGCGTTGTCAAGTATCACCGTAGACAGAGAAGAGAAAAGAGGTAGAGCAAAGCTTCAGAGAGCAATTGAAGCTAGCTGAAAGGATATGAGGGGTGTATCAATTGGGAATCGCGGTAATGAGCTGCAGCCAGAGACGACAACAGATTTGGGATGAGACCAAGGGGAAGAGAATTGGTAGAGGTTTAGAGAGAGAGAGAGAGAGAGCTGGCGGATATTTGTGTGTTGCGGTGAGACTGATGCGCTTGCGGAAGCGGTTGTTGCTGTGGCGGTTGCTCTGACGGAGCTACCTATCAACAACACACGGAGTGTGGCAGAGATCTGCGGATGGATCTTAGTTATCTATCACCGTGGCCGTGGCCCGTTTGTTTTTTTTGTTTTTTTTTTTTTTTTTTTTTTTTTTTTTTTTTTTGGGGGGGGGGGGGGTTCGGGGGCGCCTTTGTGGTTGATGGGATAACTACTGCAGCAACGGTAACCAATGAACCAACAACACAGGCAGAGAGTAAAGGCACAGTCAGCCTTGTATTATTATCAGCCAGGAAGAATGTGATTTGTTACATTGAGGGCTCTGAATATATTTATTAGATATGAATGACGCTGGATAAAAAGAGGGAGAGAAGAAGCAGCAGAAAAAGAAAAAGAAAAGAAAAAGAAAAGAAAAAGAAAAGAAAAAGAAAACAAAACAAAAAGAAAACAAAAAGAAATATAAACAAAAAACAACCCCCGAGAGAGAGGCAAACGTAAAGCTGAAGAAGGAAGCCCTCCCTCGTTCCACCGGCTAATTCCTGCTCGGGGCCGGGGCGGGTGTAAAGGGGGCTGGTGTAAGGGGAGCGGTTTAACCCTGTGCTGTCCTCCTGTGCTGTTAGTTAGTAGGCTCTGCTGCCACTGACACGCACGTTGACCACGCTTGGGTTGGAACGATGCGATGCTGCCGGGAGCGGGTCCAGGGAGATAATTTAACCCCCTTAGAATCCAACAAAACAGGCTAAATTCCCTCTTCTAGTCCTTGGATTTCCCTAGTCCCTGTGGTGCCAACAGCCACAGAATTCATCATAAAATGAAAGTGAGCTCCCGGGCCAAGAAGCTCATGGTTTATTACGCCTGTTATCAGTGGAGATGAGGGATCTGGTTTTTCAAGGGTCACTCTTCACACAATCTTCTCTGTCATTTTTTCCCCTCTCTTCTTCTTCTGAACTCGTTCGGCTATATATCGAGGGGTCCCCCGTAATGGAGCCCCTCCATATGCCTCCAGAAGCTGATGGGCCTTTCTCATGCTACCTGATGGATACATGAAAGATGATTTCGATCCATTGTTAACCTTCAACTTCCTCCTGCTGATATGGCTGGGTTGAGAAGAACATCCCAAGTGGATTTGCATCCAACCGCTCGAATGGGGCTGAAGGTTCTTACTAACTAACTTAAGGTTAGTTAACTTAAACTCCCGGTTCCTGAAAACTGCCGAGGCCAAATCCGGTGTCAGAGCCGTGGAAGAAAAGACGAAAAGCAAAGAGAGATGGGAGAATAGGAAACAATAAGAAAAAGAGGGATAAAATGTTGTTGTTGTTGTTGTTGTTCCTTTGGTGAAACTGATGGCCTCTGTTTCCCTCACTCCCCAAATTCTTCAATTCGCCAATTAACCTCCTCCAACTCATCCGTACAACCTCTCCGTTCCCTCAACGTAACTGGCGGAATCTCCTATAGCAAGGGATCAAAAAACCACCACCGCAACCGCACCATGTCGTCCTCATCCTCATCCTCCTCTTCCGCTTACACACCTACATCTACTCCTCCAGGTTCCATCCCCCCAGAAACCCTCTCCCACTTCCAATCAGACCCATGGACATCCACGTTCCTCAATCTCCCAACCCACGCCGCCATAAAAACCTACTCGCGAACCTCCGACCCAGCAACCGGCGAAGACGCCTTCTTCGCCCGCACAATCGGCTCCCCAACCACAATCCCCCACTGCCTCACCCTCCGCAAGAAAACAATTGAGCAACCGCCAACCCACCAACCTCTTCCCTTTCCCCCGCCCGCTACTGGCCCCATGGCACCAGCAGCAGGCCGCCCCATCCCATCTAACAAAGTCGACCTCTTCGCTCTCTTCTCCCTCGCCACGCCGGGCATAAGCGGGCACCCGGGCACGGCGCATGGCGGTGTCATCGCCACGCTGCTCGACGAGGTGATGTCATTGGCCGTCTCGCTGCATATCCCTGGCTACAGGGAGAATGAGAAGGCGGAACGGGCGAGGTTGTATACGGCGCAGCTGGATGTGAGGTATCGGAGGCCGGTGAGGGTGCCGGGGATGGCGGTTGTGAAGGCGTGGTGTGTGGTGAGGGAGGGGAGGAGGTTTTTTATGAGAGGGCAGCTTGTGCAGGAGGAAGGGGAGGGGACAGGAAAAGGCAACGGCAAAGGCGGGGTGGGACAGTTGGAGTGGGTTAAGAGGAAGCTGGTTTGTACAGAGGCATATGGGGTTTGGGTGCAGTCGAGGGAGGGAAAGTTGTGATTCTGCATTAGGCTCTCTCTCTGTGGGTGTGTGTATATAGAGGGCTAATTTCTATATCTCAACGTATAGAGCATAGAGTAGTCATGGAACCTGTGGAATTCGTGTTTATTATGTGATATAGCATGGATATTATACATTCATTCTACCTCCACTTTCTCCCCCAACCCAACAACCAACAAATTCAGAGCTTCGCAAATATTTAGACTTATACGTGACTTGACTTTGATTTGGCCGGAGTAAAGGCTTGCGTCGGGATGCCGAGGTAACTTGCTCGGCCCGACTGGCCCAACCCAAACCACCAAAATTTCCTCCGACGATTGCATCGATCATTCATCCATACACAATATCCCGTGCTGTTCCCACAAAGAACTATTCTCCTATCTTATTTTATATTTTGTATATATTCTGTGCGCCGTCTCCTGATTTTCTATTCCGGGATTTTCAGTTTTTTTGTCTGTCCTCTACCTCTTTTGGAAATTTACATGTTTGATATAACCCTCGCCTCGCCTCATGCAACTGCTTTCACATCTCGCAGTTCGTTGGGAATAGAGGGTGTCTAGACGGAGGGATACGTTTTTGTTCCTGGACCGAAGCTTTCCACAATGGTGGGGTTTGTTGCGAAAGCTCAATTGGACGGGATTTAAAACATATAACTACGCACCGACCATGACGGCCGCGAACAGATTCGAGGCCGCTACGGCTGTCACCCCACTGTCCTCGCACACCTACGCCGTAAATCTACGATTGGAATGGTGTATCGGAACAGGTATGCATATGCATGCATGCATGCATCATCTCCTCCTCCCTCCTCCCTCCCAAACCTATCCCATAATTTATGATTCCAACAAACAGCTAACCCCCTTTGCCCAGTTCCCCATGGCGGCTACGTAACCTCCATCTTCCACAACGTCGCAGTCACCCATCTCAAACACACCCACCCAACCCTGCACTCCGGTGCTCCCCACCCCATAACAATCCACCTTACCTTCCTGCGCCGCACCGAAGCTGGCCCCGCCACCTTCACCGTGCAAGATACAAAACTCGGCTCCCGCACCTCAACCCTACACATAACCCTCAGCCAACTGGATCCCGACGGCGCCGTCCGAGAAGAGGCTGCCAGTTACATCACCGTCTCCAATTTCGACCAGGAGGAGGGCCCCACGATGAATACCGGGTATGAACTGTCTGCCTTGCCGGTGCGGGGGCCAGGGGACCTTGCTGCTGTTGGTGGTGTCAGAGGCGGAGCGCTGACGGTGGACCTGGCGAGGTTGGCCCGGGACGGCCGTGATGGTGACTGGGAGCGCTTCCATGCTGCCTTTGCGACCATGCGCAAGGCGTCGCAGCATGCCGAGTTCTACACGCCCCGGCGCTCGGGAATGGGGAAGACATATTCCGGCGTCGTGGAGCAGTGGGCCCGATTTAAGCCGTATGGCAGAATCGAGCGTTGGACGGATGCGTCGCTGGGTTATCTGGCGGATATGTTCCCGATGATGCTGGAGACGTTTGATCGGAAGCAGTGGGGGGCGGATGGAGCGACGGCTCCTGGGTCTGCGGCCGCCGCGGAAAGTAGCAGCGACAAGGTGGCCAGGTACTGGTACCCGACTGTCCTGCTGAATATCGAGTTTAAGAAGAAGTTGCCAGCGGAGGGGGTGGAGTGGCTGTATTCACGTGTGCAGACGAAAGTGCTGAGAGATGGGAGGATGGATTTGGATCTTGTCATGCTGGATGAGCAGGGTGAGGTTGTCGCGTTGAGTAACCATGTCGCACTGATTGTGGATGCGCAGAGGAATTTTGACCAGAGGAAGGGAAATGGGACTGGAAATGGGGCCACGAAGATATAGGCAATTCTATTTGGCACTATCGGAATGTTTTCCTTTGGTTCCCAAGGTGATTTGCTGGACCCCAACCGCGGTATATAGCTCTGTCACTGCGTTGTACATAGATATAGATGTGTGGCTATCCGTGATATATGAAGCTTGTAGACCTAGAGAGATTCAATTCTATATATATATATATATATATTCCCAACATAGCGACGAATTGAGGAAAGTGAGCAGAATAACTATTCGGATCGCTTGCTTAAAAGTGAAGACAGCAGCTAATTAGAATACATAACTCAATAAATTGTACATATGAGAGATGACAACTAAGGCTGAATAGGCGAGCATCAACCCAGCTGATCGCTTGGAGACATGAATATGGATAACCACACCCTGCCTGACGGAATGGAGGTTATCACTGCGTTACCTGCGAGATGGTCGCCAGTTTCTGAAGGCAGGAAAGTACCCCTGCATTACACAGTGTCAGTAAGGGCAAAACACATTCCTCAAGTAGCTACGGGCAGCACTTACCAGTCACCCCTTGCGTTAGTGTTGCTTTTGCTTCCGTATTCTTCGACCCAAGCGTCACAGTAAGAACGTTTTTGATCACCCCTTCCTCGTCCAGTTTGTTCGCCCAGCGGAAGATAACCTCATCCTCCCGCCCATCTCCAACAACAAAGAGAAAATCAGGCTCCTGATTTGTAGCAGGAGGAGAACCCTTCGCGGACCGCTGGAGGCCCTCTAGAACCGTACTCGCAGCCGTGGCCTTGTTGGGGGAGACGGGTTCAACGATAAGAGCATCCTTGTCCACAACAGCGTGGACATTATGGTTCGCGCATGTGTCGTTGATGTGATTCGCACACTCGGAAGCATGTCGTTCGGCCGTCTGCGGATCCTCTGCGTTTGCGAAATGGAATACTAGAGATGTGTGCATGTGTTCAACCCAGCTGCCTTCTGTGCGTTCCTGGAAATACCGAATCATGTCTGCCACTCCTTCTTTCCAGGTTTCCGTATGCTCCTCGCTCGCGAGCCGTACCCAGTCCTCATGGTTGGCTTCGCGAAGGTAGCGACCGTTCTCAGCAATTAGACCCAGCCCTGCGACACGGCGGAAGAGCCGTTCCATCTCCTCGGGCATTCGAGAACTCATCACGTAGACGATATTTTTGGGATCTTCAATCAAGTCATTTAACGTATCAATGGCCCGCTTTGGCGTGGTCAACACGATGCTAGTAGGGGAACCCCAGGATGCCAGGGTTCCCTCGTAGTCGAGGATGAACAGACGGTGTGAGGACCGTTTATATTTAGAGCAGAGATCATTGACTGAAAGACGAGGTATGGACACATTATCCCGAAGTGACTGCTCGCTCCACGCCTTCCTGAGAGCCTCGATGAACGTTTTGAACCAATTAGCCGTAGTATGTTTCATAATTATGTCGTTTAATTTTGTCCAGTTGCGCTGCTTCTGCTCTGGGTTCATTTCCAGGGCAGTATTCAAAGCCTCGGCGCATTGCTTGTAGTTCCAGGGGTTGACAAGCAACGAGTGTCCTTCGAACAGTGAAGCACTTCCCGTAAATTCACTAAGAATCAGAGAGCCATGTTTTTTCTCGGAATATTGGCCATTTTGGCATTGGATGAATTCATGGCTGGTAAGATTCATACCCTCTCGCAGACTCGTGACCATGAGAACATCTGCCATGGAGATTAACGCAATATACTGAGGGAAGTCGATATCTTGTTTCAGAAAGACCAGAGGTTGATGGGCCAAGCTGAAGTTGGCAGAATTCACTCGCGTCACGATGTCTGATACTGTTGCATCAAGCTCAGATTGCTCCGTCGTCGGCAAGGCAACTTGGATTAGAACCACCTGGGTCGACAGTATTAGTTATGGCTGTTGCTGCGCATAGAACCTTAAGGATGAGAAGGGGTAGTGTCATCATACCTTGTCTTGCCACTGCGGGTATTTGCGGAGGAAAAGTTCGTATGTCAGTAACTTTTGCCTGACGCCTCGAATATTGTCCAGCTTGTCACGGGCCACAACAAGACGCTTTCCCTCATATTTTTCCTTGATTATGCGCATCCATTGCGCAACTTCGTCATTGCTCCGTATACCGTCCAATCCCTTCACGTCAATGCCAATTGGGAAAGTCCCCACGTTAACGAAGCGATCGTCCAGTTGGACACCTTCATTCGTTGCTTCGACAGTAAGTATGCGGCTGCAGGTTTGCAAGAAATGATGACAATATTCTTGAGCTTGGAAACCTATCAGATTGGCTCCAAGCATACCCTTGAGCAACTCCTCCCGGACGGACAGGCAGCGAAATACTTCGGATGACGGAAATGCTATATGGAGGAAAAACCCGATCTGAGCATCAGGGAGTTGTTTCCGCACCATAGAGGGCACTAATAGTAAGTGGTAATCATGGATCCAGATCACATCGTCACGCTTCCAGTTGCGAACAATACGGTCCGCAAATGCTTGGTTCACTCGAACGTAGTAGACCCATGAGTGGTCTTCATACGCTTTGCTCTTTGGGTTGTCAGGAATCTGATAATGGAAAACCGGCCACAAAATTGTTTTGCAGAAGTGGAGATAGTGGCCATCAAAATCGCTATCATCCACATAGACAGTCAATGCATCATAGTCCACTTCGAGTTTTTCGGCTATGTTGTCCTTTGTGTGATCATCCAATGCATCTGTCGGCATGCCGAGAGTTCCGACCCAAAATACACTCCCGAGAACGTTGCTGTCGACAGTAGAGCGGACGGCATTCCGAAGCCCACCATTTCCTTGTTCCGACGGCACTATTGTCCATGCGGCCCCCGCAAAATAGTCGTTCTCAGGGTCTGGCTGAGTTAATGTGAGCAGCTTAATCGCATCAGCCGCATTTTTGGAGTCAGTAGCGACACCATGATCAAGGATGGATGGGGCCGGAGAACGCAGCGGCATTGCTTTCGGTTGATTGAACACTCCCTTAGTCCCCCAAGTTGGGGAGTGGGGATCGCTGGGAGCCAACGGCTGAAGATCCGCGGGTGAAGGAAACGGATAGCCTGATTGGTCAACCTTGGGCTTAGGCTTGCTAGACTTGTCGGATGTAAGGGCATACTGTTGGACTTGTTCCTTGAGAAATGCCGGTATTGTTGGAGAAGTTGGTTTCCTGCGCTGGGAGAACAGGCTACTGAATTGTTTCCTGTGAAGCTCCGAAGATCCTTCTCTCACATGTCGATGTCTAGGACTTGACGGTCGCCTAGTTTGCAGGCCTTCAGGGAGCTGAAAATTGACAGTATAGGGGAGAAACCTAGAATTCGAAAGAAAAGTCAGAGAGCTGCCATACCCAATGCAATCATCAGCCTACTATGACAGAAGGACTTACAAAGACACAACGAAAACCGTCATTGTGACAGAAATTCGGGGTTGCAAAGGACGTCGTCCGTTGAAAGGTTTCGAGGGCAATTCAAAATCCCTTTAGACCGGAGCAAGAAGTCGATCGGAAATGCGGACAGTGGAAATGGGAAAGCAACAGCAGGCAGAAGTTTTAGCCAGCGTGAGATTTTGTATGTAGTGTATGTTGGCAGTGTATTTATGTAAATACTCGAGAAAGCTGTCTATCTTCGAATTGGCAAAATTCCAAGGAAATCTCACGTACACAAAAAAGTGATCATCGTTTTCCCTTGCAGTGAGGTCTAGATCCATTCATCATAGATACGTCATCCATTCAAAATGGAATAGTTAACTAGGACTTCTGCTAGAGCCTGACGAAAAGTGAGGGCAATCCACACGCTGCTCAACAATCCATAGATCATATCATCATGGCTCCTCAGGATCATCATTGGGAAAACACGACCACTCTGGTTTAGAAGGGTTTGAAGTGTTATTAAAAAAAAAAAAAAAAAGGCGGTTCAAAACGGGTGGAACCATCCTTTTAAGTTGGGATTTTTGAGGATTGATCAATAACAAGCTTCGTGGTTTTTCCTGTGGGGCAAGATCCGAATCTGGGATGTTGTATTAGTTAAACTTCCCAGGTACAACAAACATTACACACATAACACACATATATATATATAGCAATTATATTAATGTACAAAGGCCACTTTTGTTGCGCCATCAATAGAATGATTCAGGCCTGAAGAGCGGCGGTGTTTGGTGTGCCATTCGGAATCTATCTAGGTCAACATTTGTGTGGAATGCTTGTACATGTAGTACCTATCCACGCTTGTTGCTGTAAAATCTAACAACTAGAAGTCAAAAAATCCTAGCTAAAAACCTATGCCGCAAAATCTGCTCCGAAAACAGTTCCTTGGAACTTAGGGGCGTGCTGTTCTGAAAGTGTTTCGTGCTGCGTGCATCTTTGGAGAGAGATTTTTAAGCAAACGGTTATGGTAGAGCCCAGCCATTTCCAACATCACTTCTTATACAAGACTACTTCGACAGAATGGTTAAAAGTCGCAGCCGCCCACCAGCTCAAGCCATTTCTGAGAAGGCTGGATGGGGAAAACAGAGGAAGTTTTGTTAGGTTATTTGGGTTATATTCCATTAAGCCACTCATCTCCGGTTGGTCTGTCTCTTGGATCGATGGGAACACCATCAAATGACGAGTCCAAGTTTTGGACTTGAAGATAAAGAAGTTATCGCCCCAAATCGTGGATATAACAACCTTTTGTATTAGATTAGTCAAATCAAGATCTGTTAGCAGGATGGTTGGTGTGTTATAGGTACCATTGTCCCCAAATGACCAAATATAAGTCCTAAATGCGCCTCTGGGCCTTGCCAGATGGGTGTTCCTTCCATCACCATTCCTGCAGAAATTTTGAGGTTATACGTTAAATAAACTGTGCTATCAAGATCTGCAAGTTGAACGTCTGTGAGCCGCAGTCCGCTTTCATGACTCTGAGAAGGCGAAGCATAGTTCACCATGATATTGTCCATGCTGATATCTGATTGTTCCTCAATCTCCTTAAAGATATGTTCAGGAATCAAGTCTGGGCCTATGTGCACATAGCCGTCTTCATGAAGCACTTTTAATGCCTCGGACACCCCCTTTGATACATAACTATCTGATCTCTTTCCTACTCATCCTCAAGATATATTTAGCACAATGGCAGGTGGATCGGCCGGGTCAACTATCTCATCAATCAAAGAACGAATATGGAGAGTTCTGGACTGGAGCTTCTTCAAGACATCCTTCTCATTGGTGATGAACGTGGCTCGCGGATTCAATCAAAACCGTCTGCCGAGTCTTGTTACTGTCAAGAGAGAGGCAAGTAAACACAAGGATTTTCAAAATAGCTAGTAACCAGGTAGTTAACTAACGTTACTATATACACACGAAGAAGACGGTAATTAATGACGTAACTACCTTCCAAACCAAAGGAATTCACCAAAGTTGCTTGGTGATGATACATATATGTTCCTGTGAGACGCTGGCCGAGTTTCATGAGAGAGGGAGTTTTGACGCCATTATTATAGAAGGCAAAGACAGTAAGTAGTGCTTCGTGAAGGCGAGCAGCAAAACAACGCGTAGCTTAAACGGACACTGTAAAACTCAGAAGAGAAGGCTGCAGAGATATCTGGCGAAACAGATTCAGCAGATTCAAGTTTCGAAAGTTGTTGTTGATGTTGTTGACACAAAGCGTGCCTCGCTCGCTTCGCCCTTGCGGTCGCAGGCTGCTAGATAGTTATAGTTACTACCCACCAAGAGGTTGGTATAAACGTGCGGAGTGGCCTCGGGGTAGATAGGAGAGAAGGGACAAGACCGCGCGCCAGATGGGGGAGGTCGGTGGAAGCCCATGGTTGGGTGGCGAGGCAACTTTTAGGTATTTAACTGGGATGGTTTACTTGTTGATATAACCAGTTAGTTTAACTAGTTATCTTGACGAAACTCTTGCCAACTCAATACGTGCATCATGTGAACAAAATAAGGCATCACTGTTCTAATCCCTTATTTAATATTAATAACGACCAATACCTGCTGTCCCTCCGTATCCTTTCATAATGCCGCTTCATTTCACTGCTGCCCAGTCTTCGCGCATCAGGAAACCATCGAGCACTCCATCATCCAGACGACAATCGCCATTCGCCCGTCACACTCGAGCGAAACCTTTCCACAGTCCCAACGCCGCACGTTCTCAGGACTGGGGCAAAACGGCCTTGGACCGCGAGAATGACATTCACTATGGATATTACCAGGATAGCCACTTGCCCGATATTGGCCCATCCAAGTATATTTCCGAAACAACAGTAGTAAATAATGTAATCCAAACGATACAGCATATTCGCAACACCATGTTCAGTGACTTGCCGGACAGGGCGGGGATGAACAGCACCCGGAGAGCGGAAGTCTTGAATTTCCGCCGCGCACTGCCACCGATTGTTTCCGTTGCGCATGTCCAAATGCTACTGAATGCGCCAACCAAGGTTGAGAGAGAGATTGTTGAACTCGTCAACGCCGGTCAAGTTCGAAGGCTGTTCATCCCCGGACGGGGACTGGATTCCGATGGTCTGGGAGACTGCTTAGTCTTGATTGATGACTGGGAGGAGATTGTTCGAGTCAGCTCATACATAAGTGATGGTTTAAAGGGTGAGCAAGAAAGGATTGACACGGCGCCCCCTTCTTTTATTTATTTATTTATTTTTAAATTTCATTTCCCCGTCAAGTCGCGCTAACTCATCCATGCAGAGAAATTTCTAAAGACTTTACGCAGAAATACCAAGTCATCTGCTATTGCAGCGGACCTCTTCTCTCTGGAGGAGACATCATCTTTAGTTCGAGCTGGTTTCCTTGTGTCTCCCTCCTCTTTAGCTAAACACCCATCCTTTGATACTTCTCTCGCTTCCCTCCCATCGGTAGCAAGAAGCCCGTGTTCGAACACATGCCAATCACAGCAAGAGACAGTAGAATCTGCACAAAGAAGATTTTTAGACACCACCATGTTTCTTTCTATCCCGAACCTAGGTCCCTATCTCCGCCTGCTGGGAGCGGGCCGGGCACAGATAATGGTACTTCTTAATAAGTCCAGGTCCGGAGAAGTTCCCTTAACCCTCCTCAGGGACCGTTGGGATGGGGCCGTTGAGTCCGACGCACATCACAGCGTCGCCAAGCGAGCGCGGGGTGAATTCTCTGGCGTCCTGCCTGGAAAAACAAAGAAATGGAAAGAGCTTTATGGGATGAACTTCCGGTGGGCTCTAGAGGAAGCTCTGGGTGCGGGCCTTATCGAGCTTTTTGACACCGGTAGTGTAGGCCCCGGCGTTCGGCGTGTTTGAATATATATATTGACACGGACTATATACCCCTTTGTGATATCGAATATGTAATGAAAGGATTTTCACGGATTTGTTACACCTTGGCTCTGGAAAGCTATTTTTGATTTCATTGAAAATTACGATATATCCAGCTCGCAAATTCATCTGCCACGACAACATCGGAATGCATTTTTATGTTATTTTGTCCTTTTTTGCGTTTTGTTACTCGCATTTCGCTGAATTAATATCTGCTCCCGCCGCAGAAGGCCCCCTTCCGATTCCCCGATTTCGACAGTATTTCGAACCACAAACCGACCAGCAATGCGTTGAAGACAACCCCAATATTTGTCCGTCGAGATTGATCTCGTGGATCCTTCCAGATTCTGAGTCTACCTTTCGCGATCGGTTCCTGATGAATTAAATTAGTACATGAGGTGCCAGCCTTTATTAATACTCATTGCTAATTGGAGAGTGTTAGGAACGAGCACTAAGCGACGCAGAGGACTTAAGATAACTAATCAGCAAGGGGTATGTTACTGCTTGGACAAACACATTCATGTCTCAGGCCAAGACAATCCCAGAATATCCATCACGCGCAATAAAACGGATAAGTTTTTATCGCTGTCTAGGAACGCCATAGTTTTCGTTGAGATGTCGCCCGCTGGATATTTCCCGAGTCATATGTTCCTGTAGCTCAATTTCGAACCCCTTGTACCCCAAATGGCGGTTTGATGCTGTGACGCTTGTTATCTCGCTGATTTGTCCTGGGGAGGTTTAAAAAATTCCAGAAAGACAGGTCAGCCGGGACTCTATTCGTTGATCTTATGTATTTTGTCTCGGACGAGAGTATCGCCAACATACCTCTGGAATAACCATTCTCAAATCCAGACACAGCTAGAGCCAGCTTTACAGCATCATCTCCAGCCTGGGCAAGCTTTTTATCTCCCTCTCCTGTGATTGGACTTGCGATCCAGAGAGCTTCGAGGCAGAGATTGGAATTGGTGAAAGAATAGCCAATGGTGCTCTCTATGGCATTCACTTTGACACCCTGGACCGCGAGTGCGGCCTCGATGAGAAGAGCCATTAGCGGCGAGTGTGAGAATACGGATTCCCGTCGGAATCTCCCATATTGCCGACAAATGGTACGGAAGGTACTAATACGATGAAGTATCTAGGTCTGGGATTCCTGGCTGAACTGCCTTGAAGAGTTGAGAATGGATGGTAGGCTGTTTTGGTTGCATCCAGAAGACTACAGACGTAGGAGTTGTTGGAAACTAAGCAACTCATCTCTATGTGTCTGTTGCACGCAGTTCACCTAATGTGTTGTGCACAGTGTCCATGATATTAATTGCAAGATATCATGAAGAGTCATAATGACAGAAGTAAGCTGATAGAGTGAAAGCGGTCATCCCTTACTCTGACATTGTTGAATGATGATGTCTGCTTCAGACTTTTGCATACAATTAACTGCAGGATTGTGGTTTGAAATGTATTAACTTGGAATGACTTTCTAGTGCACATGAATTTTTGTCAAGCCAGCGCCATGCTTTTGTTGGATAACTCCAATTGTACTGTAAAATCAGCTGTAGGCACAGTGTCATAGTTAGATCCTTTGATTTTCCTCCTCTTGGCTCTTCTATTGCTGGTATTTTCGTCACATTATGGCCAATTTTGCGTATGCAGTAATTAACCTATCCCCAACAGCCAGTTGTTATCAACTAACTACTTAACGCTCCTATGAAGTCTGCTTTTTTTTTTTTTTTTTTTTTTTTTTTTTGTTTTGTTTTGTTTTGCTTTTTTTTTTGCTAGCCAGTTGCATCCATAGAACATGGATGTATGATTCATTCTTCCCCGCCGAACCAAGCATCTCCCATTTGTCTGATCAAACTGTCATTCCTCTTTGCATTAGAGTTACGCCTCCAGCACCATCTGTGCTCCTCAGAACCCTCAATGGCTGGTGATTTGTTTCCGCATTCGGATAATCCACACGGAAAATTCGAGTGTCCTAGTTAACTTCAAGCCTCCTTATTACATCCACATTCCATGGATATATATATATATATATATATATATATGGACGGCTCTTGAAATGTCTCCTATAACAGCCTATTATTAAAAAGATGACAAGCAATTCACCCCGCTCTCTATCCCCTACGCATCATTCTAAAACCGTGGAGGAACACGCCCAGGGCACCACCACCACCGAGGGCGGCGGTGCCCTCCAGACAGAGGCAGCCATCGAGATCGGCAACGAGCAAAACGAAAGCGACGACGGATATGCCACTGACAGCGACCTGAATGCTTCAACGTCGCTGGCCTCAAGCGCCTACAACTTCCCCTTTGAAAACGGGCGCAGATTTCATAAATATCATGAGGGTACATACCTGTTTCCAAACGATGAGCAGGAACAGGAGTGCGAAGATATGAAACATTCCATGATTGTTAATCTCTGCGGGGGGAAGTTGCACTATGCTCCGCTTGAGAACCCACAGATGATTCTTGATATCGGGACCGGAACGGGCGTCTGGGCCATTGACAGTATGGATATCAAGCAGCCAGAATTTTCATTCAACATCCACATCCATCTATATTACTGTACATAGATGTATATTTTGCGGCTGCTAACAACCGCATTTCGATGTAGTGGGTGATGAATACCCTTGCGCTAATATCCTCGGCATTGACTTAAGCCCTATACAGCCTCTCTGGGTTCCTCCCAATGTGAGGTTTATGGTTGATGATGCGGAGTGCGCATGGCTCCATCCAGACAACCACTTCGACTTCGTCCATCTTCGACATCTGACGTCGTCGATTAAAGATTTTCCAAGGCTATTCAAAGCTGCATATGAGTAGGTTCTTTATTTTTTTTCATTTTTTTTTTTTTCATTTCATTTCATTTATTTATTTTAGTTGATTTGTGCAGTATATGGTTGGCTATATATCCTGGACTCAGAACTGATCTTGCTGCCATCTTCGGAGATGTAGCAAACTAAAACCCGGTGGATGGATTGAAATCCAAGACCTCCATTTCCAGCCCCAATGCGACGACGGCTCCCTACCGGCCGACTACATATTGGCCAAATGGCTCCAGTTAATGGAAGAAGGACTCGCCAGGTTCAATGTGGACCTCCTGTCCCCTACGAAACACCCGGGGTACATTCGCGACGCCGGATTTACGAATATTAACGAGCGAATCTTCAAAGTGCCCATTGGCACATGGCCGAGAGACAAGAAGCTGAAGAAGATCGGGCGGTATAATCGTTGCGTGATCAATGGCGGATTGCAAGGGATGAGCATGAAGACATTTACTGGGGCGTTGGGCTGGACGTTGCAGGAGATGGAGGTTTTTAATGTCGGCGTTCGGAAGTCTGTGGAGGATTCGTCGATACATTCGTATCTTCCGTTCCACGTCGTGTTTGCGCAGAAACCTCCTAAGAGCTACTACAATGGGGTCGACTGATTGATATACCCGCCTGTCCACTCTCCCTTCCACTGTTGTTTGTTTGCCTTTTCATCTATTAGCACGTCGTGGTTTGCCTGTCGGGAAAAAGATTGGGGTTTTTGTCGTGGGGGGGGGGGAGGGGAAGGGTGGTGAGCGGTGAGGTTTCCAAGGGTCGTATCCACGTTTTGTTCTCATTGCATGTTAACAGTTGCCAGATATGGCGCCTTTACGTCGTTGGAAGGAAGTTGTTGTCTATTTGTATTGGTTTGTCTGTAAATACCCCAAGATCGGTTTATGGAGGTCAATGTCGCTTTTTCAATATAGCACTTTATTTTCTATATACTAGATGTTTCGAATTTGAGGATGAATGTGAAACCATGGCTGAAGTACGGATTGAAAACTAATCTAGGTTGTTCATTTTCATAAATAACGTGAAACGATAACTAACTATAACTACTAGCCCATTGGAAATTAATTACCTTGTATTCAATCATGAAATCCCTGACGAACAGTTGATCATAGCCGTTAAATGCTTGAGAGTTTGACTGAAGTGAGGCGAGACACCTTTTGTTCTAAAGAAGAATGTAGAGAAATACAAATAAAAGAAAGCTCGTTACGCTCATAACTGCTGAATATAAATTAAGATTAGAAGATTGAAGCTTGCATCATTTTTATAATTGGTGCCCTACTAAACTAGACATATCACGTGCATAAGTGGCTCAGAGTATGGGGTGTGTCTCTGTGGAATGGTTGAAATATAGATATTTTGTAACTATTAAATCCGGGGGATGATCTGGGAGAACCATCTGGGGCATCTCCACTTGCAGCAATAGTTAAAGAAGTCAGTGGACGGTTAAGTGCCAAGGTACGGAGTTAATAGTGGAATGGAAGGTCGGATGCAGTCCGATTAAGCTCGGGTTTCAAGGGTCAGACCCCCCGGGAGCCCCCCCGACCCACCCCCCACAGCCCCAAGTGGGTCCAGGCCCCCAGTTAGCCCCCCATTTAGCGGGCCTCTTAGCGGGCAGAGGCTGAATGAAGTGCACGGTCACTCCGGCTCAGTAAGTCAAGCCGCTCAGCAAAACAAGATACTGATATAGTAGTTCCTGCACCATTCTATTAAACAAGCGGTTTATACGGGCTTGGGATGGTCAGCAGAGGTTAATATGTCTCCGTGCGTAGCATACAAAATGTATATATGTCCATCACTTTGAGCCGTGCTGAGCAGTTTCCTAGTCAGAAGTTCGAAACAACATCCAATTCATCAATAGTTCACTTGTTATATCTAGTTACACACTAAATTTCTTCATCTAGAAATTGCTTCTCCAACCTAACATCTGCACATATATCCATACATACTTATATGTAGATATACCATGCCTCCTCCCGCAAAACAACCCTCATTGATTCGCCCAATCCCGCTCTCACCCTCAGCTATCCCCGCCCACCCATCCATCGCCCTACCCCTATCATCCAATGATGGAACAACCAGATCCCACCCTTCTCTCTCAGAATTCATCCACACCACTCTCACTCAGGCATATACATTCATAACAGACACCGTTCCCGGAAAGACATTCACCGCAGATCCCAAACTGCGGCACGCGCTCCACTCAACCGCGGAGGTGAAATTGTTCAGTGGAGCTACCCAATCCACATCCAGGTCAAGCAAGAAGGATGATAAATGGTTTGCTCGTAGAAGTGTCCATCAAAATTGTGCGGTGAAGGGAACTGCATCCTACGAGGAATTCGTGCATGCTCTGAAGGATAACCATTTCGAGAACGAGTCGCAGTACGTGCAGAGCTTGAAGAGTGCAGAGACCATTGCGGAGTGGGACTGTAGTGGACTGGATATCGAGGGAGGGTGGAGCGGCGTGACGGCCTGCGGTAACTAAAACAAAAGCATAAAATCTACTGCTTATTTCTTTCTTTCTTATTTCCTAACCATATGCTAACTGCTACCTTCCAAAACACCCAGTTAAAGTGTCAATCCACACCTTCGAACCGACATCCCTCTTCTTTAACCGCGCATTCCCAATCATATACATAAGCGCCTTCCTCCCCGCCAAGCTCCCAGCCGAACCAACAGGCTACATAAACGTCCACCTCCCCATCCAACCCGCTGCCATCCCTGTCTTCTCGCTTCCAGAGAATACCATCCTCTCAAACTACGCCGCCGTCGAACTCGTCCAGACCATTGCCCAGTCCACCCAGGTCGAGTGGACAATGGCCACCAACTCCAGTGCCGGTGGCTGGATCCCTGCCTTTGTGCAGCACAGCTGGACGTTGGGTGGCATACCCAGGGCTATTGTGAGGAATGTGGGGCTTTTTATGCAGTGGGTTGATGGGAGAAGGGGGATGAAGCCGACTGCTGGAGAGGATACGGGCGCCGAATGAACGCAGTCAGTCAACCAGAGATCCCTTTCTCAATTGCGCATTTATGGGAGCGTCTTGTTTAGTCTTCCAGGTGTCAAAGGCAAGCAGGGCCACTTTATCCAGCAGTTTGAAAGCAAACATATTAAAGAACAGAACAGAGAGCATGATAGTAATTACTCGAAATAATCGTGCAATTTCTTGTCAAAATAAATCCAAAACCCAGAATTGTTGAATATGACTATGTCATTGCCATAACCCGCTCCCATTTCGCCCCAAAATCGAAAACGCCACAGGATGCTTGCGCATTAACATCCGATATTTAGAACTACATATATTACGTACATATATATCTTCCTTCATACCCGTCTCTGCAGGCAGACAGCCCTCCTCACTGTCCTTTATCATCTAGAATACCGTATGGATAAACAACAGCAACAAGTTCCACATCCGGACAAGGTAGAAGCGGAATACAGAATAAAAAGGGTAAAGAAGAAGAGGGAAAAAGGGAGCATTTGGAGCCGAAACTATCCTGTTTGAAATTGTAAACCTTGTATTTTAAAAAAAGGAAGAGATTAAGACACAATGCAAGAAGCAACACACAATATACAAAAAAGGAAATAGACCATCCCAAGAGTTAAGTGAGAGAATTAACTAGCAAATAGGAAGAAAAAAACTTTAAAGAGAAGGAAGAAAAGGAAGAAAAGAAGAGGTTGGAAAATAAGCATAAGGGGGATGGGGGTACGATTGGCGGCATGCATAAGCAAGGAGACCCAAATAAATGGGAACAGTGAAAAATAAGTATGAAGGATGAGATATATATATGTATATGACATGGTGCCCATTCCACCAACTCAGTCAGAGAAGAACAGTAGTCATGCAAGGGAAATATATGAGAAGAGAGAATATTGGCAAGGGGTGGGGAAAATGAAAGCTAGAAAGATTCAAAAAGAATAAATAAATCCAAAAGGAGGAAGAAAAACTTTACAAAAGAGAAAAGAGAAGAGAAGCGAGGAGAATATATGATGGGGAATAAATAATAGACGAAAATAGTTTCACTAATGCGACACTGCCATAATGACATTCTATCCCTTGTTAATTTCACCCTGCTACTTTCTCAAACCTCAAGCCGCAATTAAAAAGAATGAGTTAAATATCACTGATCAATGCAATGGAATTGTCCAATCCATACGTATTCCAAATAAAAGTTCCCCAATGTATAATTATTGCTGATCAATTCAACCATCTGACGGCTTTGGATCCCACCCTCCCTGGAATAGGACAAGGCCAGGAGCAACATGTATGTATAGATGCACCTATATCTATGAGCCATTGGCAGCCCCACTAGCATCATTGTTTGTTGCAGCTAGTTGGTTCCGAAGTCTACCGACTTCTTCTTCCAGACCATTTAAGCGGTCTTCGAGTGTCCGCATATACGCCCATATTCTATCAGGAGGAGGCGGGGCATTAGGGTGTGATGACGATGACGGCTGCCTTTGTTGAGAGAACATATTATTACTATTATTATTAAGGTTGTTGTTGTAGTTTGGATCTGTACCTGCATTGGTGTGGGGATGCGGCTGCAGGTGGGGCGAGGCTGAAGACATTGAGTGAAGTTGACCCTGTGTTTGGCCGGAGTTCGGACTGGGGAGTGGGAATCGGGTATCTGAGCTGTTTAGGCCATGCGGGGGAGGGAGCTGCGGACCCGGGAGGTTCTGGGAGGGCCCGCTGCTGTTTTCAGGGACGCTATTTCGGCTGAATTGTTGTTGTTGCTGTTGCTGTTGCTGCTGCTGCTGTGGTTGTTGTTGGTACTGAGGCTTCAGATTAGGGGATAAAGCTTGTGAGGGTTGAACATTAGGATCCGATCCGTGGCTCAGTTGACGAGTTGGAATTACGTTCGGCGATAGAGGTTTGAGACTTTCAGTCATACTGTTCTGCGCGAAGGCGGAACTTGAGCTGCCCTGTTGTTGGGTATTGAATCCCGAAGAGGAACTGCTACCTCCTCCTGGAGGGAAAGATACGTTCCCAGATTGCGAGATGGGGGAAGGGGAAGAACTGGAGCCTGGATGGCTTGTGACTGGTGGAAAGAGGCTACCTTGTGAGGGTCGACTGGTTGCTAGAGGGGGGTAGGTGCTAGATTGGTGGGATTGAAAGGATACATGCCCGGCGCTTGATGTCCGTTGAGAATCTGGAGGGTTGTGCTTTTTAATGCTGGGTATATTCACACGTTTCTCCTCCTCTTCATCCATTCGATCCGGCTCAGTATACATAAGACCCTCCATTCCATCTTCTCCACCCGGAGTGCCTCCATCACCGTATTCATCATCACCAAGAAAGCTTCCCAGGCTAGATCGCCTCCCGGCACACCCTCCTTGACCTTTGTTATGTCGTGCCAGCGCATCACCTCGAGCAAATCGACGACCGCACTTTGGACATATATGTGGCCGCTCGCCGGTATGAAGTTTTGTGTGTCGCTTTAAGTCGTGTAGTCGCCGGAATCGTGATTGACATGTCTGACAAACGTACGGCTTTTCTTGGCTATGGGTGAGAAGGTGGCTCTTTAAATTATGGTGGCGAGTAAATTCAGTTGCGCAATGGTGGCATCTGTGTTTCTTCACGGAAGGTGATCGGGGACTTCCTTTGAAGCCTGAATGGGGAAGACTCATTCCTCTTCTAGGATCGTTCATGTTAGACGCAGGCATCGGTACCGGGTAAGAGAATGATTTGTTTCCTTCCTCCATCACAAGGTCTTCCTCTTTGCGTCGCGTTCGTTCATTTTCCATGGTATTTGGCTCCTCAATAGGCCCAGGGCTGGCAACGGTTCTACTGTTCATTAGGGTAGTTGTGGCACCGACATTATCTCCCGTATCAAACCCATCCGACAGGCCAGTAGAACTTGCACGTCGCGCATGGATATCAGTCCTCGAGTCTTCTGCAGATATCTGGATCGATTTTGGAGCACCATCCAGCGGATCTGTTGGGGTTAAGATTGTTATGGCAGCAGTTTTCGAACCTCCCTGGATTTTGTCTTTTCGTTCGTCTGCCCCATCTGGAAGCGGTGTGCTCCCATCGCTATGATTCTGTTCGCTAGAGGTGCGCTCTCGCGGTCCATCCTGACGACGATGCGGGTTGCTCGCTGTCACTGGTTGCGGTGACAACCGCGAACTAGACGCCATGTTTGGCGAAGGAGAAGTCCGTAATCCTGCAGTGGCGATTGAGCTGAGACTAGATCCACTCCTGGGTTCCGTAGATTTCAAGAAGGAGGATATGGGGCCTGATGTGGCTGCGATAGAAGACGGAGACGATACCACTGGGTTCGGTGTTCGCGAAAGCGGATTGTGAAAGGTGACTGGGTCCGAACCTGTTTGAACGGGCCCGGCCATGAAATAATGATTGCGAGGACCAGGGTTGTGAAAAGAGGAGTATTGATGAGAATTCACGCTTTCAAGAGCGATAACACGAGTGGCTAATGAAGAAGTCATGTTAGTTGGGGTGAAAACTAGGGTGAGTTGGGTGCGGAGGGTTAATGTGGAGGGTTAAGCGATAGGATTTGACAAGAAGAGGTTGCACGGGAGCGGATTCGTGATTCGGGACGAATTAACAAGTTGGTGAAGAGACTGGCAAAGGGGTGAAAATAGGACGATCTATCTGTGCTTCAAATGGCTAAAGCTACAAATCTACAAAAGGGGGTAAACGTTAAAGGGAAGCATTGGGGAGTTGGGTGGATAATTGGGTACAAGCAGGGGATGCAGGGACTATACAAAACATGGAGAAAAATACAAAAAAGAGGTGAACTGCGTTAGCAAACGGCGAGGCCACGGATAGATAAGGGAGGAGATGAAACGACGCTGAAACATCCGAGCCCAGGGACAAGATCAAAGAAACAGGACGGCATACGAAAAACAAGGGGATTAACGAGAAAAGGAAAGCCGGAGCATGGACTTACTTGACTCCGATTTGGAGACCTTGGAGGTTCGACTGGGGCGAACTGGGATGCGCCTGAAACCCGTGGAGCCAGTGTGGCGCAAGCTGAGGGATTTGCGAGCTTTTTCCTGGACTGGGGCTGTTGTCGAGGATTAACTAGCCAAGATAGATAGAAGGTGTTGATGGAGGCTGGAATGGGCTAGGGATACGTCCATAGATAAAAACGACAAAAAATTGAAAAATTGAAAAATTGAAAAACAGGAAACCCAAAACGGAAGACAGGTTAGAAGGAGTATAGGGCGGTAGATATCTGGCGATTACTCGGGGGAAAGCAGGGAGGTATGGTGGATTTGATTACGGAGAGGCTGAGTGGTGGTCACGGGAACTGAGGCACTGCTACATCCACGGGAAGGGGGATTCGATGGGACTCGTAGGGTTTGGAACGGGCTGCAGTAAGGATGCGGCGCAAGAGAAAAATTAAATTAGATTCCGAGGGGCAGACACAGAACCATCTCCAGAGGGGAGAGGGACAAAGGGTACGGTGGCACAGTGACACAGTGACACAGGGGAGGTGGATGTTGTCTGGAATGGCAGCGAGAAAACGGCTAACTGTGCAGCGCCAGGCTGGGAACAGCGGGTGAGCAGCCAGTGGGGGAGCGGGGATGAGGGGAGGAAACGAGGAAACCAGGAATTGGAGGTCTGAAGCCGAATGGAAGGCTTTTTAGAGGGCAAGAGACGGTGATTCAGGAGAGTAACAGAAGACAGGTGCTGGTTAGGGATTGGATGTAGGTGGTGGAGCAGTCGTTGTTGTTGTTGTTGTTGTTGTAGGTAGTAGTTGTTGTAGTTAGTAGTTATTAGTAGTAGTAGTGGTGGTGGTGGTGGTGGTGGTAGTAGTAGTAGTAGTAGTAGTAGTAGTAGTAGTTGTTGTTGTTGTTGTAGTTGCTGCTGCGCTGCTGCTGCCGCCGTTGCTAGCAGTTGTTGGGATGATTTACCTTCCCGGGTTGGTAGAAAGTGAGGGAGGGCGCCGAACGGGGCATGGCCCTATTACACAAGCTGTGTGGTGTGTACAGTATCATACCGTATGCAATACGGTCGTTGAGGCTCAGCGGTACATGGGCGCAATGTTATGTCTCCGTACTCTTGTATTGAACTAGCTAGCAGAATTCTAAACTATGAACATATCTATGTATATAAGTCACGTGATAGAGTAGCCCGCAGTACCCCCACCCAATGCTGCGGCGCTCACTACCGCCACAGCGCCTTGGCTAGCTCAGCTCAAATCCTTCCAATAATAATTCACTACAAAATCAGATGCTGATAATAGGGAAGGCATCTGTAACAAAGCATAACTGTAAAATTCAAAACACAACAACAAAATTTATCTGTTCATTTTATATATTCTCTTTATATATATTCTATGCCGCAAAAATTCAATTAATTCCTATCAGTCTTATCTTCTCTGTGAAATTAATAATTAGAAGTATTACTAGAGATTTTATAAATTCATCTATTTGATTCACTGTGAAATCTTTAAGCAATAGCACTATTTTATTCTCTTAATACTAAATTGTAATAAATATAAAAGTGAATTTTAATATAATATGAGTATTTAGTTAAGAATTCTTTTTTTTTTTTTAATAAAATCATTTTATTTGCAATATGATTTAAATATTTTTATTTTATTATTATTTTATATTAGTTATTTAAATTTTATATTAAATATATAAATTATTATATAAAAAAAATATAAATATAAATATTTATTTATATTAATTATATATTATATTTATTTTTTAATTTTTAATTTATTTATTAACTTTAAAAAAACTTTTTAATATCATATATTTAATAACTAATTATAAAAACTATAAAGTTATATTTAATAATAAACTTATTATGTTACAAGCTGATTAAAATACGGATTTTATAAATAAAAATTAAGTAAAATCTCGGTTTGCGTTGCCGCCGCCGCTTCGCGCTGCCCCTCGCCCGATCGGGTTTGGTTTTCATCCTTGGGCGTGATGTTCGCGATCGTCAGAGCAGCAGTCGACGCCTTATGTAAACCTGGTCTGACTCTCTTCCATTTCCCTTCTTACTTTCCCTCTCCTTCTCTCTAGCAGTGTTCGCCGACATACCCTCCCCCTGTCCCAATGGCGCCACCTCTCAATCCTTCCTCCTTTCCACCGCCAGCACCCACTCACGATGCTGGTGCTGCATCGCGTTGCTCCTGGTCTGAGCCTGGAACTGCAGGCTCTTCTGTGCCGCGCTGTGCTAACTGGTGGTCTAAACAGAGCGAGCATCTGGCATGGCACTGTGAGACTGGGTTTCCATTCTGTTTCACCGCTTGTCCATGTTCCCCTGAGAATCACTGCAGAGCAGAAATCTCTCAAGACACCTCTCCTCCCTCTGCAACCTTGCGCACTGCGCTGATTTCTGTTTTCGCCTTTCAACCACACAGGTTGGACCAGACCAGGTGAGCTGGGCAGCTATATCAGAAATTGTTCATCTGAGCACAACACCCTCTCAACCCTACTTTCGCGGTGTTGTTGTCTCTCTGCGATTGAACTGCGGTTTTTGATGAGAACGCCTTGCAGACGGACTGGGGTCTCTATCTGAACTTGTTGAATACTCACCCTGCCTTCATTATCAGTTTGGGAGAGATTGCTATGCATTCAATCCTTCTCGTCTGAACTCATAGCCAATAGTGAAAATGCCTCACTCTACAGATGTAGGCTGTGAATCTCTGTCCTGTCTGCAATCATGGCACTTGGTGTGTATGCACCTCAGCGGTTTTCCTGCATGTGGTAACCTCCTTCGTTCTGAATTCCATCATCCCACCATCATCAGATCAACTCAGTGAATCAGAGAGGGGCGATCAGGGACTTTTCAATGCATGGGAGATTGCCCTGAAGCTGCGCCTCCATCATCTCATTTCAATTGTACCAGGCCCGGTGATGGTGTGATGCTCATTTGGCCCATATGGGGGATCCTGCAATCCTTCACATTCCAGCCTCTCCGGAGAAACCTGGTGAACCCACAGGAGGAGAGGGGTAATTTTTGCAAGAGCGACTATCTGTCTGATTATTAGCATTTGATATTCCTGCGCGGCTTAGCCGCTGGAGGCCATTGCAAGGACGGATGGTGCATGAAAGAATGCAAGAGATGAGAACCAGCTCTTGTTGAGCATGCACTCCCTGCAGCAGTTTTCTATGAAGGCATATTCAAAATACTCATACATGTGGGCTGCATGGAATACTCCGTAAGTGGAAACAGAATCATACCTGTGAATTGTCCATCTCATACTTTCTGTGGTCTGCCTTTTACGTTGAGGTGATGGCTGTATTACAGGGTTAACTCAGTTCATGGTGAGCATCACTTTCCAGCTGATGTGGCTGTGACAAGTATGTATGGTGCAGAATCACATCAGTGAATTGTTGAAGAGTCAATTAACCTTTTTTTTTTCTTTCTTTTTTTCCCTTCAAGAGCAAGAGTTGTTCCGCATGAGCTGCACATGGAAATTGCTTGATCAGGCGAAGGAGACGGAAGCAGAAAACAGAGAATACTCCTTGGCTTCAACATCATTGATTCATCCTTGCCATTTGAGCACAGTGCAATGCTATTTGCTGTATCTGGGATAGCTGGATCTGATTCTTAGTCCTAGATGATGAGGAGAATAATGTACATTGAGTATATATAAGAGACCCTACTTTCTTGGTTGATTTGGACGTGAGAGGATGAACAATGAGCACTTTTGAATTTTAATTCTCATCAGCTACAATTTCCCCTCCTATAAGTATGGCTGTAGGTAGATATGAACTTCATCTCTGAGCAGCTTCTCTGCCCTCGGCACAATTCATCCCTAAACCACTGTTTACTCACACACTTCCCTGCCCCTCTCTTCCCTTCTGGAGAGATCTCAGAGAATCACCTCCCCTCTTTCTGAGAGCAATATCGCACTGGATGAGTCTGAACTGAAAGTCTTGTGCCCACCATCACTGACCTGGTGGGTTTCTCTGACCAACACCTGTACAGTCTAGTGAAGTTACCAGGTTCAGAAGGAAGTCAAGGTAAGGAGGTTCACGTCTTTCTTTTTGCTTGTCTCCGAAGCTCTGCTACTGACAGCCTTCAACAGATGGTTTTATCCGCGCCGAGGCGGACAATCTAAACCCAATTGGAGATTTGCTTGTCTAGTGTTCTCGTCTATTCCTGAGTGTACAGGTTTCAACTTAGGAACTTGAGGTATTAAACTGCTGATGCACCCCAAGGGTCTACAAGGGAGGAGCTCCCACAAGGTGTCTGATACCCACAGGGGAGTAATTAGAGGATTCTGGCTATATGACACTTCATGTATACACTTATATATGTCTCATAATCTGTATAGCTGCGAAAGGCGGTTGGAACGGATGTTATAAAACCGGGGCGAGAAAATATGCTGCTGATCAAGCGCTAGACTACAAAAGATTTATATGAATACAGCATTTCTGAATCCGAATCTTTAGAAGCAAATTCTATTTCTGTCTGCAGGCCATACACTTTCATTTCAGAAGTATGACTAGCCCTACCATTATTTGAATCTCTCACAGGGCATCAATTATATTTTTAAGTAAATCTGCAACTTTCTAATAGTTATTTGTTGTTCTCCGTGCATTTCTCCCAAAAGTACTGGCAGAAAAATAGCTCGACACCTAGGGAGGCCTTGACAAGCCTCTAAGCTCCCTTGCATGTCCTCTTCCTGCATGCCCCTGAATGACGTCATTGTTAGAGAACCAAATTCCATAAATTAACTACAGCAACACCTACCGACCATCAAACGTCATTCCAGTCGGGCCGTCAATGTTTTGCAACTGCTGGTTGCGCTGACTTCTTGAAGTACGCAGCGAACCGTGGTTGTGAGGGCCATGATTTTTGGTTCGCGAGCAAGAGCAAGGGAGTCGGGTTGACACAGTTATCAGATTAACTCTCAAGCTGTTCTGCGCCTTCCGAATGCCGGCAGCGAATAAAACCAAGGGAAATGACCAAGCTTCGTTCATTGACCAAAATGGCGGGAAATCCTTGGGGTCCTTTGATCATGGATCCTTGGTCACCACAGGACCACACAAATCCGTTCAATGGCTGCTGCCATCCACAGGCCAGCATGAGTCGCAAAGAGTTTGCCGTCTTCGGGCTTACCAGGTTCGTGGACCGCGATCCATGGACCAACCAGTCAGGCCTACTGGCTCAACCTGCTTCCAGCATGGCAACCTCAATCACTGGGACCTACTGCTCCTGTACTTAAGCACTGGTCATAGAACCCCTTCCTTTGGTCAATGTGCTATTGACTGTACGATGTAGTCACTGGCCTTTTTATCAGCCTTCCTTCAGCCACTCTGGCTCGGGCCTGATTGGGCCATAGCCGGCCATCAGTCAACTGATTAATGCTAGACTCGACCTTAGAAAGAACACCCACGGCTTTTAAAGGTTATGGCCAACTATTCACTATAACACACCTAATCAACTTCAATCAGAGTTATCGCATCAGATACCAGAAGATTAAGGCAGTGCATTTTGCACGAGCCGAATGGAAGATGTAGATGTACGCCCAACAATCTCGTCAGCGGTGGCACGGTTCTGCCCGACCGGTATTCCGGGCTGTACCGTTCACTAACGCACAAGTTAGGTATGACATTAATAACGAATTGGCTCTGACGATGAACGAAGATGAGATAAAGAAACAATTGGGGTTTGGACTTAGGGGGGGACAAAATGTTGTAAATTTAGCGTGCATAGGTCCTTCAAAACCGTCTTCTGATTGATTCAGCTGCGCTTTACAGTTACTACTCACTGCTTTGTTTACGGGGTAATGTCAGGATCGATTACTAAACTCCCGCTACGGCATCGTCATCATTAACCTGATCGTAGATTGAACGGCTGAGATATCGGGTTTTGTCATTTTCAAGGACGGGATCCCGGCTTCTGCTCGGAAAGAGAGTTTTCTTGCGCTAGGTAGTTTTTCCCCTTATTCGAAGCCAGGGTTCAAATACGGGCTCTTCCGCAGTCGGCCTTTTCTCAGGCAACCAGCGTAGAATCCCTTGAAGACACTCCAGAAATCCCTTTTTGTTTTCTCCCTCGAAATCCTCTGCAAGCCGTTCGAGGGAGTGTAGCGAGAGTCCCGGAAGGCTGAAGGTCGAGCTATCTGTTCCAAACTCAAACCCAACGGTTGATGAACAAGGCACACGTGAGTGCCATCTGGGCCAATCACTTCGAATGAGTCGTATAGTTTTCGTTGCCAGGATGGTCAGATTGAGATTGAACAGAATTGAGATGACTGTAGATTCTAATCTCATGGTTCGGCTTTGAGTAGGAAACACAAAGCTTTAGTACGACACGTCGGGCCCGGCTCACGTGAAAGTGAAGTCAGCATAATAGACTAATTCCGAAAAGTAACAATATGATAAATAAATGTACGTACGCACTGTAGATCAACGATGTCACTCCGCATCCTAGTCTCCCAACAATTTGATACCTGTCGTTGAAATTTCGCCTATTCGAGCTGGGTAATACTTCTCTGCGTTATACGCCGGAAGGGGTTCTTCCTCAATCTTTTCAGAGACATCAGTCAAGTCAAATCCGGAGCTTGGAAATGTGAGGGGAGATATTAGTTGGGAGAACGTCATTCTCCGAGTACCATTCAATCGTTGCGAATAGTGAGGTGCGGCAGAACGCAAAGACAAAGAAGGTCGGCTTCGGGAGAATGCAGACTGCACACATAAAGATAAGCAAGAGACAAACTCAGCAGTCATGTAACCCCCGTATCTCCTGGCCATCAGGCAATTTTAGGCGCCCGGATTTGTCCAATCAATTGATAACCTGAGGTGGAAGTATTCAACCAAATTGACAGAAAAATGACGCTAAGATCAGCAGTTAACTAGCCAGGCGGGGGGAGAGAATCGGCGCTAGAAAGATCCACGAGATTTCGTGGAAAAGCTCCCATAGCAGCAGAGCAATCTTAACTGGATCGAAATCGAAATTCCTTGACAGAGATGAGTATCTAGCGGGCAGAAGAAATCTAGCACCTAGTGTACTCGATAATGTCTGGATAAGTTAAAGAAAGTTGCTGGCTCTTCAAACAAAATGCGCACAACCCCCTGAGTTATCAGCGCCTTGAGGAATCTTCTCTAAAACACTCTCTGTGAATGTTTGTTTGCGGCTATTTATAATTACGAGTTTCCCTTTTTCTCAACCCCACGTTCTTGTATGTCTTTCTGCCGCTAGTTTTACTTACATAACTTAATTTGGTGGCATGTTTTAGAGCAACTAGTTCCGAAATTCGCAAAAATTAAGGGGGAAAAAAAAAGGTGGGGTGGGAGGGTGAGAGTTTTGACGCTGTTTTTGGTGGATATCTTGTTAACGGACCGAGGTGCGATTCTCACATGAAGGTGATTCACGTCTGACAGGAAGACTTGAACTTAAGGTGCTTCAGACCTTTAGTCGTATGTTGAAGAGAATCGAGTTTCAACAGTGGCCTCTCGATAGCGAGCATGGTCTGACGGTCGACTCACACGTGTCTTCGCGTTAGACAGCACTAAATAGCACAGTACAATACGCGTAAAGAAGGAAGTTCGTTTGGGAAGACGAGCTAATGTTGAACACAGGGGAGAAGAGAGGTGTCTGTGTTGTCGGCGCGTACATGATTTATATTTATATATGCCATCGGGGTCGAAAGTCAAGAAAGGAGAGAGTGTGTTGAATGTAGCCGCTTTGGTTGTTGTAAATTTAGATCGCTCAATTGGAAGGGCGCTGATTTAGCTGTCGACAACTTGTACTCTGTATGGGCTATGTACAAGATATCTAGCATCTCAAAGGCACAGAATAGATTTATTTTAGAGCCGTAGTAAGCGCCTAATATAACTTGATGGTGTTTAGGGGTTCGATTAGGCGCCGCAAGCTATGGGTGTGGGTCCATCACCGTGTCACCTTGTAGTTTGTCTTGCAGGGGGTCACCAAAATCTCTAGAGTCACCAATGCCATCAAATTACATTTCTTACTCCGAAGCACATATAATCTTGGTCTGCTATCAATTTCCGCCCTTTCAGTTCCCTGAAATTACCATTCAGTCAGAATGTTCGAAAACATGATCTCACTACAATGAAGGTTGACCAGTGATTGATTGACTACAAGCCAAAGAATTCATCATGTAGCCAAAAAACAACTGGGCAAACCCCTGATTATTGGCCAAGTAAGTTACTTAAAAAGCAAAGTGGTATCTATCCAAGACATCGATGTCCCAACGCTGGCCTTGATACAAAAGTAAAACAAATGCTAAATAATAGTTAAAGGGGTGAAACAAATGCAAAAGGGCCTGAGGAGTATCAGGCAAAAAGTACACAAAAAGAAGTCGTACAAATCAGAAGCCTAGATGCCACACACACACACACACACACACGAGAAAAAAATACCGTTCAGAAAGAAACCGTTGAGATATAAAGACAGGTCCTGCTAAAGTTATTTACATCCCGGCGGGAATGAAAGCAACAAAGAGAACAGAAAACGTAAAAAGAAGATCGGACGGTAATGTAGTGGATGGATGAAAACCTCCACTTCATATTTGAGGACAGAAAGAAAGGGTGTATTATTAGTCCATGAAGATAACCGCCAGCCGGAATGTGGTCAAATGGAAACAATGAAGAGATCCAAATAAATCTTCACGCGAATCCTTTCGCGGCATTCCTTATTTTGGCATCTTCCAGCGCTTTCCGGTGCCGATGCTGCTGCTCATTTTCAACTACCAGAGGGTTAACAAATGCCGGTGTTTTTAACGGGACTGGTGGGGGTACTTCAAAAGTAGGCGCCGCAGGTGGGGGCTGTGGCTCCGCCCAAACATCCCCATTCGAATTTGACGAATGCTGTCCAAACCCTATTCTCCTCATGCAGCTCAGGGCCCCACGGATGTTAGCCATTATCGCCTCGTGGCCCATTTTCACGCTGTCGAGTCGCGTGTGAAGGTCGTCGTGGATTTTAACGTCTTCTTTCTTTTTCTCCTCTTCGAGGCGATGGAAGATATCTGGCTCTGCATTAGCGACGCGGGCTTCCGAGACGGAAACGTCATAGTCTGCGTTGTTAAGAGCCCGGTCGGCTATACCAAAACTCTGAAGGATAGATTGAGAGTCTGTGCTGAGATATTTGACAAAGTCCAAGGCCGAGTTCATTGTCTGTTCTGTTTCTGGGGGTATGTTCCCCAGGTTATTGAGGTATCGTGCGTCAAGCCTTTTTACATTTCCAGCAATATCGTCCAAAAGGCTTTGGTTTTCTCCAAGCCCACACATGCTGGCATCGTCGAACGAGTCCATTAGTGTATTTGCACGATTGTCTTTTTCTCTGGCGGCGTTGAGAACACTTGTTTTCTCCATCATATCAAAATCTTTATCGAGCTGCTTGAGCAATGACGTCTCTCCAAGGAAAACATAATATCTGCGTTCGGCTTTCTTCCGGCGTCGCTCTCGTTCCAAAGACGCTACCGCTTGTTTATCGTATCGAACCTCCAATTTTTGGAATAACTCCACAGCAATCCTCATGATGTGCGAAAGCTCATATTTCGTTATTTTAGGCGAAACAGGTAAGAGGTCACTCGCTGGAGTTTTCGCATTCAGCAAGTTAATAGCACGATCATATTGAGCTTGGAGCTTGCAAATATCTTCTTTCAACTGGCGGTCTATGGGATTGAAAATACCATTAACAAAAGTTTCGAACTCCTTTCTTTCCTCAGTGAGCTGTCGTTGCGCTTCTGTTTGCCTAAACTCATCTTCCAACACGTTAATGTCAGAATATCCGATTTCCTTGTCATTGAAAAGACTATCGATATGGTGCTCTGATTCCTCTTGCCTAGCTCGACGCTGATTATCAAGTTCAGGGCGTTTAATGCGTGCCTGCTCATCCCATTCATCTATAGACTCCTGGATGAAAGCGAAATCGTCCTGAATAGATTCTAATTCTTTGCGGAGTTCAATGACATGTGGATTTTCGGCTGGATTAGGAAATGATCGAGGAACTAAGGCTTGTAGAGAATCAAATATTGTGCTCTTGTTGCCCCCCAATGAAGTATCTGACAAAGAGGCCTTTGTAAGAGAGTCGGTAACCCTATGTTGGCCACGATATGCAACACTTTTCTCTCTAATCAGTCCAATAAATGTCTCCTCGTGCTCAGCCTTTCCCACCGATGGAGATTTACCGGAATCTGTCCCGAGAGAAGAGATAGCAGCCGCACGAGCAAGTGTTCGGCCAACAGCAACAGATGCCTGCCGCAAAGCAGAATAAGCCTGGTATGCAGGTCGGTCAAACGACAACGGCCCTGAGCC